TACTCTATATATATATTCCTTAGTAAAGCTTTAGAGACCTCTTCTATATACTTATTAATTTCTACTAACTACTTTCTTCTTATTCGTCTCTTTTAAGTAATACGAGTCGATCTAGCTCTATAAAATCTTATCCGACTAGTACTATAGTCTTAGCTTCTAAATAACGACTCCGATAAGTTTATAATAGTACTATAGTACTACGCCTTATAGTCTAAACTAACTATACTATTAAACGTATCTAGTAAGCTAAGCGCTTAAAGCGGACGCCCGAATAAAGACCGAGTAGTCGGCGAATAGTTATCTTACTACTATAATAGAGGANTAGATAATAGCTAGCTATAAAAGTACTATATTACTATACCTCTTATATTAAAATAGAAGTAGCGAGCTCTTCTTTTCGTATTTTCTCTCGATTTATTAACTTTAGTTCTCTTAGTCGGATAGATATAGTATTATATTAGAACGATAGGACGTAGCGTTATTATAGCTATAAGAGAGATAGATTAGATAAATTTCTATAGAAGGAGAAGCTAGTAGAGAAAGATAAATCCCTATAAGTAACTATAGATACACTTTTCAAGAGCACTAGATACTTACTTAGTATAGTAGAAGGATCGTCTTAACTACGTACCGAAACTCTACCTCAAATCCTCGATAGCTAAGCAACTCAATCTAGCTTCTGGGCGTTTCACGGAGATCGAGACAAAGACTAGCGGAGTCTGCGATAACAGATGAAATTGTATCTTCTGCCCTGAACGGCTCTTACGGACGCGGGAAATCGTATACCACAGGGGCAAATCACTTAGCTGATTGTATTCTCGAGGTCTTCCTTGCGCCGAAAGGGTCACGAGATCAGTAGTTCGAGGGCACAAGAGTATGGCTGGCTTGAGACTGGAGAGAAGTATGTCCAGCTTGAGAAGACTTGACTTTGAAGGCAGTGACCGTGCAGCCCGATCGGCGAGAAGATTTGAGAGAGCGATCCGTGGCTGATGATAAATATGGAGAACCTGAAGGCGGTGGGCTCAAAAGGTCCGCCAGTCACAGATCGCATGGCGTCCACTTCGGGCGGACGTTCGCATACAGACAACATCGATTGGACGCTGTTACCCGGGCGTTATCACCATCAGCGACAGAACTCATTCGCGATTGCAACTAGCGCCGTCACAAGCTCGTATATGGAATCGATCTCGACCCATTCCTGCTTCGAATGCAGACCAAATCCTCGAGGACCCCAGACCACCCCTGGAATACCTGCGGCGCCAAGCAGAGCCATGTCGGTCCATTACTTTTCCCCTCTCAGTACCGCTGGAGTCTTCATCACTGACGTTGCGTGTCGAGCGACTAGCTGCACAAATGGATCACTGTCTGCGATAACATACGGCAGACGCGCCATGAGGGTCCTTAGCTCAAATCGAAAATCGACGTCCGCAGTAGCAAGCTGGTACAGTATGGCGTGAAGCTCCAATCGAGCAGATTCTGCTGTCTCGTCTGGCGTTAAGCGTCGCTGGACCCAAAGCGTACACTTGGCCGGGAACGACGAGATCTCTTCTCCACCCTTGATTAGGCCGACGTGTACACTCGGCACATCGACCTCAGGCCTGCTGCTGGAGCAAGCTGTATTTTGCAGTCGTTTCCCCAGCGCATCGATTGCTACCAGCACATGGCCCGCTTTACAGATGGCATCAACTCCCAGCTCCGGTCTTGATCCATGCGCCGCGACCCCGAAGATGGTCATCTCGTAAACGACAAATCTACAGATGGATCATCGCAAAGGTCAGCAAATGTTTCAAATGGGACAGCTTTGATGATTGTAGGCTTGTTGAACACGATTCTCACCCTTTATGAGCCACAATTATATCCATGCCTGTCGGCTCCATTATGATCGCAGCATCCGCTCGCCACCCAGCTTCGATTACCTCCATCGTTCCAATGCTCGCGTCTTCTTCATCAGCAACAGCCGCCAAAATGACATCACCAGCAAGTTGCAAAGCTCTTGCCCGGGACAGCGTAATCATGGCTGCAGCCAGGCCGCTCTTCATATCGGCAGCTCCCCTGCCGTACATCTTGTTTCCTTCAATACGACCAGCGAGAGGATCACCATCGTATCCCTCTAGCGTCACAGTATCCATGTGACCGTTCAGCATCAAGGTCTTCCCATTTCCAGAGCCTCGCACGATGCCTACTACTGATGGACGTCCTGGTGTCTTCTCCAGCCAGTGTGTCCCGATATCGCGAGCCTGTAGCCATGACCTCACAAATTTGGCCACGGCTGTCTCCCCTGGCCCGGCGACGAAACCAAGCGTCGGGCTTGCGGAGTTGATCCTAACGAGAGCTTGAGTCAAGGACGTTACGTCGTCGAAGTCCTGGCCGATCTCTGGCTCTCTTGAATGATGTGGAATCTTGGTCATGATTGGAGGTATACAACCGGAGGAACAGCCAGAGGGTACGCCGAATACATGATGAGATCGTCTGAGGAGATACAGACAAGGTATCACGTGAGCGGATAATTCGCAAACTCACTACCACGGAAAATTGTAGAACAAGCGTGGCATTACGTAGGCCACCGGCCCGAGCGCCACGCCTTACAAACGTTTGTGACTAGCCTCGCAGTGAATCTCTTCTGTAAAATATGACCTCTCGTTCATAAGATTTGACAACACTTTCAGTCTCACTGAGTACCATTCCACATCTTCGATTCAAATGCCTCCCGTACACCCTCACCCTTTCGATCCACTGCAGCCGGGTGAGATAACACAAGCTGCGGCCATTGTTCGTTCACGGTTCTCTGAATATCAGATTAATTTCCGTGTTATCACCCTCAAGGAGCCGGCAAAATGTCAGATGATCAAATACCTCGATGCGGAGCGCGTGTCAACAGGGTTGCCCCCGCAGCCGCCATGTAGACTCGCTCGCTGTCAGATCATTGTCACACGACAAGGAAGAACCGAGTTCCGAGAGCTCATTGTCAACCTGGACGAGCGTGCCATGACTTCAGACACGCATCTCGTGGGAAAGCACTCTTATATCGACTCTGACTACATGCAAGCTGTGGAGAAGGCATGTCGCGCAGACCCAAGAGTTCAGAAGCAGATCGACACTCTCAAGCTGCCGGATAATGCACATGTCATTGTCGAAGCATGGGCATATGCGACGGACGGGGAGAATGATATGACGGAACGAACGACCATGGTACGCGCTTTCTTCTTCGCATTCTCCAAAAGCATCACTAAGTTCTTGTTTAGTGTTGGTTCTACATGCTGTTTGGGGACAACCCAGACGCAAACTATTACGCATATCCCCTAGACATATGCGCTGAAGTGTCGGAAGATTTGACAGTTCAAAAAGTGTACCGTCTGCCATCCGCTGCAAACGAGACAGAGATCCACGATGAGGCGCGAGCTTTCGACAGGCGGAGGATTCAACCTTGTGATGAGAGTGAATATCATCCCGACCTACGTTCCTCGCAACGTACAACCACCAAGCCTCTTCAAGTTGTGCAGCCTGAGGGCGTGTCTTTCGAGACACAGGGAAACCTCTTGAAGTGGGAGAAGTGGAGTCTAAGGGTAGGGTTCAACTACCGCGAGGGGCTTACCTTGCACGATATCCGCTACGATGGAAGGAGCCTCTTTTACCGGCTGTCTTTAGCAGAGATGTTCGTTCCATATGGAGATCCGCGACCACCTTTCACGCGCAAAGCTGCATTCGACCTCGGAAACGACGGTGCTGGTATCAATGCCAATAATCTACGGCTTGGCTGTGACTGTCTGGGATCGATCAAATATTTTGATGCATGGCACAATACCAGCTCAGGCAAGCCTCTGAAGATGCCCAACGTCGTTTGCTGCCATGAACAAGATGATGGTATTCTTTGGAAGCACACCAATTTTCGCACAAACAATGCAGTTGTCACCCGTGCTCGCATTCTTGTGCTGCAGACCATCATCACGGTGAGCAACTACGAGTACATATTCGCCTTCCAATTTGGACAGGACGGCTCGATACATTACGAGGTACGTGCCACCGGCATTCTGTCCACAGTGCCCATCGACATTGGAGATGAAGTTCCTTTTGGCACGGTGGTAGCTCCAGGTGTGCTTGCACCATACCACCAACATCTGTTCAGCCTCCGGATTGATCCCGCACTTGATGGCCACCACAACTCTCTTCAAATAGAGGAGTCCCACGCGATGTCGTCTGCAGAGATGGAAGAGCATGCTTTCGATCCGCACCGAGTCGGGTATGCTACGAAACAAGTTATCGTCGAAGAAGAAGGCGGGTTCGATCTGGACATCTCCAAGGGAAGAGTCTTTAAGATCATCAACGAGCAAAGCATCAACCCCATCACCAGTACTCCAGTCGGCTTCAAGCTCTTTCCCTCTCCAAGTCAAACGCTTCTCGCCCATCCCGACTCGTATCACGCCCGACGATCCGAGTTTGGCCAGTACGCGGTCTGGGTAACGCGCTACAATGACGAAGAAATGTTTCCTGCGGGGCGGCACACCATGCAGTCTTTGGGCAATGAGGGCATTGCGACTGGGATCAAACGAAGGCGTCAGGACCCCGATGCGCCCACATCAGTACGAAACGAGGATATTGTAGTTTGGCACACTTTTGGATCTACTCACAACCCACGCATCGAGGACTGGCCGGTGATGCCATCAGAAAAGATGACAGTCACTCTCAAGCCTGCAAACTTTTTCAGAGGAAACCCGGGGCTCGACGTTGCGACTTCGAAGCAGTCGGTGAACAGGTCTGTCCTGGTTGGTAGTAGTGTGGCTGAGGAGTGTTGCTCGCATGCAAAGTCTAGATTGTAGTGCTCGTTTGAATCCAATAAATTCATTGACTTCCCATCATGCGCCATTTTCCCGATGCTCAGCTGGTATTCGACGGATTGAAGCTCGAAGTCTACCACTTCAGTAGATGGACAATTGCACTCGAAGCATGTCGACCACACGTGAACGTTAGGCTGAGGCACACCAATGGTGCCAAGATGTGTTGAGTTGAATCCGCGAAAGGAAAATGCTGACTGGGCACGGAATTTTGGGGCTTACAATGAAAATTCCGTTGCCCTGCGGAAAATCGAGTGATTCCAGCGAGAACATTCCGGATTGCCTCCCTTCCGTCCAGGGCACGGAAAACGAAAATTCCGTGGCATGGCAGCCTTGTAGGAGACTTGCCTGTCATCATATCGCATATATCGCATAGTCATCGACTGACTTCATCTGAGCCACACGCGAATATGGCTACCAATCTCCCATTTCAATTGGAAGATCCTTCGCTCTTCCACGAAAAGTCTCTGCTGCACGGCCGCTGGGTGGAATCGATTGGTGGTCGACGTTTCGACATCGAAGGTCAGATATTTATGTTCGCTTGTCAACTATGCCAGCTTGTCTAATAATTGATAGATCCGGGCACGGGCATCGTCTTTGCATCATGTCCAGTCAACGAGCCAGATGATGTGGATCGCTACGTGAGGTCTTCACAAACTGCATTTGAGTGAGTGCGTGCGTGTCTTTGCTGTATTCTTGATAAATACTTACCGTCCCATCCTCGAACTCAAGAGAATATCGCCACATCAATCCTCGCATCCGAGCTCAGACTCTCCTCACAAACTCATCACAGATGCACGAAGCGACATCGCGAAGTTGGTCGTTTACGAAACAGGAAAACCAATGGCCAAAGCTCTCGGTGAAGTGGACTATGCCCTCGGCTTCGCTTGGTGGTTCGCAGGAGAAGCAGAACGAGTCCGCGGTAGCATAGCCCAACCATCAGTCTCGAACCGTCGGACCCTCGTCATAAAACAACCGATTGGAGTCAGTGTTGCCCTTGTGCCATGGAACTTCCCAGTGGCCATGGTGATTCGCAAGGTTGCAGCAGCTTTGGCCGCAGGATGTACTATGATTGTCAAACCATCTCCGGAGACACCTCTCAGTACGCTGGCATTAGCAGACCTGGCGATCAGGGCGGGGTTTGCTCCTGGAGTGTTGAACGTTATTACTACCGACGACAAGTCAACCCCTGGAACAAGCGAGGCACTGTGCAAACATCCATTTGTTCGCAAAGTCACATTTACTGGAAGCACGACCGTCGGACAAATAATTGCATCGCATTGCAGCTTTGGCTTGAAGAAGCTGACCCTCGAGCTCGGAGGCAATTGTCCTTTTCTCGTCTTCGACGACGCGGATCTGCAGGCCGCTGTGGAAGCGCTCATGGTTCTGAAATGGAGAACTGCTGGACAAGCTTGCACACATGCAAATCGGGTGTATGTGCAGAGTGGCGTTTACGATAAATTCGCTGCGATGATTCGAGACGCAACAAGTGAACGAATTCGTGTGGGCCATGGTGCAGAGGAGGGAGTAACGATGGGGGCTTTGACAACATCTCGCGGGCTTGACAAGCTTGAGCGACATGTTGCAGATGCAGTCGAAAAAGGAGGCCGAATCCTCTGCGGTGGCCACAGGGCTAAAGTGTCCAGAGGCAACTTCTGGCAACCAACCATCATTGCAGATATGAAGGCCAACATGCTCACAAGCCAGGAGGAGATCTTCGGTCCTCTGTTGGCTCTCTATCGATTCGACACAGAGGCAGAAGCTGTCAAGGCAGCAAATGATACGGACATGGGGCTTGCGGCGTACTTCTTTACGAGAGACGTCTCTCGCTCTTACCGCTTGTTGGAAAGTCTTGAAGCTGGAATGGTCGGTATGAATACCGGTAAGTGTTTCCGCCCATTTGGGTCGCACTTCAGCTGAGAGATCAATGATCAGGCAACGCATCGTGTGCTGAGTCGCCCTTCGGTGGTATCAAATCGTCAGGCTACGGGAAAGAGGCCGGTCTGCAGGTCGCTATTGAGGAGTACCTGATTGCAAAGACAGGAACACTGACGGTGGAGCCTGTTGCGAAATTATGATCTCAGATGAGACCGAGCTTTCGTGGACCAACGAGCAAGTATGACAGCACTCCCGCTATCGATTCATCCAGTTCATGTCCAAGAAGGAAGGGAACAATTCGTTCATGGAGAGCTGATCCAACGCATCGTCCCAAAAAGGCACAAAGTTCATGCTCTCATCAGTCACGGGTATTGTCGCTGGCACGGTCGCAACGCTGGCCTCATCTCCGCCTTCATTGCTCATCGAAGATCTCGTCTCGCCAGTGCCAATAGGTCTGTCATCTTCGACTGGCTGTGTAAATCGAGTCGTTACGTGTATTGTGGCGCTTGGTAGCGAGCTGTCGTCAACGTTATGGTCAGCGCTCTTCCAGCCATCGGCGTTGGCGCGATTATCAAGTTCGTTGTCGAAGGAGCGGCGCATAGGTGTCGGATCGAGCAATTCCCAGATCAATGCTGATCGGAATTTAACGAGTGCTCCTTTCCTGACCCCGTCGCTTTCAGCAGGTAGTGCCGTCTGAACAGCAGCACTGCACTGGAGCTCTTCGAATAGTTCAAGCTGTTTTCGCAGTCAGAAAAGCCAAGCGGCCGACACATCAATCAGGGCAGAATCATACCTTTCGGCCGACGTGAGGCCACTGTTCCGCGAGGCCAGCCAGGAAACCTTTTGCAATGCTGAGATCATCCACTGCCCTGCTCACAATCTTCTCGTCCTCAGCAAACTGGAAGAACCATGGAATAGTGGCCACCGCCATGACCAAATGCCCGATGAAGGGATCGCAAATGGCGAGACCGCTGTCGCGTAGCATCGCGATCAGACGAGAGACCCAACCCGAGTGGAAAAGGGCCTGGTCGATCACTTGCTGCATAAAATGTCGCGAGTGGTAACGACCATCATTTCCGCCATTACTCCGCAACAATAGTATATGTATGAAAGGGTGATTGAGTAGAGCAGGTATCGCGTGAGATGTGATCTGCATGATCAGCCATGGCCGCCAGTAGTCTCGGTGCTGCTCGAGTTCTGCCGAAGTCCACGTAGTCAGGGGTCCTGTGTGTCTAAGTAAGTGTCTGGGATGCAACCTAGCCTCAGTCTCGAAAAGCAGGTTATTCAGAAGCGTGTATGACGAGCCTTCCGCCCATGCCGGGAGAACACTAGTGCGTAATGAAGGCGTAGCTGTCAATTGTTGACGCAGACGATGGATCCAATGTATGACGCGACCAGATACGGCCATCCACTCCCATGCATATGCGTTGATGCCAATGTCTTTGTCTTCTCGCTTCACGTCGTCAAGCGTATCTCCCATGGCTGCCAGAATCGCATGTGGGTACGAGTGGCTTGGGAGACCTGGGATCCACTTCGGAGCAGAATAATCTTGCTCCGGACTATTTGGAAAGAAACAACGCTGCAGCAGCAATACACACCATGCCACTCTCGCAGATGCACTTTTGAGCGACAGACTTTGGGCTTGTTCCGACAGATCATCGTGGCTCGGGATCTTCATTGAGGGAATGATCGAAGCTTGGAGCGCATGCAATTGCACAGCCGTTCCGATCGTCATCCACGCGCGTGTGGGATCCTGTACTGAAGCAGCAAAAGTGAAATCATCAGCTACCTCATACAGCCATGCTGCGTAATGCGTAGTGCGTCTTACATTTTATTTCAGTCAACGCCAAAAGACAAAGTGTTCGAAGCACGTCCAGTCTCGAAGATCCCTCAGCGGCCAACGGCAGAACCATGTGCCGTGCGGACTCTGCGAAACCTGCAACCAGCTCTGATCGCTTGTCTCTGTACAGCTCGTGATCAGAGAAGGCCAAAGTGAGCGCACAAAAAGCGTGCAACAAATACGTGCGGCCACGCTGTTGTGTAATTTCGCCATGCAGCTGATCTTCGTCGAACAACGGAAGAGGCTGTAGGTGAATAAATGATCGATAGACATCTGCCAGATGGCTATACAGTATCATAGCTTGCATGCTGTTTAGGAATGAGCGCCCATCCTGAGCATCAGCACCTTCCTGGTAGGATGATTCCCCATCACCGTCGTCAGCGTTTGCAATGAATGTGTCGTTCCGGGGTCGGCGCTGGCTCTTGTCATGCCGTGTCGAGTGATTCGGAGGGCCAGTGGAAGTACCTTGTCTCCTGATTCGTGTGAACGTGTGCTACGCCGATCGGGAATGTTTGCGGGATAGCGTACTGGAGCAGATTATATATGCCATTGACTTGAGACTCCAGTCTTGTAATGCGTGCTGGAGTACGGCTACGTGAGGTCAGATATCCTTGGTCAACACGAGATCAATAATTGTACTTGGCTTACGCTTTCGTGGCCCGCCTACCGGCGTCCGCCCCATGACTTGAACGCGCACGGTATAGAGCACGATGCGAGTACACGCACTGTTGTGCCATTCGAGTGCAGGTTGAGCACGCTGGCTTTTGACCAGGACATTTGATCTTCTTTCGACTGTAGATGCACCTCAGTACGGCTCGGTGGGACCTATGAGGATGGGTGATGAGCAGACGCACCGACAAGGGTCGCAAGACTTCCTTTCTTGCGCCCGCCCACTTTGGACTGATGTATTGCATGTATCGCTCATTTCATGGTTGCAAGAGAACAGAAGCTGTGGAGTCCAAGGTGTAAGGCCGATCAGGATAAAGTGGGGCACGTTGTCGTTAGATTAGTACCCGAACAGGTTCTGCCAACCGGTCCGGTGTCCAAGGTAGCGTCTTAACCAGTGAAGTACAATAACTTCTTCAAAGTGTCATTAGTAGTATGATAGAGAATAGTCGCTGATACTGACCTTTGTTATAGACTGGGTGTTCCTTCTGGCGTTCATCACACGCATGGTTTCCCAGCTTCACGGTTCGTCTTAGTCAGACATGCGGGCTTGGCGTTCGACCGCACGCTATCATTTGCTGCAGACTTGAGCCTTCTGAGGTCACTCCGGAGCTTCTCCAACCATCGCTGAACGACGGACTGTTATTTCCTTCGGCTGTTGAGGTAGCAGGCATCGTGCGCTTTCGCTCAGCTATTTTCGGAGGGTCATGTACGTAAAATTCTGCTTCGTTCTCATCAATTAATCTCTTCATTGGTCTAGTGGTCATGATTTCCGCTTGTCATTGAATTAATCTCAAGCGCGGGAGACCAGGGTTCGATTCGTGAGTGCAAGAGTTAACACTCCATCAGGGTTCCATTACTGACCATTTCTCAGCCTGATGGAGAGCAGCATTAGCCTAGCCGACATCTTTTTTTGTTTTCGGTTCGCATCCCACAGCCTGATCAGCTGTTTGTCATGGTCGTCGTTGTGAAGTTATGTCTGGCAGTCTCTTAATCTTTTTGGTTCACCACGAGCGCATGTAGTGTGCTACACAAGGACAAGATGCGATCTACGAGATCGTCTGAAATCAATGCTTTGCAATTCTTGTTATTGGCCCATGACAGCTTATGCCGTAGATGTACTCCGTTGGGCTTTGCCTATGAACGGTAGAGATATGTCTTGGATGGGCGAATTGCACCATCCACTATACCATTCATCTTACAAAGCGAACGTGGCTCAGTGACACTCGAGATTCGTTGAGTTGCGATAATTACCACGAAGCGTAGGGCGCAACCACCCCAGGAGTCTCATAAAATTTTGGTCCGGTATGGAGAGCAGCAAGGGCTAATCGCAGGTTCCACAAGCCTCTCCTCACGTCGCCGTTCGCTTTTTTGCATAGTCTGACGGCCGTTCATCTGTCATCGAACTGAGTCGATGGCATGGGTTCTGCGATCAAGCAATGAACAACTCAATGGCTCAGTCGCGACCGTGAACCCTCCGCCGAAATATGGTATACCAGTATTCCAGCGTCTGTTGTCATAATTCGTTCGTCTAGACAAGGACCTCCCATCCCAAGTGCCGCATATGGTCGGAGATCGAAAAATGTAGAGCTCCACTGTGAACTCTTATGCATACCTGCTCTATGCTGACGATGGCCTTGAGCTTCACATCGATGTGCGACAACACTTTCAAGACATATTGTGTAGTATTTGCGTTGTTACAAGTCAACCAGCCGCGATCTTTGCTGTGGATCATAAGCTCCAGGGTTCTGAGTCCTGTGCACTTCTTTTCAAGAACCGCAAGCATCTCTGCGCTGTCTGCTCGAATTTGGCAGTTCTTGGGTCGACTTTCGATATACGGAAAGCTGACACAAAGGTAGTGAATAGAGCTCGCATTTCGAGGCCCTATGCCATTCAGGAAGTGTCTCAGTAACACGACCTCTTTTGGAGTCATTTCCAGGAGGCTGAATTTGTTGGTGCGTTATAGTACTGCACTTGCTTCGGAATTGATCTGTCTGCTGACATGTAGCAACGCGAGCCACTGAACCGGTTTTTCAGGGGCAAATGATTCGACTAATTCGTTTGTTTCTTGGAAGACATAGATCGGATGCGGCACACGCAGCACCATCTCGTATATGCGACTCTGGAGCTTGCGAGGCAGTTTCAAAATATCGCTCGTAGTTGCGTCTCCTGATGTCGAAGGCTGATCCGCCGCGACTCCTGCCTCATTTTGCGTTATAGGGTCAGATTTCACGAGGTCCATCTTGGGACGACTGGCTGTTCGCTGATGGCTTCAGGAGATAAACAAGTCTCAGTGTTAAACCCAAATTCAAGCCAGGGCAAACAAAGATTGAAATTCCCCGAAAGTTCTTTCCGCTTTATGCCTGTGCTAAGTCTCACACGCCCAGGGCTTCGGGCTGTTGCAGGAGTATCCGGGTGAAGATCGATCGACGTCACGAATAACAACACAGTCGTGTCGCGGGGCCGTTCGTGGTATAATAAATGGAAGAAGATATCAAAGCAAGCAGGGTGCATAGCGCGAGATCCATCCCAAAAATATGAATTCGGCTCTCACGTGCTCGTGAACGACACTTGCCGCTATTGATGCAAGAGTGATGCATGATTTTACTACCGTGTTACAGGTAGTATGCAGCTAGCCTTTCTCCCTGCCCAACATGACATCAAAAACGCATTCAGAGTCCAAGTATCTAGCTGCTGCCATCGGTTTTGCTAAAATGAAATCTTATCTAGCTAAAGTGAAATCTACTGTTACCAAAGATTACTAAGGAATTTGACCAGATTTTGTATCTCCTTTTCCTGCTCGAATTTTGGCCTGGCGGCCCGCTCGAGTACGCGCGACGCATCGACGGCAAGCCGTCTGCGCGCGTACGTCGCTCCTTGCTCTAGAAATAGAGGGTTGGGGGAGGTAATACAGTGTAGAGTCCTTAGAGTCTTTAGTGAGCTGATAGCATTTAAGTAGGGCAGATTTCATTTTAGCTAGATAAGATTTCATTTTAGCAAGTCCGGTTACGCAGTCGCTTCTCACATCTTCAATCATCGCTTCAGCTCTGTTCTCTAGAAACCCTGCACTCCCAGAAAGCATAAAACAACCAAGACATCACAGCGTGCTCAGCATGGACTCCAGCTGTAATGACAAGATAGGTTCCAAAACTGTCCACCACAAGTAATGCCTCAGTTGTTTGGGGCACAGTTCCATCTCGTTTCAAGCCAATAGACATGGAATTCTCTGTCTCGCCAAGCTAGCGGTTCGCATGGACGAGTGCCGTTCATTGAGACATAGCTGGTAGCAGAAGATGGTTGTGGGTAAGACACGTCTCTGAAATGCAGTCATGACTGGAGCGAGACGAAGTGGGCAAAGAGTCCCCTGTGTCAGACTGATGCCGCCAGGCAGTTCTACTTAGATTCGTGAGACGGACCATCTACGTGACAAAATGTTCCGATGAGACCTCTGCTGACATGCTGAAGAAATGTCAACCTCATCGCGATTTCGGGCTTCTCGGCGCCGACACGCTGATCGCGTGAAGTCCTTCGTTCGTTCTCTCTTCCGACGCCATTTTCTCAAGGTCACCGTGGGTCGAAGCAGTGAATTGCACAAGACCAAAAGATCTCGAGCCCTAGAGTCAAGTGAGTGCTAAAGAATCCCGATAAGGCTCATTTCTCATGTCATTGCAGGCCGGATGGGATCGAGGGAAATGCGCGAGCTCTGATTTCGACGTTGCTCTCACAGAGTGCAGCGAGCTTTGTGGCTTCAACGACCCTCAACGATCCCAGTGACGGACAGACTGTGTCCTCTGACACCATTGCCCCGTTTCTCGATCAGTATCGATTGCCATCAAACGATCTCTGGAGCGCTGCCTTTCGTGAGGCCGTCAAGCGAACCATGAAAGACTCTGACATTTCCCAAATGGAGGGCCTAAACGTCGCACAGCTGTTCGAACAACTCGAGATCACTGACGAGCGAGCGATGCAAGACGATGCCTTCTTGAGAGGCGTGAAGTTCTTGAGATCCATCCAAGTACCACTCGAGAACTTCAAGCTGGCTTTGGACTTGGCATCGCCATTGACATCTCTCGAGCCTACTAGCTTGACAGTCTGCGGTGTCATTCGCAGCGTAACAGCAGTAAGTGTTATTTCAATAGGGTGGCGTGCGGCTCGCTGGTGTGATCAGGCGGCTAACAATCACGGTCGCAGATTGCAATCAGCCTCGCCACTGCTGATCTGGATTTTGCAAAGCAGATTGGAGAGATGCTCGAAAATATGAGATACATAGATGACTGTGACACTTTCGGCCGAAGGACGAAACAGCCGGAGGTCCACAAGGTGAGCAAAAGCTGTTCAACTTTCGTATTTTTCTAATCCTCCTTAGGCACTGGTATTGGTATACGTGAAGATTCTGGAGTTCTACAACGTGGCATTAGATGTATTGGCCAAGAAAGGCACCGGGCTGCTGTTAAAACTGCTACAAGAGAAGGAACGCCTACCAGAAATCGTCCAAGATTTCCTGAAACATGCTGATGCCCTTGGCCGTCTGGTCACTAACGCCACGCTCGAGATCACAGCAGACATCAGGGACATTCTCACCCAATTCGAAAGTGAGTCCAATGCGATATCCCATGAGTGAGATTTTGCTTATCATATCATAGTCTATCAATGGTTGGGCAGAGACAAAATGGATCGACAGAGTGAGCTCCATGCACAGATGCGCGAGTTGCGCCGCGCAGATTTCGACTCTGCGTACGCTCGAAACAGACGATATTCTTCGCCAGGTGAAGAGGCATGCGCGTTTCTGCTGACCGACGAGACTTTCATGCAATGGTACGCGTCCCTTTCTGTGCAACATCTGGCCATACTAGGAGAGATGGGCTGCGGCAAATCCGCACTTGTTGCATTCTTGATCGATGAACTGAGGCGCAGGAACGAGCACCTCCTGCCCAACCCGAAGATATGCTACTACTACTGCCTTGACGATGGGACCGGTCAGATTGCAAGCATACTTTCAGTCCTGATCCTTCAGCTGCTCGAGCAACTTCCCGGCATGAAACTCACCTTCTATGAATGGTACAAGAAGAACTCTGGAACCAATCCGGCGAATGATGGTTCAATGCTCGAAGAATTCTTGCGTATGGTGATCATTCCATTGGATCGGTCACTTTACATCATAGTCGACGGCCTTGATGAATGCGTTCAAGCAACAAAGAGAACACTACTCAGATTTTTGGAAGAGCTAGCCCGATCGAATTCAAGGTTGAAAATCTTGCTTTGTTCTCGGCCTTACCACCTCTTGCAACTTGATGCTACGCTGAAGCTCCAAATTTTACCTCTGGATCGGAGAGATCGCCTCATCTCGAGACACATCGTCGACAAGCAGCTATGGCACCTGTCTGAAGAGATCAGAGAGGTTATTGCTGAGCATTTATCCGCGAACGCTTGTGGCAGTGCTATATGGATCAAGATGATGACGGATCTGATCGAACTTGAAGGATACACCACACTGCCTCTGATACAACAATTTCTTCGAAAGATGGCATTGCCTGGCCCGCTCTCTCGCTTATACGACGAGGTTTTGTCAAGATGTGCTGTGAACGCTGAGCGCCGAGAACATGTTACCTTGGCACTCTGGATTCTTGCGGCGGTGCGCAGGCCATTGAGCATTGCGGAGCTCGCGTTCGCTGTCGCTTTGGGCCTAGCACCATCGAACATAACCACAGTTGCTGCGCTCAGTGAGATGGTGGACGAAGACAGAACACTGAATATGATACGTCCCTTCATCGCACAAATCGATCACTGCGACCACAAAAAGCGCCAGATCCGTCTCTTGCATCAATCAATCAAGGATTACATCGTTGAAAAGCTCGACCCAGAAGAGCACATTGCTTCACACGCAGCCGGGCCAAACTTGTGCACACAGCTACTTGTCGGTCAAGTGGCACAGCACACCGAGAAATGTGTGCTAAACATTTGTGTTAGATATCTGCTTCTAGATGAAGTGGGCACGACCAACCTATTTTCACAACGGCAATGTGCCATTGACGCCCTGCCCCAGGAGACTGATCTGTTTGAGGATGATATCGCGGGAGCAGTGGATTTCACAAAAGATTGCACGTGGGATCAATGGGAAGCCAATATGATACGCTACGATCCAGCGGAACGCGGCTTTGGTGAATTCTTCGCATACGCTGCGTGCCACTGGGTCGAGCATCTCGGCAGCATTGATGCTGAACATCTGCCATCTCTAGCAGATGTTGAGCGACTGTGCTCGGTAGGCTCGAGGCGGCTGCACAACTGGATCGAGCAGAATCGACGACCCGATTGCGTCCTACAGGCAAGATTTCCGTTTGATCCTACACTTCATGATCCCCTAAGCATTGTCTCTTTGTACGGTTCTGAAGCCGTGTTGTCTGGGATGCTGGAAAGACCACTTGTCAGGGACAGGTATCATGCGAATACAGCCATGAGAGCCGCCGAACAAGTTCTGCGTTGGAGTCCTCCAGAAAGAGTGTTAGTACTCATGCGTAGTTTAAGAGCACGCTTAGATGGTCGAGGATCTGGGGTCGATACTTCCGATGCAACTGCTATCAGACAAGACCTGAGCAGAGCTTGAACCAGTGCAAACAGTGAGATATAGGAGCTAGCAATTACACGATAGTGCCGTCAAGATCAATGTTACCGTGAGGTAGAGACACTTTGAATCTGCCAGTGTCCTTCCCGAGAATGCTGACTGCCCCATTCGCTTTCATGGTATCTTCTGTGCAAGTTCTTGAGGGCGGAGCTACCGTCTTAGGGAATTCCGAGGACGAATATCGCAGATGAGACTCTGCGTAATACAGATGACGTTCCGGATTATTGTCGCAAGCTTGCATACTGGAATATGCCGAAAACATTTGGACTTCTCGATGCCTTGGGAACGGTTGGAGTGGCGTGGTGGATGCGTTCAAGGCCCTGAATGAGCGACCACAATTTCGTTTGGTGCGACCTCATGTAACTGGGACAACTTCCAGTTCGTGTGAGTGAATGCGCGTGCAGTCGGCCGAAGAGAGGAATTTGGCTTTTGAGCTTGATGGCAATGCGCATAGCCTTGCAACAAACTGTAAGGCCACAGGTCCGCGCCCTTGCAGTAGCCTGTCCGAAGGTCGTGTGAGATGGTCGTATCGTCGGAAGTCGTGTCGGAAGCATATAGCGGCTGGGTCTCATTGGTGCTCGTTCTTGTTGTGGAAGTCAGTACGGATATGGCACCCAGCAGAAAGTGCTGGGAGCTGCGCGACAAGCGTTGTCGCCAATATTAGCAGGGAATATTTAGCATTTCTGGGGCGCAGCATGAGCCTTCCGGTGCTTTCTGGGTAGCAATGGCTATGAAATTTGCGGATAGTCCTCGGACATGAATTGCAGAATGAAGTCGTCCTCGAACAAATCTTGTGCAGTCGGTCTCTCTTCTGGGAGCCATTTCAAAATTTTCCGCATGAGGTTGAGAAGCAGCACTTTGTCTTTACGGACCAGGCGCATCTCACGCGATTCGAGGGTTTGGTGCGGGATTGGCGTTGCGGCGATCCAGTTCCCTTCATATATTAGCCGGATCGAGAAACGGAGCCATGCTGATCGGTGTCCAGGACGACTCACCTTCAGAATCCCAAAAGTTGCGGCATTTACTGCAGCGTTCTAGAAATTGTTTGGGGGGAGGTCCCATCAGTGAGACCATTTGTGCAAAGTGTAACTCGTCGTTGAGGTGCCCATCCTTGACGGGATCAAATAGATTGCCATCCTCAAGCAGGTTCCAAATCTTAGTATTCTGACGTCAGTGACTGTTCGTGCACATGGATGAATGAACACATACCATAACCCCGACAGACCAGATGTCTATCTGAGAGTCCCATTGCATGCCAGCAATTACTTCCGGAGCTCGGAAGGCCCCAGGCATAACATCGCCTGAGTACTTTTGGCCTGGCTCGCCAAGACGTGCGGCGCCAAAGTCGGTGATGACTGGTGGGTCGTAACTCGTTGGCATGGCGTAGGAAAGATGAATTGTTCGGTCCGCGAGGACCTTGCGCGGTGACGGATTATCCAGTTCTGCCTGCTCCACTTTGGCTATTGTGGTTTCATCGGCTCCGACGAGTATGTTGTTAGGCGATAAATCTTTTTCTATTTCAGCCAGTATGCCTTCAAAATTTCACAATTACTGACCTGTATGCACTACTCCTGCCTGGTGCATGAAGTCTAAGGCAGTCACGATTACGAGTAAGAACTTCTGCAAGAGGGTTTTCTCGAGGGCCTTCTCGTCGAACAGATCGCGCAGATTTGTTAAAGTCATGCCTAAGGCCGGAAAGACGAGACATTGATGGGAACCGTGCGGTCCTTGGATTTGGAAATCCTCCAGAGCTACACGCAGATGTGATTTACCGGGATGTTCGGCATCGATGGATTTCAGGTGCTGTGATATTGCCACTTCCTGCGACTCATCCGTACCAATGCTGCAGATTTTCAGAGCCAGCAACGTCTTGTTCCTGTACATCCATTAGTAAAGGGTACTTTATACCAATTAGAGCCACTCAACTGTAGATCACGGCAAAGCCAGACGGTGGAAGACGTTCCGAAGCCTAACTTGGCGACTACTTGATATTTCGACCTAAACACTTCGCCAATCTTTACAGGATAGAAGTCTTTAGCGCTGTAGCCTATCAGCTTCTCCTCTTCAAACTTGACATTGGTTGGTAACAAGGGAACGTCATCGGTCGGAAATGCTCGAGGCTGGATAGCCAGACTGCTGGTGCATGCCATTGCGCGCCGAGCAAGTTGTAGCGCTCGGCGATGGGTGACGATGTGCCAATTGGAAGAAATCTGCCTGATGACCGATGCTGTTTTGAGCGTACGGGGGAGCAGCAGTGCCGCACGCATGCTTTCCGAACAGCGGAATATATGCAAATGCAAAAGAAAGGGTTGTGACCATGACAGGGAGTGAACTGTTAAAGTGGAACGAGCGGAAACGATATTCGGGGGACGAGCCTGCCGGCCGAGCGTGCCGAGCCGACCAAGCGGACCTCATGTTTGGCAGGCCCCACGGTATACGCCGCAATGTCACATACGGTATCTAAGACTAGCGTTCATCGCGTTGGTATGGTTGGTCATGATCTCTCACTGCCTCATTCCAAGCGCTCGCTTCCTCGGGGTTTCCGGATTGATGTCGGCCGTCGATGCCCGCGTACAAGAACGCATGGAGAAGTGGCCTACTGGGCTGCGACGGCTCAGCGCTCATGCAGCAACCGTGGGCTACCACGAGCTACGTATTTGCGCGCGCTTATATCGTGTGCGAGGCCTCCGAGCTTGCGAGGCGCTATCAGGAACCTGTTGATTTGCTAGGTCTGAGAACACGATCTATCGTGTGACGCTGGCCTGGCAACATTCTTCGTCGCTGGCGTTTGGAGCCTCAGTCCCGTGTATCTATAAAGGCTGGCGAAGATACGACATACCGAGCATTATTCAGGTAACTACACAAGTCTCAGCAACACCCCTCACCCCGATTCCAGTTCGCAACCGCTCTATTCTGTCAAGATGCAGAAGACATCATCCCTTGCGGTCAAATACATTGGCTCGACGTCAAAACAGTCCATTCCGGCAGCTTTCCAGGCAGCCACCAACAAGGCAAGCGAGACTATTGAGAAGAAGGTGGGTGAATACTAGACCCAAATTGAACATTTGAATCGCACAAGTTCTGACTGCAAATTAGTACCCAAAGGTTCAGGACGCAAAGATACAGTAGGCTCCTCGTTCATCGATTACTAAAAATGTTCCCAATGCGATCGATCCATCCTGATCGCAGGATGTCAATCTCTAGGGGCGCCCAACCTCACAAATCATCGAAGGACCCAAATGACCCAAAGCAAGTCATTACCATCAGTTATCACACGGCGAAGGGCACACGAGTCACCTCGGTTCACGTGCATGACGATAACACATTCGTTGAGTTTCCATCTCGCAATGCAGGGAAGGGAAAGTGATTGTGAATGATGCAATTGAGTGGCTAGGCGACAGCGGCGTGATTTCTTGTATGGGGGGTTTTCTGTCACCAACGACCCGGACAACTTGCATAGTGAGCTTACTTCGTATAGTCCTCCACGGGCATCTGAAACATCATTAAAAGCATCTCTCGATGGAATCGGAGCCACTGGTTTGGGGCAATCAGTCGTTTCCGCATGTGCTGTCTGAAGCATGTTCGAATGTCCAGTACTGTGCCTGCTTCTCCTTCCTGAGAAAGGCTGTTTTGGGTCGCTACTCACCGATGCTTTCATTCGTGGAGGCCGTCCTCAAATTCACTTTTGATGTCTTCGAAGTAATGCATGGAGTACACCGAATCACCTCTTGTACGTGAGATCGGGGGTCGAAAGGTTGGGCCTAAGGCCAAGATAGCTCGGAGCAAAGTACCGCCGGAACCGGCGCTTGCCGTCCACCTCTCCCACTATTTCGCGGAACAGTGCAACTGAACTACCTCGTCATCCAATCGTCCACGCCCAGGACCACCACCGCCGCCATGGATATCCGCGTTCTGCAGCTCTCCGACATCCCCCATGTCCAACAAACGAACATCACGAACCTTCCCGAGAACTACTTTTGCAAATATTACATGTACCATGCTCTGAGCTGGCCGCAATTGAGCTATGTAGCAGTCGATGTACGTATGACTTGGTCCAGGGCATGATAACCACATAGAATGTAGAAATGAAGCTGATGCGCCTCTACTATAGGTTTCGCGACCTCAGAAGACACCCTACGATGCGCCCAAAATTGTCGGCTACGTCCTTGCGAAAATGGAGGAAGACCCGTCAGATGGGATACAGCATGGACACATCACTTCCTTGAGTGTGATGAGGACACATAGGCGACTAGGATTGGCAGAGAAGCTTATGCGACAAAGTCGTGAGTCGACATGCTCAGGTTCAGGATATGCACGATGGAAGCTGACAAGAGCGCACAGAACGGGCCATGTTCGAGACATTCGGCGCAAAATACGTATCGCTACACGTACGTGAATCAAACATTGCAGCACTTTCGCTATATCGGGACACACTGGGTTTCAAAGTTGTCGCAACGGAGGCCAAGTACTACGCCGATGGAGAAGATGCGTATAGCATGCGTATGGATCTGGACTTCCTGCGAGAAGAGGCGCTGGACGATGAGTCAGATGACGAGATCGCGAAGGATGAAGGAGATGAGGTCGGGAGTGCAGGCAAGGCCGGAGATGCTGGGCTGAAAGAGAAGAAGAGAAAGGTGAAAGTGGGGAGACAATTAGGCGTTGGAGAGCTGGTGGAGCGGAATGAGAGCTCGCAACCTGCATGAGGAGCTGCTCCGCGCGCTTAGAGTGGAGCAATGTCATGAACAAAGTCAGTGCCGCTGGCAAAGCCAAACATCAGCTACGCTGGCCGTTTGGCGATGGCCACATCTGCAGTGAAGAAAACCTGTCATCACGAAGACGAGGCAAGTGGCTCGGAAGCCTAGGCCTATAGAGCAGTAGCCATGGCTTTGTCTCCATCAGACCAGCTTTGCGACTACCTCGTAGAGTATTAGGTGCTGATATCAGTCAACAGGCCCGCGAAAAACTGTGGTAGGACAGCCAATCGAATACATTCGACGATGGCTTCATGCCAACTCTCGATCTCGCTCGCCCATTCGACGACTTTCATTGAATGCTGTGAATGTGAATGTTGGAACACCGATAGCGAACAGTGTCCAGACACAACGTGGTACAGATGCGTTCAACGACGAATGATCTCAAAAGCGCCAGCAAAGACTGGAAGTCGAGCGTTCTGGCAATATTCCGAGCTTTTTTCGTTGTCTACAAGAATTCCGGCGAGCCGACCATTTTCATTCACCCGGGACAGCGGCGTACTGATGCTCAATCATACTTTGGCGAAGGTAACTACAATACAACATGCCTGTCATCGGTAACATAGCTGTGCAGCTTCAGGATAGTTCAGGACAAGCTGTTCGTATCTTCCCTGATCTCGAGGTCGAATGGTCAAAAGGCTCAAAGACGGTCTCATGCTTGGTGCTCGCAACGCCCGGCGAACCTTTCCAGCTCGTGATCTCATCTCCAAGTGTCGATAGCTTATGGACACGAGTACTGATTGGAGATGAGCTGGCATATCGGAGCAAGGCGACTTGCCACGGAGCTGTGCGTGGATGGCTCGAGTTGAAGGCAGCGGAGGGATTGTGGCATCCTTCAAGGGAGTGGGGCATGGTCTCTACGAGCCCTCACCTGTCGTCAAACAGCAAGAGTCCCAGAAACATTGTGATCGAGTTGACTGCGCATTCTGAGAAGATCAGCACTCAGGACAAATTTTGCTGCATATTCAAATTTCGCCCACTCTCGGAGCTGCAAAAGCTCTTTCCTTGGACTCCGATCTCCGAGCTCATGTCACTGCCGCTATCGATCGCCAACGAGCCAGAGTCAGAGCCAGCTTCAACCACGTCCTCTCCACCATCGCTCTTTATTCCCACGACGCGGCTATCCCCATCTGGGAAAGGCGAATGCGAGGTGGAAATCTTGCACTGTTGCGGACTCAATCTCTACGGCGCAGCACCGGACACAAGCACAGGTGACATCTCTCACACCGGCATCATCAACTGCGATAACGAGTGGTGTCAAGTTCCGGGCCAAGCTTGGCACAAGTCTTGCGCAGGCATGGAGATTTGGGAAGAACCAAAAGAATTGTGGATTTGTCCGACTTGTAGGGGTATGCCTTGGAAGCAGATGGAGATATTGGCGGGAGGGCTGGGCGCTGACGATGAAGGAAGCAGAGATGGTTATGATTAATTACAAAGAATGCCGTGAAAGGGGTTAGACCTGGTTGAGGACCGCTGCAAAGTTACGAATACAGCCTCTTCTCCTTGATTTTGTCCAAAGCCAGACCGGTCCCTAACGTTCCCACTGCTAGAAAGCCCACGTCTTCCTCCGGTCTAACATCACCTAGTCGTACCTTCACATTTTTGTGGCGCCGTGCAATATCAACGCCGTCCTCTGTTGAGCTTCTGACATCCAACATCGCAACAGGGTTGTGTCGTAAGTAATTGACAAATTCGTCAAGCACCGTGGGGCCTTTCCGGCAGATGTCGAAAACTGCGGTGAGGAGCCCGGCAAAGACCAAGAGAGATGAGATTATGACCAAGGTGCTGAGCCAGAAAGTGCTATAGCGCAATACTGCAAAGGAGATTTCATTTTGGCCTTTGCGAAGTCTGATGCCATATCCATAAGATCCCCATTCAGATTGGAAACTGGCTTGATCCACTAGATCAGTGACCAGTGGTGCGGAAAAATTGCCGGTAACAGCATCCGGGGCAATGCTGACGAGCCAAAAGGTATTGAGAAGTTGCGTAAACCTCTGCGAGAAAAGCTCTGGCCCTATGTTTCCGATCGGATCCGAGTTTTCTTCTATATGGAAAGGCGTCGCAGGAGCTAGGAAGTACTGCTCAAGTGGCGTGTAGTAGCGATTCCTGTTTGGCGGCACAGCATCCATGAACTGCCTAAAAAAGCTTTCAGCAACGTAAGGGTTCTCCCCGTCAAGGTAGGTCGCAGTGCTTGGAAAAGGCTGTTGTAAACTTCTGCGTATCGATCCGACGGTACAGTTGCGAGGTCCGTCATAACAGGTGAAGCGGACATCGACGAAAGTGGTAGTCATGTTACACCATGCTTCTGTGAGTATCGATGGGTCTCCTCCATTAGGATTTCCGAATGTGCCAGTTTGGAAGCCAATGACACGTGGGCTTGTGTCGTTCCACGTGTGATTTGCAGTGATGTCCCGTAAGAGTGGATTGTTCTCCGGTCCAGGTGACGAAGTTCCAGGGATGAATCCGGTATTGTTATACAGTTTCAACCCGGGTCGCAACGCGGAATTTGCGAGCGGGAGGGCAGGGTAAGCTGTGGTCTCGTTACGCCGTTTCCAGGCACTCATAGCGGTGGCACAGTCCAGGTAGAAATAAGAAGTCTGCATAATGAAGCCGGAATTACCGTGTTGCTCAGCTCCGGAGAATGGTATTCCAATTAGGGCAACGTTCACAGCCGACTCAGCAGCAGTTGTGTTGTACCACCCATTTTCATCTGCTTGCCCCGATTGCGCTTCAAGCATAGGGATATGCAGATTGTCAAAGGCATCCTGCGATCCTTGCTTTGTGCTATTCGGGCCCGCTAGAGCAGCGACGTAAGCAGATCTGATGACTCCGCCGAAACTTGATGCATCGTTGGCGTAAGTAGATATTGGCTGACTGCCATTGAAGTCGAGGTGCACGAGCCAGGCGGAATCCAGTGTATGTGAGACAGATGGAGACACCGCCCTCAAAGTAGCTTGGCCGCCAAGCGGCGATAAGCACCAAGTCAGGAGAATGGCAGGTGTCCAGATACATATTATTTGGAGTCGCGGTAGGGCCAGCAAAGCTGATGCTAAAGAGCGGCTTGCTAGCAGGTACTCAAGCGCTCCAATTGCAATGTCCTTTTCGAGTCTCCAAGATGCCAGTGCTGTCATCAACTGCCCAATAATGGCCGCGAAAACAATAGGGAACACTGAAGGTCCCTTTTCCCAGTCAGTATTGATATCCTGGAGCAGGGTCGAACCGAACTGACAAATCTGGCGGCCTCTAGCAACCATGTTGCAATAGGCGAATCTTCGAGCCGTGCGCCATCGTAACGGTAGGCAAGGCTCGCAAAGACAAGGAAATACACTGGCAGCACGCCTGTTGCAAGGGCCAGACCGGCGCCGAAGAGATTCTTCTTGAAGCTGCGCGCCGGTGCTCCAGCTTGTTGCTCCCGACCGGATTTTGGCTGCAAGCTGCTTGATTCACTCCACCCGGACAGGGTACTATCCTGGCTGTAGCTGTGACTGTGCATCCTCAAGGGCTCCCTGATCAACTTAGTCGTAACAGTGACAGTGAATGCTGTGAGCGTGTGCCTGCGAGCGCAGAGCAATTACATATCGCCACCATCTCTTAGCATAATTGGAGCCACCCCGCTTCTCGGCAATGTCTTTCACGTAGGGTGCAGGTGTGTTGCATGACCTGCAGCTTGGACGAATGCGCTGTCAGTAGTATTGAGCCATCGGACCAATCTGGGTAGCTTTAAACATAGAAAGGCTGAGATGTGGAAGGCTGAGCTGCGCAAGGCTGAGATGTGGAAACCTTAATAATGTGAGCCGAGACCACCTACACTTGGTTCCGTGGGCTGCGAATTGTTGCTGCGCAAAGCATGCTGATGCTTCGACACATATTAGAGAGGTAATTATACAAAGTCGAAAGTGTCGCCCTGACCACTGAGCATGGTTTTGACTCTTTCTGTCCCGACGATTCTTTCCAGCCGGAGTCCATCCCATTTACTGAAGACATTACGGACGCTGGTCTCAATAGGATCGATTGTCCCTTCACTGATGGTGGCACCAAGGTAGCCTTCGACAAGTTCCTGGTAGAAGATCGGATTGTCTGGCAGTCCATACATGACCACTCTTTTCACGCCTTTCATTCGCAGGCGATAGAAGTGGTGCGCTCTCTGTGTATACAGGAGTATCGAATGCCGGCCGTTGCGAAAATGAGCTTGCGCTCGCCGCTGTTCAGACTTCTCACTGTAGTCATGGATGGTACCGAAAGAAATGTTCTCCGTCTGTGTAGATGTGGCGAAGTAGTTTCGCAGTCGGAGGAAGTCGAAGTATGTAGGGACGAAGACCAAGATACCTTGTGCGCCATCTGCAGGCTTCGGAAGTTTCAACAGTCGTGGTAGTATCGCAGTTGTGAAGTATTTGAACCTTGCATCGGGATCGCCTGGAGGGGACGGTGAGTCGAAACGGGAGAACGTCTGCTTGAAGCCCAGGCCACTTGTTGTTGTGATTGCACCAGAGTATACTGGTGCAATCTTGGTCTTACCAGCAACGTTCTGCATGTGCGAGTTGTACAGTCTGTTCATTTCCGGCGTGATGTAAGCGGACAAGACGATCGTCTGGCGAAGGTATTTGGCGTTCCCATCGAGATACCAGTTCCGGACACGCGAAAAGTCACACCCATGCGAGTCCTTGAGCTCAAGATTGAGATGATTGAAGACGATTTCGACGTTCTCCCAGTTTTGCATCTGCATAGCATCTGCTTGATCTGCGACAACTACTTCGATAGAGGTGAGGAAGTCATGATCTCGTTTCTTCTTGTCCTCATTTTCAATGATTTTTCGAATCCCCAAAGGCGAAGCGAGGATGATGTCGCTGTTGTAGAACGCCGAATAGAACTTGAGCGTTTTTCGAGTGAACTTCAATCCAGTCATGAAATCATCACTGTCATTGCCACCAAATAGCTCTCGATAGTCTTCTGGAATATGCTCGCGATCGTCTAAAGGCGCGGTAAAGGCATCGTCGAAACGTTTACGGTTCTCCTGCTGATCGGGTTGAAACGCACTGACAATTGCATCGGCATAGTTCGCAGCCATTTGACGTGTTCCATTTAGGATGAGAACCTTTGGTCGTACGAAGCCCTGATCTCGACACTCCGGAGCATCTATATCATCGGCATGGGCCAGGCGTTCATTGTTCTTGATCACCCTGTCACGGCCTTTCAAGACGTGATTAACAGCATGGAAAGCGGTCATCGTTCGTAGAGATTCAGCATTCCGCGGCGTCCGATTGCCCAGTAGTACATCGTTATAACTGAAGAGATAAGCCCCAAAAGCCTGATCCAGCGGTGTCTCCAGGGTGATAACTTTATCCGCATGCCTCGACAAACGTTCTTTCAGTGGGAGGTTGCTGATGGCATTCACAAGTTTCCGAGCACCGCTGCCATCAACGCAGGCGGGCGAGTGCAGAGTCACGTGGACCTTGCCACCGAGCGGTCGCTTCTCCATTTTCCATTGACTGGATTGTATCGCCTCAAGCCTTCGCCTCAGCTCGTTGTCGTCTGGGTTCGCAAAATGTACCTCGAATGGATCGTCCGTTTCAAGCATCTCTTCTTCGCCATCTACGACCACCTCTTCTTCATCGTCAGACACATCTCTGGTCAACTCGTCCGATTCATCTTGTTCCAGCATGTCCTCATCGGCATCTTCGTCTGAGTCCGAGCTGTCTTCCTGCTCAACCACCCTTTCAATCTTCCGTCTCTTCGCCTTGCGCTCGCCATTCTCCTCTGCTTCCTCTGGACCGTGCAAAGATTGCAGTAAGGTATTATAAGCCTTCACCGTCGGCTTGACCTCAACCTCCTCGTCAGCCTCAATTTCGGGCTCAGATTCAGATTCGTCTTCCACTTGTGGTGCATCATCTTCCGACTCCACATCTTTCACACGTTGGCTGTCGAACTTCCTATAGCCGTTCTTCGTCTTGATACCACTTCGCGCGAGCTTTCCAGTGTTTTGTATTCCTCCTCTGCCTCCTCGACCTCCTCTTGATCCTCCTCTCGATCCTCCGCCCCTACCTCTGCTGCCACCGCGAGCTCCTCTGCCACGGAAAGGAGCCATATCGACGCGTTTGGAGGATCTCGATTGTTTTAGGAGATCATTGATATCGTCCCGCTCATATCGAGCCTCCGGCGAAGCTGAGCTGTTCGTACGCGATCCTGCACCTAGATGTGGAGTGAAGTTGCAAGGTTAAGTTTCGCACGACCTGCGATAAGATAAGAAATTTCGTGCCAAGACCATCCCACCGCAGGAACGCAACGCGGCAACGAGAACAGCGACTTTGACCCTCGTGCCAGTCAACAATCATCACCGCCGATCCCTCCGCCACCACCGCCGACGCAGCGAGGCCGCAACCATGGCGAACTTCCTCCATCTCGCGCGTCCTCTCGCGCCCGTTGGCACCACCGCCGCCCCCACCACCGCGCCAGTGACGGTGACAGTGCAACCACAAGCCATATTCTCGATTCTCGACCACGCATCTAGGCGACCAGCGGACCAGGAGCGCGTCATTGGCACATTACTGGGTGTTCGAAGTGAAGATGGAACAGAGGTGGAGATCAGGAATTGCTATGCAGTTCCGCACACGGAGACGGCAGAGCAGGTTGAGGTGGACATGGACTACCAAAAGCGCATGCTTGAGCTGCACCTGAAAGCCAGCCCTAAGGAGGTGCTTATCGGCTGGTATGCCACGAGCAGCGAGCTCAACACTTTCTCTGCCCTGATCCAGAACTTCTACTCCCAACAAGGCGAGGGCACATGGCCACACCCGGCAGTCCATCTCACAGTCAACACCGTGGCCGGTCAGGATCCACGAGCAGACACATACATCAGCGCTCCTATTGGAGTGACCGCAGAGCGCGCAGCAGACTCGTGTCTGTTCATCCCAGTACCACACGAGATCAAGTACGGCGATGCAGACAGGAGCGGATTGGAGTTGATTGCGGGTGCAAGAGATCGGGAAGACCGATCGCAATTGCTGCAGACGGATATTGAGACTCTGGAGCGCGCAATTGAGCAGGTCCTTGAAATGCTTGAGCGCGTGGCCAACTACGTGTCGGATGTTCTGGACGAGGAGGCGAAGCCATCTTCTGCGCTTGGCCAGTTCTTGATGAACACTCTTTCTCTCGCTCCGAAGGTTGACGCCGAAGATATCGAGCGAGACTTGTATGTTGCTCCAGTCTGTTTGGCGATCACAATGAGCGAAACTAACGTGATCACAGTAACAACCACATCCAAGACGTCCTCCTCGTCTCCTACCTTGCCAACACGATCCGCACTCAAATGGACCTCTCCCACCGCCTCTCTACTGCCGCTCTTACCATGGGTGAGGGCAAGCCAAAAGATGACAACAAGCCACAACAAAAAGACAGGCAGAGAGGTGGCCAGCGTGAGCAACAGTAGAGCGATCAGCGAGCCTCATCACTTTTGTGGATCCGCATTTTGACCAGCTGAAACGAGTACCGCGAGGTCTTTTTACTCGAAAAGTAGAAGTGCAGTATAGATACTAGCACTGAACGAGATGGCACCCAGTCGAGGTGTATGTTTGATTACAATGCCGATCAGTGTTCAATTGTCATCCTCGTGGCATCTACAGCGCTGGCTTTGACATCGTGTCAAGCAGTGTCGAACATAGCACTGGTCAGCCCAGAGCGTACAGCTCTTGCCACGACAGCCTGTCTTGGGCATTTCGGCGGCTGGGAAGTGCCAGAAGTCAGACATTCGCAGATCCGATCACCAAATTTGCAGGAAATGTACTCACACGCTGCACGGGACTGCTACACATCCCCAGCATGTCCCTCAATAGCAACATGCTCCGCAACCACCCACTTTCCCTCAATCTTCTTCCAAGTCGTAATCGTCACGATACGCTTGATCACACCCTTCGGCATCCCATGGCTGTCGAGATTTGAGTGTATCACTGCCCTTGTCCCTTTCGCATCCAAAGTAGTGCTCATATCTTGAAGATGTATAGCATATTCCGGGTAAGTATCCACTATCATACGCAACATGGCGAGAAATTCTGGAACGTCGAGCGTCTTCTGGGGACCGTCTTGGAGAAAGCCATCTCCATGGACGATGCCGCCTGGGCCAAGGAATTCCCAGATTGGAGATGTGGGTGATAGGTCGCGTGAGTTGATTGCTTTTGTGAAGAGGACCATTGTGTTTTCGATGTGACGAATCGTTTCCGCACGTTTTGGCTCGGCATGTGGCATGGTGGGTAGATGGATAATGGCTTGAAAATCGTTGAAAGAAGTTGAATCGTAGCTGACAGTGTTCTAGGATGAGGAGGACATTCTGCGCGCTGGATCGACACTCTACCACTGCCGTAGCACGTTGCACAGCTCAGCACTGGCTAAGCTGATGCGAATTTGCGACGGACGTGACCGAAGGTTGCATGATCGATTAAATTGTCCTCGCCACATCTGGACCATCGGAGCGCGCAGGTTCTCAGCTATCACTGTTTAGCGAAATCTTTCGACAGTCTTTTGCCTTGTGTTTCTGCTTGATCGCCGGTAAAATTTACCGTCACGGACAATTCTGACAATGATTCGTCCGGCAGTCGCATCACTAAAATACCATCCCCACGTTCAAGATGCTGCGAACAATGCTTTTCGCATCCTGGATCTTGAAGAGCTGAGCGTGAAGAAGCGAGGCAAGGATGGGATTCCTACGGTGCTGCTGTGCAGCCCGGCAGCCCGCTTTCCTCAGCCTCAAGGACAATCTTGACAGAACTCGATCGCTGATGCACTGAGCTTCAAATCTGTACGAGTGGAGCATAGTTCACGAGAAGTGAATGTTAGATGCATGCAGGAGACTGGAAGAGAGAAGGAGTTGGAGTTTGAAAGTCCTCGTCTCGGGGCGTGGACCGACGACTTGGCATTCGTTCCGTAGAATCAGCAGCCTTCGACTGAATAGAGTCTTCTCAGGAACGTGCTGAATGATCGCGAAACCGATGGACTCAATGTATAGTCTCGCTTTACAAACCAAGAAACAAAGAACAATGTAAGCAATGGCGGGTGGTAATACTTCCAACACTCGCAGGCTTGTCCGTCGACCATGTATAGAATTCAGTGCTACAATAGCATTCCTACAGCCAGAAACAGAGTGCAATTGATTAGCCAACACCAAAAAAAAATTGACGGTTGTTGAAATCCCTGGAAGTCGGGTTGGCTATCATCGTCGTATGTGCGTTGGGGGCCACAGTCCCATGGGCAAAACCTTGACCATTGATGCGGAACAGCAAAAAAGATCGCAGCTGATTGAACAGCCTACTCACAATCGTACGAAGCCGTACATTGTACTTTCGTCGAGACTTGAACTCGAGACCTTCAGTGTGTTAGACTGACGTGATAACCACTGGACACTCGTTAGGACATGCTCAATGGGCCATTTGGACGAGGTGCAAATTCTTACACTACACCACGAAAGCGATTGATTGGTGAAGGGGTGTGTAACATATCAAAATATAGACGCTGGTGTTGGGGTGAGTGAAGCTTGGGAAAAAATTTGCCCCGACTTGGCATTTTCGGGGTCTACCCCGCCAACACCTTCCGTAGGACAAACGAACGCAACAACAAACACATTACATCATCTTGAGATCGGATATTGAGCCTACGCTACGGCTACGAATTGCATTGTTGCTAATCGGGGTCAAAATGTCATCACAATTATACTGGCACTGCATGAACGATTCCCACAACTCTTCGACCGCTGCAGAACAATTTATAACACGTTCATCAGCCTGTCAGAGTCTGGCCAAGTCTGAGACTGATATCAATTGGATAATCAACGATCTGGCGGGCCGCTCAGCGAAATTTCGTACCTGCGGCTTTTCACCACGATCCTCGGAAGGTTTCCCTGCAGAACTACGGGCTTTTTCTCAGCTCATTGTGATTGCTGGAGGCAGCAAGCTCAGCCATCGCCTGGGCCAACTGATTTACTCACTGTGAACTGGAGTTCGTCAGAAGTACGAATTCACAGAATGATCATGTTCGAGAAGAGGAAAACAAGACCACGGCGCATCATCACTCGATCTTGATTGAGTGTTCGCGCATCAATTTTTGTCGCTGGTCATCCTGAAACAGTGTGGACTCGTGCACAGCATCGGCAAATTTGAAAGCCAGCTTCTTGCCATTGAAGTCTCTACTTGGGCTCAATACCGACCGTACGTCTCTTTGCCCCTCGCACATCTTCCCTCAGCCCCCGAAAGGTCTTCGCAATGGCATGCCTCCCATCATAAACAGGATAGATCACAACCAGTATGATTGCCAGCCACTGCCAGATAATCGACATCGTCACCCAACCACCAAAGAAGTTCTTGGTGAAGATCCAGTCTCTATAAAGCGGCAAAGGCCAGAGCACGATTGTGGTCAGAACATTGACGATGAAATATCCCACGGCGATGCTACGCCATTTTTTGATGTGTCGGATCGTCTCTGGGTCGAAAGGATGGACCACATACTCGAGGCTATTTTCGCTGTTACGGTCAGAGGCTGGCAGACCGGCTGGCGTGGTCTGCGTCTCGACGGCGAGTTTCTTCTCGTTGTCTGCGTCTTTGATCCGATTAACAGCGAGTGTGCTAGGCGATTCGCTACTCGCCACGCTCTTGTCTTCGATGAGGTCGATTTTCAAGAACTCACGCCAATCGAATCGAGATGGCCAGGCGAGCGAAATGATGATGGAGTACAACAAAGGTGAGAAGAACGACGTGATTGCGGCGTACAGTCCAGGGAGTTGCAATTGGGTTGTGTTGATGTCGATTGTGCCGCCCCATCTGCGATATGTTAGTTCCATCCATCTGATGTTTGTGTAAAGGGCTACTCACTTCCAAGACAGACTAAGCCAGACCGCCAGCCCAGAGCAAAGCCCGAGAAGTGGCGCACCATTCGCAGCAGCTTTCGTCTGCCGATCCCAGAGTATCGTCAAAATCATCGGGAAGATACCCGGACAAGCGATGATCGGGCGGAAGTAGGTCGACCAATTGTTGGTAGCCCCAGCATACTGCAGCATAATGGCAAACCCAGCCATGAAGCAGCCATGGAACACCACACCGGTATGTGAGACCTGCATGATTTTCTTGTTGCTGGCCTGTGGATTGACGTAGGTTCTGAAGAAGTCCAACGAGATGATACTGCTCACAGCGATCATAGACGAAGAAATCGTAGAGGTAATAGCCATGAAGATGAGAACCAGTAACCCAGCCGTCGCTCCCCTGCCGAGCAAACTCTCCAGCACGTACGGCATGACGAGACCGGAGTTTACCTGTTTCAGAGTGAGGGTCTCTGGGTATGCAATCCAGATTGGTGTCTTCTCAATAGCACGCGCGGAAAGACCAATGATCGTTCCAGTGCACCATGGAATCGCGATGATGGCAATCGAAGCGAGATCGTAGCCTGGCACGGTCGCGTGCACTTCGCTTGCGAAACTCTTCTGCCAGAATGCTGTATCCATGAGGACAAGAGCAAGGTTACCAAACTTGAGTACCAGTCCAAATAGGATAGCTGGAACAGTCAGCGTACGCCCGCGATCTGGTCTTGAATTCGAAGATGGGACTGACCTGGCTCCGACTTGAATGACAACAGAGAGCCCCTGTAGTTGCCCTCGATGTAGTCATCCGCAGCAAGAACCTTCTCGTAGAGCCCTGATAGACCACCGATGTGCGGGCTGACGAGTACGGATATCGAAAAGTACAGTAATAGCACCAGGGCAATGGTGGTGTGCAGGAAGTCTGTCAGGAAAGTTGCCTTGATCCCACCAACAGCAGTATACAGCACGACTGAAGAATGGTCAGTATGGATCAAGGATTCAATTTATTGTTCGCTCACCGCCAGCAGGAATCAAGACACAAGCAGCGATGACATGCATTCCAGTCATGCCTGTAACAAGCTGCGATCCGGCCAAAATCATGCTACCACACCCGAAGACGTTGTTGATCAGGTTCAGAACGATGAAGATGAGATGTGCGTAGTTGCCGTATCGTCTTCTTATGAATTCAAGCGATGTGTGGGCGTACTGAGCTTCGATCAGCATTCGACTCCTTGCAACACAACATCAAGAAGCATACCGGCACCCTCAACTTCGCTACAATGCCCATAATTGCCATCAAAGCGATCTGGAACGACAGTCCACTCGCCCACCATATTGGTAACGCGACGCCCCATTTGTAGGTGTAGGCCGCCGAGAAGACACTCTCATTGATCCACATCCAGCTTGAGAACACAGCAGAGCATGTCAATCCTGTTCCAACAGATCTGTTGGCAACCATGAACTGTGCAGATCGATTAGCTACTATTGTTGATCGCCTCGAATATCGAGAAACTTACCATCTCCGACTGATCAGAATCTTCTGACAGATACCTCTTCTGCAGACGCACACATATCAAGATGATAGCACAGAACAGAAACGACAAGCCAACAATAACGCCATAGCCAGTCACTTGAGACAAAAGCTCGACAGTCATATCGATCGATGACCAGCACGGCGAACGGACTTGTGTGAGGTCGTCAGTCTGGCCTTCGAGAACAATGACAGAGATTTTATCGTTGCTGGACAGTCAGCATGATGTGACCGCCCATGCGGGCTGTAACCATTGCGCTAATATTCTCACAATTCTCCCGTTCCATCGTCCCGTCTTCACGTGGCAAGGCGTGGAATATGTGCGTGAAGGTTGAGATGCATCCCAGCAAAAAGAAATCCCGATGTCCACTCTTACCGTTCAATGCAAGCATCTGATTGCTCGGCAAGGCTTTGCAGGGCTTGTGCTGTTGGTGTTGCAGCTTATCGTGCTTGATGATCACGAAGCTTAGCGTGATGGCGCCATACAGAATTTACAGCACGCCAGAACTGTCGGCTGCCACTTCACTTTCACACTCTTGGACATGCAACCGTGAAACGCTTTATTGGCTCATGAAACCCCCTTGTGTGGATTCTTTCTGCCTCTATCATCTACCGGACATGCTCGAGCTCGTTTTCGATCAGCACCACAGGGCTGGCTCGCGGATTGTTCGGCTTCTGCAAAGAGCATGGCGACGAGCTTTTCGATGCAACCCTTGATGCCACGCGAGGCTTATCTCGGGATCGATGCTACGGTCGCTACTACGGTCGCTACTAGATGGGCCTTCGGGTGCAGCTCGTTCCTTGGCCAGAGCAAGCATCCACGCCTCCACTCAATCATGTGTGGCGAAGATGTCGTGCTCTAGAAGCAAGATGGGGGCATGTTGAGCTCGCGCTAAACGACGGAATAACATCCACTTACAGACGACAGAGTTTTCGTCGAAGACGTTGCGACGCATCATATAGAAGCGGTAAGCTCTGCTAGTTCATCTAGGCATTGATCTTGTCCAACCCAGGGAAGCTTCGTGCCCAGACCACAGTCAAGCCGCAGAGTCAAGTCCTGCCAAGAACATGTCAGACTTCGACAAGGAGCCACGAGTCTCTCTGATCACTCCGACCTCCGCTGGTGACAATCGCAGGAGGACTTCTGTTACTTCGATATTGGCGTCAGGCTTTGAGACAGCAAACATCGCCACCAAGCCCGACCACGGACAGCCTGGAGGCAACAGCACGACATTTGCATCAGAAGGCTTGACTTCTTTCTACAAGCCTGCAGACCACTGGGAGGGATTGCATCGATATGACCCAGACTTTGCTTGGGAGCCAGCTGAGGAGAAGGCTCTGGTCCGAAAGATCGATTGGAGAATTTGTACATTTGCATGCTTGATGTTCTTCGCTCTTCAGTATGTGGCTAAGACGTCATTGTCAACGAGGATAATATGCTAATTATTCGCCTCAGGCTGGATCGTGGCAACATCTCTCAGGCATTGAGCGACAATCTACTCCCCGATCTTGGCATGAACACCAACGATTACAATAATGGACAGACCATCTTTTTTTGCTCATTTCTGTTTGCTGAACTGCCTTCGCAAATGATATCGAAAAGACTGGGTCCTGATAGGTATGATTCTACTGTGCCCGCGCAACGTCTCCAGCAGAGCCCAATGCTAACACCTTGCGCTACAGGTGGATTCCGATACAGGTATGGCCGGAAGTGGCGGCGCACTGTCACTCACACAGTACTGATGTTCTTACAGATGGTCTCGTGGTCGTTCGTCGCCAGTATGCAAGTCTTCCTCAGCGGCAGAACTTCGTACTTCATCTGCCGATCTCTGCTCGGATTGATCGAAGGTGGCTTCATTCCAGACACAATCCTCTATTTGTCATATTACTACACGTCCAAGGAACTGCCTCGACGACTGTCGTTCTTCTGGGTGGCTTATCAATCAACACAAATCGTTTCAGCCTTCCTAGCTTACGGGATCTTGCGAATGCGCGGTATCAATGGGCTCGCAGGGTGAGTACTTCACAACTGCGCTATCGAACATTGCTGACAGTTCGTTCACATCCAGATGGCAGTGTCTTTTCGCTTTAGAAGGCATGCTCACTAGTCTCATCGGTATCCTCGCCTGGTTCTACTTGCCTGCAAGTCCTTATGACACCGCCAGCTGGTTCCGCGGCAAGAATGGTTGGTTCAGCGTCCGTGAGGAGACCATCATCGCCAACAGGGTTATTTGTGATGATCCCTCCAAGGGCGACATGAACAACCGTGAAGGCCTCTCGCTGTCCATGCTTTGGAGGTGTCTCACAGATAAGCACATGTGGCCGGTCTACCTCATTGGACTCAGTTGGGGAATACCAACCCAACCCCCAACGGCCTACCTCACACTTAATCTCAAGGCACTTGGCTTTGGCACATTCGAGACAAACTTATTGACCATTCCGGCATACGTGCTCTTCATCGTACAATTGCTCTTCTGGACCTGGCTATCCGAAAAGATCAACCAGCGCTTTGTGCTTGGCGTTCTTGGACAGCTCTACGCACTTCCGCTGCTGATCGCTCTCGAGATTCTTCCAGCAGATAGCAGTCACTGGGGCAAATGGGTCATCGCGACGATGCTTGTTGGACATCCTTACATTCACGCAATCCTGGTCGCTATCACAAGCCGGAATGCTGGAACCGTGAGAACAAGAACTGTAGCCTCGGCATTATACAACATGTCTGTGCAAACGTCGAGCATCATATCTTCGCAGATCTACCGAGAAAAAGACAAGCCACTGTATCGAAAGGGAAATGCTGCCCTGATCGCAGTGTGCATATTCAACATGGCTCTCTTCGTTGCAGCCAAGATGTTCTACGTTGAAGTGAACAGGTAGGTGAAGCTACATGACTTGAAACGGACTTTCTGCTAACCACGACCACAGGCGACGCGATCAGACTTGGAATGCATTAACTACCGAGGAGAAAGAAGACTACCTCAGCACCACCAAAGACCAAGGCAACAGGAGGTTGGACTTCCGATTCGCACATTGAAGATATTAAGGTCGGCCGAGGATTTAGATGCAAATGCGAACACAATTGGGCTTGACGGTACAGCCGCGAGATAGTTTGAATCAATCAGAAGTTTTGATCGAATCGCTGTGTCTTGAAGGCGGCTGGCCAATGGTCGTCATCAATTTCGGTTTACCACTCGATGTGCTTCGCAGGAGTGACGTTTTCGACTCGCTAGTGGTATAGCTGCGGTCTATCTTGTGCGAGGCATCTTGCTCAATTGTATAGTCCTTCCATCTCGAAGAATGCTTTCCAGTGCGAGGTATGAGGAGGCCGTCGGACGATCCCCCATCTCATCATCTCGTTGTTGAGGTCCATGTTGATCAGGTCTTTGGTCATGGGATGATAATGTTCAAAGTCGACAAGAGACCTGCGAAGTTGCAATTGATTAGATCAATGGTCTCTGAACTGAACCAGCGACCAGGCCGAACTCTCAGCACATACAGTATTTCCGTCGCTTCTTCCCAGAGAATATTCCGCAGGGCGCAATCATAAGGCTCCATGCCTAGCGCCCATACATTCCTGTCAAACTTGTCAATACTTGAATTCAATCTTGATGCACAGCTTCCTCGCGTACTTGATTATTTGTCGAAAGGCATCTCGAATTCGGTTCTGTTGCTCTTCGGGCATGCTCCAGAATTTGGCTTCCATCAGATCTTTCCCCGGCATCAAAGTCATCACTGTGTAGGAAATATATCCTCCAGGCATTGGCCCCTTCTCATCTTGCGTGAGCAATTTCGTAGCCACTAAATGTGGGAGGCCAGGTGATTGGGTGTCCGCAAATTTCTGTAGTGCCTCTTGCTCAGCTTTTGTATGGGGACTTGGCCCAGTAATGGGTGTTGTCAGTCCGTTGGCAAGTACAGATGGCGCTCTGTGACACTAATGAGCAAAGTAATTGCTTGTGATGTTGCTGCCGCTACCTACTGGACCTTGCATTTGAGCACGAACAGCTGTGAATCCTCGGCATTCGAGCTGTCATTGCTTAATTTGCCATCTGCCTGCGGCAGCTTTCGACATATGTAAAGTATTCTTGCCTCGGAATCGTCCTTCCGGAAATTCGTAATTGGTCGGATACGCTCGAATTGAGCATTGATATCTGGAAAGTCAACGACGGCATCGAGCAACGCCTCTGCGTCTTGCACTGTGAGGCCTTGGTCGCCCATGATGCATGGCGAGTGGTTTGCTGTACAAATGCTGTGGTCGGCAAAGCTCAAGATCTGTGCTGTTTTGGTGACGTCGCTCCCTTCGGATGAACGGAGTGCTAGCTCCGAATGGCATAGCTGTATACGTGTCGCCGGCGGACTGACTACTGTCCACCATCTAGGCAATAATAATGAACCAACGGCAACAGACCGGCATGCTCGAACTCTCTTGTCTCCTCACGGGGATGCCCTAAGCAGCCATGCACTCGAATGGAACAGACATTCCACAAGAGCTGGGATCCAAACCTTCGATTGTAGCCACGTGGCTCAGGCCAACGTACAGAACCTCGCATGCTGGATGAAAACGCAAGGCGCGCTGTGACAGCTACAAGGCTCATTCCGTGGACCATGTTGCTCTGCACTGGGTTTTCTGGCGCCACGGTCTGAACAATTTTTCCACGCGGAGCTGGAAGACCCGGACTTCAACAGCGGCGAAGATCGGAATCGCAACAGTAGAAAGCTGCAGTGGGCCGACTTCACTGCACTGTTGAGCGTGGTATGACCTTCAATGGGTCACAGAGTCTTGTGCTGAAGAAGCTGCGATCCGGACTTCTCTCTCACAACATCAGCCAGGAGATGACCCCAGGGGGAATGACCAATCACACATCCAGATCGCTTCCCCGCTCCGCTCGGGCGACAGTGGCTCTCCCGCAGCACCCGCGAAAATCTTAAAAAGTCTTTGCCGACCTCACGCCGTGTTTGCCCTGTAGCGCAGGTAAACTTCTACCTCCTACGCCAGCACCGATTGGAGCTATCGAATGTCTGTCCTGCGGCGGATGTCCAATACCTCGAATTGCTCCCTGCCGCCTTTCCGCCATTGGTGATGGATCACTTCTGCCCGCAGTCGGGCTGAACCTGGCGAATCACGCGGACATGCTTTGCCAACGAAATGGACCGAGACACCCACAGGTTATCGTGCGTACTTGACTCGCAGACGCGTCGACAGTCTGACACGAGAGAGCAAAGTCCAACTACCGATACTCGTCACGTTGTGCTAGCTGGGATCGAAGCATCAGCACTAAGAGTACTACACCGCCACATGTACGGAATCGTGTAATCAGGTCGCAGGGAAGATGTGGCAAGCTTCGGATCCATTAGAGCTGACGAAATTCCTCGTCTTTCCGTGGGCATTGCGTTGGACCGAGGCGAACTCTACGCAGGAACAGGACTTTTGCCGAATCAGGGACGCCACCAGAGCAACCAGGCGGTGACCGTCCATGATTCCACGCCCACGATTAAGTACATTCATTTGCGCCATTCTGCAAGAATCTCCCAGCAAGTCTCCAGCCGGACTTGATGACAGCTAGCCAAACAACGCATCGCCAAGCCTGATGTGGACTGATTTCTGCTGAACGTAGTTGTCCAAGGCAGCCTCACCAAGCTCGCGACCAATTCCTGATTCCTTATAGCCTCCAAAAGGCATCTGATGGTGAATTGCGTTGTACGTATTCACCCAGACGGTACCTGCCTTGAGAGCATTGGACACCTGCACATCCGAGTCTCAGCACAGTGACATCTTGACCATGACATTGCGATGGCGTTCAACATACCTCAATTGCAGTGTTCAGGTTTTGCGTGTGCACAGCGGCAGCAAGGCCATAGTTTGTGTTGTTTCCTACGCGAATCGCGTCTTCTTTGGTCTTGAATTTGGCAATCGAGCATACAGGTCCGAAGATTTCTTCCTGCTGGATTTGCATATCCTGAAGAATGTGTCAGTAACAACGCCTCGGCACAATATGCTTCGCTGCCTAGCTCACCTCTGTGACATTGGAAAAGATTGTTGGCTCGATAAAGTATCCTTTATCGCCTTTGCGAGTCCCACCAGTCTCGACTTTGGCACCTGCGGACTTGCCGGAGTTGATGTAGCTAACACATTGTCAACAACTGTCAGGAATCGAAAGCAGCAGCCTTACCTCATCACACGATCGAATTGGACCTTGGAGACCTGTGGCCCTTGGAATGTGTCTTTGGCGAATGGATCTCCGACCTTGTTCGCCCGTGCTCGCTCTGCAAACCGCTTGACAAACTCGTCGTAGATGCCTGCGACCTATCAGCATGCTGTTCAGCCGAAGGGGTGAGAGCGACATACCTTCTTGAACATAAATGCGCGATCCTGCAACGCAACACTGGCCATGGTTGTAGAAGATGCCAAAGTTGACCCACGAGATCGCGTTGTCAATGTTCGCATCGTTAAACACGATGTTTGGCGACTTTCCACCAAGCTCCAAAGTGACCTACACCGCCATGTTAACGAATTCACTGTAGCTTGCGCGGGATATGTGAAGCAATTGCATACCTTCTTCAGGTTCGAGCTGGCTGCAGCCTTGAGAATGGTTCTTCCTACGACAGTCGACCCGGTAAAGGCAATCTTATCGACATCCATGTGGGATGCAAGCGCGGCTCCAGCAGTCTTGCCAAAGCCCGACACGATATTGATAACACCAGGCGGGAATCCAGCCTCCGATACCAGCCTTGCAGCCACCAGAGCGCTCAGTGGCGTTTGCTCTGCGGTTTTGATCACAACGGTGTTGCCCGCCGCAATTGCTGGACCGACCTTCCATGACCACCTGCCCACTTGTTAGCAACCAGGCTACAAGTCGATCGATGCTACGTACATGAGCAATGGGAAATTCCATGGAATGATCTGCCCACAAACACCAATCGCCTCCTTCCTTATATAATTGAAGGTGTCGGGAGCAACGTCCACCACCTTGCCTTCAATCTTGTCCGCCCAGCCTCTGGCCTCAAAAATCAGTGACGGGTCATTCATGGTGGTTTGACCTTGTTGAGCGTTTGCTTACCCATAGTATCGAAGACAGCCCGAGCATAGATTGATGTCCACTTTGGCCATGGTGATAGACTTGCCATTGTCAAGAGCTTCGATCGAGGCGAGCAAATCGTTATTCTCATCGAAAAGCTGGGCAAGACGATTCAAAAGCTTGCCACGATCTTCTGGTGTGACTTTCTTCCATGGTCCTTCGAAAGCTTTGCGCGCTGCCGCGACTGCTTTGTCGATGTCTTCCTCGTCACCTTCATAGACAGAAGTGATCACTTCTTCGGTTGTCGGATTGATTGTTTCGAATTTTCGCCCTTTGGAGCTGGGTACAAACTCGCCGTTGATGAAACTGCAGGGGTATCAGTAGGCTTGATCTCGAAAATTTGGAGGATGTTGCACGAGAACCCACAGGCCGATAGGCTGCTCATATTTGCCAGAGTGTGGCGTCTCGAGCTGCACGGAGAGCGACATTATCTCCTTCGATATTTGCGGGGGATTTTGTTACAAGCGTGTGAGACAGCGGGGCTACACGAATTTCTAATAGTTCAGGACATTGCTGTCAAGTGCGGGCAGAAGTGGGTAGCTCGTCAATCACCCAGCCTCCCCGCCATCTCGCTCAGACGGAGGTCGAATCATGCGGGCCATATCTCCGACAAGTTCAGGCACACGGTCGTAGCCTAGAGCTCATGATTCGGGCATGAAGACTCCACAAAGCATACACAACGGGTGAAAGCCTGCCGGGCTGACGGAAAGATGGGGCCACGACAACAACATGGCCGACGGCCGTACTGTAGAGAAGACACGCGAGCTGAGCTGCCCAGGATCAGGGTATTGTATGGTGTGGAGCACACGACGAGGGGCGTAACATCGATGATGGAAGGCTTTTGTGCACCAGGCGCTCAGTCTGCCAAAGGCCCAGCGGTTGTCATTGCACGGCCACAAGGAGACACGGGTACGCATTAGACTCTTTCTCGGAGCATGGTACGTTTCTCGCACCGCGGGTCGACTGAGCTTTAGATTTGGAGTGTTCCAAAAGTCGAAGAGCTGGCTGCGTCGTGCGCTGTTCTCGAACGAGCAAGTGTCGTCAGGTGCTAGTCATACGATGAAGAGTCGTTCCGCCACAACAAGGTGGCTTGAAGTTCGAACATGGCAAATGTGGCCGGTAGTTCCAGCTCACATTGATATGTGATGACTGGCTGACTGCCAAACTAGCCTGGGATCGCATCTTACGGCGCTGATGAACTTCGACGCGAATGAGTGATATGCCGCAGCTGACCCGAAACGCGTAATCATGGTACAATAGCCATGCGTCTCTGGACCAGGTGTTGAAGACTGCTCCTTTAGTCGCTGCCTTGATCGTTGGTTCAGCGTGGTGTGAACCTCGCTCATAGGGCTGGGTGGGAAAAGGCTCTTGACAGGGTCGTAAAGGTTGCGACAATGTGGAGCTATCCGTTGCGGAGTATTGTTGCAGGTTTCGACATGTGGTCTGAAGAACCCCCCAATCACCCCTGCAAGCGCAAAGCTAGTCTTACCCTTCCTGGTCAGTAGGCTCCGGCAGTATCCCTTCTACTTGGAAGTCTGATTGGTGAACAAAGGCGAAGCTTGAATGAGGTGATTACTGGAACTGGCTCAAGCATAAGATCCAGCGCGGTTCAGCCACTGGGATCGCCCTACAAGAGCACTGGAGCTCTAGCAGCCTAGCGACGAATGGCTGACGTTCTGTAGAAAGTCACGCGTCCAGCATGCCCCGATAATCCAAAGTCAGTGATTATGCCGAACTTCAAGTACCGAGCTGAGGTGTTGCACGATCAACCATGGATTGTAGAGATCCTCAAGGTTCCCCACAATTACCCCAGTCCGCTTTTGCACTGTACGAACTACAGGCACGGTGAGGAGATCAGCCAACCATGGAAGGGTGCACGATGTTGCACGATGAGTAATTGCTTGCATTTTGCATTGCTAGCGATGGCAATTTCAAGTCCGCAGCAAGTCCCAGACGTCCATTCTGCCAGCTTCAGGCCAATACCCCTCATCGATCGTGATTACAATTGTCCCCTGCAAAGACACGTTCACAATCTCGCAGCGTAGGGATCATTTGAGACGGCGGTCTTGCATGTCTTTGGTGCATTAGAAATGCGCAGCTCGACAGTGGTGGCACTTCTCACTGGTGGTGCACTCCAAAAGTATGTCCTTACGTCCTACTCGCCTATGGTGCAGCTCGAAGAGATTGCACGAGAATGCACGTCGGAGGAACTACTTCATGTGGTTTACGCTAGTGTATGCTTTGTTGCATTCCATGTCACCGCCGACGTAGCCAACAACGATCGTTTGACTAGGATTCTCGCCCATTAAGACCACGCGTGAGACTGAACGCCGGGCGTCTTGTGCAGACTCGACAAGAGGGTCGCAAGCCAAGCTGTGGTCGCGGCGTAGCACTGCGGCAGCCTCGTCGAGCCCTTGACCAGGCTCGGGAAACACAATCTCAGTGTTGAATTCGCTCTGTCTGCAGCCTTTTGATCGTAGGAGGCAATTTATCGAATGACCCAATGTCTTCGACAATAAGCTTGCATCCATAATCAATCGCTTTTTCGGCATCATGGTCGCGACATTCCAGATGAACAGCTGCAAAATTCCCCGCTCCTATGTCCATCGCAGTCGTAGCCATCAGCGCCAAGTCAAGACAGGTACGGAGTTCTGTTTGATGCAGATCGCCGCGCGTTGTCCTAGCCACGACAATATAAGCACTATCAGTGATGGCTGCCAGGAGACATCCCAGATAACTCGCTTCAGAGGATGGGTCCATTGCAGGCAGTATTCTGCCATGTACACTCACGATCGGAATCGCGTCGTGCATCAGCAGGTCCTTGAGTACATGTTGGATCTTCTTCAGCCGTGCTGTAGATTTGATGTCATCCTTCGAAATCGGGACCTGGGCTATGGACTGTCGCAGATGGCCGAAGAGCTGGCCCCACATTGCTGTGAGCTTTGCTTGTCCAAGAGCAGCCAATGTATCTTTGGAGATGTCGTCAGGACACTGCTCTGATCTTCGATGATCGAGCATGCCAATGTCGACCACTCCAGTAGTGCAGATGATGACCCTATGTCCTTGGAACTGCAATCGGTGCGCGGCCTCTGCGACGCGTGACAAAGTCGAAAGCAGGGGCGTGTTTGCGCGTACTCCTGTGGTATGCTGAGTCAGTTTCTTAGACCGAGACGCCTGGCAATACGCACTGATCGCGATCACAATAGTGCCAGACTTCTCCATTATCACGTCGACAAGAGACTGCCAGATTTGAGGAATTCTGCCTGATCGGCCAAGGTTTGCGCTGAGAGACGAGAAGAATAGCGACAGTTTCACGCGCATCTATTGCTTGTCCGGCGAGCGTGTGCCTCTCAAACAACAGACCAACTCGGTCGTATGGACCAACAGTCAGTTCCATTGCGGAACATCAAGGATATGTCTGGGCTGCTCCAGGCGCTACCGGGATCCAGACGGTCGATTACGCTTCGTGCTCAGCATAGGATGGGAAATACGGTCGACTAACAACCCATGGCATGACCGGCCCAGCCTCGTGGTCTCCACAATGCTTGTAGGTCCCTAGTCGCCTTATGTGCGGAGAAAGGGCAGTTTAGTCGCCACAACAGAGCCGTTCGTGATGCTGAAATACTTTAAAGTGCGGATCCGTTTCTTGGAAAGAGCTCACGAGTCTTGCAACGAGGCATCACCATGGAGGCGGCCTTAGTCAGGTACGGGCAAAGTACCGTGGTCAATGGCCTACTGCTCTTCGGCGTCGTCTTCCTCATCCTAGTCGGACAAAATCAATGCAAACTCCTTTCGCGCATCGCCTGGACAATCAATCGTGCTCTTGGAGGAGCCCCGCATGGCACCAATCTGCCCGGTCCCAGTGGATGGCCTATCCTTGGTAATCTCTACGATGTAAGTTGACCAAGTGTCGATCAACTAGATCACGATTTTCTCGTACTGATAGCAAGTAGATGAAGGATGGCCACATCCAGAAGTTGAAAGAGTGGCAAGCCAAGTATGGCGATGTCATCCGGTGCGAGCTTGGCGAGCGCGAGATGGTAGCCTGAGCAATTCGATCCAGTAGCTGATGTCTCGATCTGACGGCATCGTAGGTTGTCATCAACAGCCACAAAGCACTCGCAGAGACTGTTGTGCAGCAAAATATTGCTTACTCGTCACGTCCCATCTTCAAGCTTTTTCACTCGGATTATGCATCCAACGGTATCTGGACAGTCGGCAGTGAGTTATGTCAACAGAGCTGAAAAGAGCAAATGGGCTGATGGGATCGATCAACAGCATCACCAATCAACGACTCTGTTCAGCGCACTCGTAAAGCCTTCAATGCTCAAGTAACACCCCGGGTGCTGCCCACATACACCAAGGTGATCCATCCAAAGCTCAAGAAACTTCTGGGAGAAGTCTTCGGCATCAGCAAAGGTCATGCGGTAGACATGGCTGACATCCTCCATCGTTTCGGAACTGGACAAGTCTCCGAGCAGTTGATGGGACTTCCTCTCGACGATGACACTGTCGCCATGCTGGCTGAGAACGAGACCAACATCTTTCGCCAACGTACTGTGGGGTTTCCAGCTCGAGACTACGTACCGATTCTGCGCGGCGTCAAACGGATCATTTACAGCATCGGCAAAACCCTTGGCATAGAGAGCTGGTCCTGCGATGAAGCAGAAGATCGTGCACGGGGCTACCGCCGCAAGCAAGGCGTATACATCGACAAGCTGCTCCATGACCTGAAGGCTGACATCGAGGCGGGGACGGCGCCTCCTTCCATTATGGGCAACATTTTGAAGAAGAATCTGTTGGATGACACCCAAATCCTGTTGGCCTCATACACAGGTAGTAAGTGCTCAGCTCGTCTCTGAGTTCCCAGTCATCTGCTAATGATATGTTTCGCAGTCGCCGCTGGCGTCAATCTCGGCTATGCACTCAATTGGACAGTAGGTTATCTTGCCAATCGTCCCGACCTCCAAGAGGCAGCCTATAGCGCCATTCGCGAAGTGTACGGCGACGGACCTCCAGATCCTCACGATGTCGATCGTGTTGAATTCGTCAAAGCTCTGCATCTCGTGAGTTCGTGTTATGATGTCTTCTTTCGCAACTTTCTGACGACTTCTCCCAGGAAGGATCGCGTGTCTACACTCCCGTCCGCCTTGGCTTCCCACGTGAGACACTCGAAGGTGCCACATACAGAGGCATGAAGATACCGAAAGGAACGGTGAGTGTTACAGAGCGTATGTCAGCATTGTCCGTGATGCTGATTTGGTCAGTTGACGATCATGAACCTGTACTCCGCCAACCACGACCCGAATGTCTTCGACTATCCAGACGACTTCCGTCCAGAGCGTTGGATGAACGGTCACAAAGGCCGTACAGACATGCTCGAGGCGCCAGGTGACAAGATCGGCGTGCCAATCCTCACATTTGGCGCTGGTCGACGAGCATGCCCTGGATTCGAAAGTAAGTGTGGCCTCCTCTGGTGTCTTTTACAAAATCTGGCACGAGAGCGATATTCTGATTGCTGCGACCAGTGGCCAGCAGGGGACTATACTCCACGCTCGTACTTCTGATCCATTTCTTCACCTGGGAGCGCCAACCCATGAGCGAAGAAGCCAAGAAAGACGTGTTCCCACTCTTCCGCAATCAACGAGAATGCTCGCTCGAGATGGATGCGTTGGCCGACACCGCCACACCCACAGAAGCACAAGCAATTCCATGGGCATGTGGCATCAAATTTCACTGCCGGGATCCAGAAGCAATGCAATCGTGGCTAGAGAATAACGATATGTAACGCGTGAAGAAGCCGAAAGCATTGAACGGCGCTGGAACCTTGCATACAATCAACGAAGACCATGGTGGCATCGTCAAGCATCGTACAGGAGCTTGCCACGGTCCTCTGTGGCTGCAAGGGCCATTTCATTGGGCCATCGGCCGACAGGAGAAGAAAAGATTTAACGCTTTGGCCGTCCTTGACGACCGCTGGATACAGTGATCTGGTCGTCGCAGCCACAGAAGGTCGTGGCAAGCTCTTGTACGAACAAAAACGTTGCCATCACTGTCATTAGCACACGCGAACCGCAGGCAGTCGCAACTGTTAGCTGTTGTATGTGTACCATAGCCAAAGCAACACCGACATGCATCCGTGTTTCGATCCCTTCAGTGAAGAGCATTGTTCAATGCCCAGTCGGCTCCGTTGTCGGTTCGAGCTTCTCACTTTGGCAGGTCATCAACTCCGTGTCCGAACTGTGCAACCCCTGATCCTGCTCGCGATGCGGTGAACGATAGGATTGCACCTGACCAGCTTCCTGGGCTCAGACCAACATGGTACAAGGTGCTAGTTTCTCCAGTGGTGCGAAAGCCATGCAGTATTCCACTCCCTTAGTCCGGAGCTGGACAAGGATATCAAACAATGCATACAGCACAACAGTGAAGAGGGGACATGCTTCATTCATTGTCCTAACCCTACTCAAACATGTGGGCCCTTAGAATGAGTCCCGTGTGTCAATAAAACTGCTTGTCCAGTGCAATTGCCGAAGCCAACGCGCGACTGAGGATTGGCTGACAGGCGTATGAAAGCTCTAACTCACCGGGACAGATTTGGAAATGGCGAGACAGGTCACAGGGCCAGATGTTGCCCATGACGTTTCTTCAAATCTTAAATCGCGTTTCTCGGGCTGTTCAGGCAGTCTTTCGGGCTTGTGTCTTGCAGGATGCAAGCGGCTGTGACTGTGACACTGCACAATACTTATATGCCGATTGCTGTCCAAGATCCAGCACAAGCGTAGGGGTCAGGTTCTCGCAGATCCTGAATCACGGTAGCCTTCTCGATCAAATAGCCTGCAGAGGATTCATTTCAGCAATCGCAAGACCGGAGGTTCCTGGTTCGTTGGCGAAACCACTATACGATGCAGTCTGTTAAGCTTTCCGGGCATCCATGACCCACGGTGCGAGATGCGAGCAACTTTCGTGCCCTATTGATCTCAACGTGCAGAAGCTGAATAGGGATGTGGAGTAGTGCGTGTCATGCCAGCATGATCCCAGCTAGACTAACAAAAGCTCAACGCACGGTCCGATGATGGTCTGACTCAGTCTGTCCCACCAAGGTATGCGGCTATGCGTATACGACACGGAATCAGTTGCGGAATGCTCCGTCCGTGAAGACGTCCTCTGCTTGTGAAGAAGCAGGCTGCTCCTTAATCCTTGTCCACCACGCCACGACATTTCTCCTCGCAGGATTCAGAACCCAGTCGCCCCCGCCTCGAACAACCACTCTCCACAGTAGTCCATACGACAAGATGTCTGCTGCGGAGAATCTATCCCCGCACAGCCAGGTCTTGCCTTCGAGATCGTTCTCAAGTTGGTTCAATGCTTGATTTACTCTCAGCTTCGTGGTGAGCCTCGCTTCAGGACATGGAATGCGGTGACCCAAGAAGAGATCCAGATTGACAGGATCGTCTCGCCACCATTCGATCACAGGCTGACAGATCTCTGTATCCAGTCTCCTGAACCACATTCTGGTTTCCGCTCGTTCTTGCGCATTGGAACCGAACAGTGAAGGATAGTCACCTTGTGCAACTTCATCTAGGTATTCGGCCACGGCTGAGAGTTCGGTGATGACTGTTATGCCGTCGTCGAGTTGCAGTGCTGGTACGGTGCCTCTGGCATTTACCTTCAGATAAGCTGATCGCCTGTTCTCGAGGGTGGCAGTGTCGACATTTTGGATGTCAAGGCTCAGTCCACGCCGCTCAAGAATGAAGAAACGCAGAGCGTATGGAGTTCCACGTGGAGCATCGAACAGCTTCATGGCGAATGATGAAGTCGATGATAAGCGAGCTCGTGAGAGTGAGACTGGGAGGTTCAAAGTATACAGCAGTAGCGCGAGGCCGAGGAAGCTTCCAAGCTTCGCTCTTCGCCGCTGACTAAGATCACAAATCCTCTGGATGCTTGGCAGCAACGACTGTCCCTCGGAGTTTCAAGAGTCGACCAAGAGAAGTATTCAGACCTCACCTCATGCAATCGCCTCTCTAACCGCCACCTCCAAATCACCCCTCGGAATCCCCAACTTCTCATCCCACATTCCCCAAGGCCTCGAATCGCCCAAAGCCTCCCTCCCAAGCGCCCCACCACCCACAAGATCAATAGCCCCTATCGTATCCCCACCAGCCAATTTCTCCCGTCCCTGCGCAATAACTTCCTCCGATGTAACATGTTTGACAGTCCACTTTTCCCCATCAATCCTCTCCAAAACCTCCAAAACATCCTTCTGACAAATATGAAACGACGAAATATAAACATATTGATTCTTCACCAAATCGAACTGTTCCAACATCGCTAAAATTCCCTTCGCGATCGTCGGCAGCGTTGAGGCTGTGAAGACAGCCGTTCCGCCATCAATCAATGTTGCAGTCTTCATTTGTACATCAAACCCAAAAAGTCCCAATTCCATCCCCCAATCGAAAAATGCACCAGGAATCAATGCCGACCAGGAAATTAAATCTTCTTTCGTTCGAAGATAATCTACCGTTGCGACTTTCGGCGGTAAAGCAGGATGTAAAGCGGCGAATTTCGCATCACGGGATGGAGGGCCGAATTCGCTGGGGAGAAAGATTTCTACTCCGGCTGCGATGGCTGCATCGATGAGGATTTGTTGACCTCCTGTTGCGAAGATGGCGACCATGCAGATGACGATCTGGTGGCCGCGCATTGCGGTTTCGAGGTCGGTTTGGTTGGAGTAGTCTGCTCGGAAGATGGGAATGCCATCGGGGAACGTGGAAGTGGAGTCTTTGCGGGTGAGGATTCTGATGTTGTAGGGTGACTCCAGGAAGGCGTTCAAGACATGAGTGCCTAGATTTCCACTGGCCTGTAATAGAAGTCAGGGTACTATTGAAAGCTAATATGTGTTGCAGTGGAATAGACGGAAACGTACACCAACGAGGAGGACTTTCTTCGGGGACGACATTGCTACGTGAGTGACCGTGTAAGCAGGTGTGAAATGGGGAAAAACTGCAGATGAGTGACTGCTAGGCGACGAATTCTGGAGAGCGTGATGAAACGCCTACCGTCTACCGCTTTATTTATGTCTGAGACATTTCTCTTCACAAAACAGTACCTGCATCGTGAAGCCTTGGCTGCGTTTGGCATATGCTTCGTCAGCGATGCATGCTGCCAAGCAGGTTACTGATCGATCAGCCATCACGAGGGAATAAAATTTCGGTCGCAGACAGACGTGTTTCCAGATCTGATCGCTCTAAATGATCGTACGAAGTCTCATTCGTCGGCTGCAGTCCACGCGTGTTCTGTGTTGGTGGTGAACCCACAACGGCGTCCGATCTCGTGCAGATTCCTGTTGGGCTTCGGCGTCCTGATTCCTCCGTGGCCCTCAAACTACATTTCGTCGTGCAGCGGGCAGCCAACAGGAGAGCCGACAGCTTCGCGTGCAATGATGCGTAGTCCGAGTCGGGTATTCTAACCATCCGAGCCTCACGGGTGGCCTCGTACAGCGTGCCAGGCGCGTGAATCCTGCCGAATGAACCAGCGAGCTGCTCTGTCCCGTTCTCAAGCCGTCGCGGATGCTCGATTGTGTGCATATGGTACTTGTCCAAGAAGAGAGATTTGACCCAGGCGTGTGGCCAATGCAATGGGAGAGCAGGCAGCATTAAAGTAGTGGTCGAGATGCTCATGTCCAAGCTTCGAACGTGAGTTGCCGACGACGATTGAATTGTCTGGTCCTCCTTTCAGAGTGACAGCGGCCAAGCACGACGAATGGATCCGACCCTGCCACGAAATCGTGAGCGCAATTTGTGATCTAGCAGCTTTGCGAGAGGCTTCTACTTTGAGTTTACTTTTGAGTTTACGCCTGCATGAAATTCGATTGCTCGTTGAGATGAGTGATCAGTGGAGAACGACGACTCAAGCTGTCAGTAGATCAACGATTCATCGAAACCCACCCGGCATACCAAAGTCGTCTTCATCATCGGTTTCGACGCCTTCGTTCTGTACATTGTCCAGAGCAGCAGCGAGCTGCTCCAAATTGCCGTCTTGCTGGTCAAATTGTCCGAGGCCTTCATTCCTCAGCAATGTCTCAAGTTGCTGAAGATTCAGCCCTGCCGGCTCCGTGCGTGGTTCCAGTGGAGCGCTCTCAACGAGCAAACGATGGACTCGCTCGATATCCAGCTCTGGCTGTACACCTCCTCGTAGTGCGATGAAGCGTCTAGCATGATCCTCGAAGGCGTTCTCTCGTCCTGCCTCGCGAACTTGTGTCATCATCTCCGCAGCGGTTGCGGGAGGCTCTTCGATCTCAGCGTCCTCGCCTGCAGCTCCGGGATATCGTTGATTGTACCACGGGAAGAGGTCCCGGAAAAAGCGAGAGACTGCCTGAATTTCATCGTGCTGGGGATCCCTCTGCGAGGCACGCGCCAGTGCTTGCTGAAGGGCCGCCAGAACCTGCTGCTGACCACGGCCAGATTGCGACAGCTGTGGAGCTCTTCGTTCGAGATGATATGATGTAATAGAGTCGTGAGGAGGGAGTGGGTCAGCCGAGCTTTCTACTTGATTTGTGTACTCGCGGGGGATGAGCGCGATAAGCGCTGGCGTGTCCGAGAGCAATACGTGTCTGGCAACGTTTGTTTCGATCTCGGACGAGTCTGTCGGTGCCGCTGGCGTACCTACAGGCACAGCACTGGCTGTTTCCAAGAGGAGGTCGATATTTTCGGGCGTGTTCCACAGGTCCTTGGCTCGGGTGGCGTACAGTTCTGCATAGAGCTTCTCCTTTTCTGATGCTGCCTCCTTGCCCCATACGGCAGGCGGCGCATCGACATTGAGTTCATGCATCAAGCGTGCAACGAACCACGGATAGCGACCGACAACTGAGAACAACAGTTGCTGACCTTTCCCCTTGTTTCCAGCTTTACATTCTGCAAGCGCCTGGCTCAGCTGCACATTCGGCATTCCTTCGTGCACAGCTTTGAAAATCGCATTGCGGCTGATGTTGAGATAGTCGATTTGCTCTTTGGAGCGGAGTGCGTACTGATCGAGTACAAGCCAGAGTGCGTAGGGGTCGTCTTGTGGAGAAAGAGACAGCAGCATCTTCGTCCACTCATAGACTGTTCGGTATGTAGCCCGCATGGTGAGATTTTGCATGTAGCGCCAGCTGGCCAGCCAGAATTCTCTGTTCTCTGGACGTCGGAAATCGAGGCGAGCTTTCCCATCAGCCAGATTCTTCGTGAAGGTGCTGTGTACGGCTCTTCCAAAAGAGAACAGAGCTCGCTCAAGCAGGTCTCCCGCTGTCGTGAAGTCGCGCTCTTGTTTCGCAATCTCCGAGACTTGCAGGAGTGTTGAGATGTGGTATGGATTGTGTTGAAGGAGCATGATCATGCGCTGCGGATCCATGGATGCCACGCATGTCTCAAACTGCGACTGCACGTCCTGATAGGCCGTATTGTGCACAAATCGGTACAGTGTTGTGCCATCCGCACGCTTCTCCTCCACCTCCATGCCCAGACCACCGCTGGTAGCCTGCGGCCAGTCTTCCTTGCCTTGAATGAAAATGTTCCTGCGTAACGCCACAGCAGACAGGCCGGATCTCCCATCGTTCCGCTGCCCTCGAAGCGCATCTCTCAAGCCAACCTGTTGTCGTTGCTGTCTCCGATTGCCACCCATTGCCGCCCGTGGAGGCCCGGCATCCTCTCGGTCGCCTTCTAGAGCGGCACGTCCAAACAGTCTGCGCATCTCGTTCGAAGCATGCAAGTGGGCGCTATCGATCGCAAGAAGTCGATTCGCTTCGTCCAGAGCAGGATCGACTCCAGCAGCAGTGAGATGCTGGGACGAGTTTCCCTTTGTAGACAGCTCCTTCAACGCTGCATCAATATCATCCAAATCAGATGCCTGGTTAGACTCTGTATGTCCATTCGTCCTCTCGTCTGCCGCTTTCTTGCCCTTCTTCTTGCGCTTCTTCTTTTTGTTCGCTGTCGATTTTGGCGCAGTTTGGACAGGCGCTGTCGCTATTGATTCTGGTTCTTCAGCTGAGCCATCATCTTCCTCTTCATCCTCGTCCTCGTTTGCTTCTTCTTGCTCTTGCAGCAGCTCAAATGCGCTCTTTTTAGCCGCAGGAAGTGGCTCGTCATCTTCCGATTGTTTTTCCTCCTCGAGGGCTTTGGCTTCCTGCTCCAGCCGCTTTAGCGTCTCTTGCTCCTCCTTCTCGCGCTGCAACTTGCGCAGAGCGCGGGAAGACATGGTGGTGTCGTCGCGATTCCACAGGCTCTCTGTGTGGGGGATGACTTCCAATGGAAAGTGCGGGTTGTCGTAGAGAAATGACGGTGGCCCGATTGAGAACGCCGCTTCGTTTCACGACCGCGTCCGATTATGTATCTGTTCCTGTCTTGGGTGTCGGAGAAGGGACGTTCGCGTTGAATTGGGCAGGGATCAATGTATACAGAAAAGTCAGGCCGCGATCCAATTCACTTTTTCGATGATGCACGCGAAGCAGAACACGTTCAACAATGACGCGCAACATTCACCCCCGCGATTCACAGGACGCATTTCTCCTGAACGCCTTGTGCATGTCACTCCCATGTTCGTATGTACATTTGTTGAAATTCAAAGACTAAAGTCCTACTTCTGGTTGCGGTCTACTATTTACTGGTAATGGTGCAGAGCATGAGCGGCAATAATGTAGCGCTGTCGACGACCAATCTCAACAACGCTCATGCTGGAGTCATCCAATCTGGAAAGAGCGGTCTCTTGCATTTTTGTGTATGGCGTGGAGCGTAAGGTCTTCACCGAGAGCGGAAGAAGATGTGCATCGATCTCTCAGCATAGTGTCGGACAAGCTCGCCGCCTCGCATCCTCTCCTTGATGCACACATCAGTCTTCCCCAATCAAGCAAGAAGCGTCGATGACGCGTAGCAAAGATAGTCGGCCATTCAACAACCGATGAGCACCATGCGCTCAACCGGTGATTCGGGCGAACGACTCTGTATCTCATCCATCCGGCACGCCACAATGCTCCGTCACCATCGCCTTGTCCACAAACCCCAACCTCATCAAGCCCTCAATCTCCCCCACGTTCCCCTCCTTTGCCTCCACCCACTTCTTTTCCAATATCTTCTGCAACATGACCTCCTCCCAGTACCGCAGATAGTCCACTTCCACTGCCATGATGACAAGGTTGTCCCAGAGCTCGCGATTGCTCATTCGCGCGATGCGACTGCCGTCGGGGTAAGTGCTTGGATCATTGGCATCGTCAGCCGGACCGTTGTGAAACCAGAAGCGATACGGCCAGCGGCTGAGGTACTCGCGCATGGACTCGATGCTGATGTGGCAGAGCACTGCTTGTTGTACGGCGAACACGAGTACCGTGCGCAGATCATCGCTCGTATAGTGACACTCTCGCTGCAATTTGCGGAACTCGTCCCCGACATCGCGCTGCTCGCCACTGAGGGAAATGTTGCTGTTCAATAGCCATCTTTTCAGATCAGCGACCGGGTCTCGCGAGAGCAGGCGGAAGCCCGAATGGCGTGATGGGGCTTCTTCGAGTGCACAGTCCGAGTGGTGGCAGGTTCGAGCATACGGGCGAGTGGTGATGACGTTGTCCTTGTCGCTAGCGAACTTGAGGCATTCGTCGTCTGGACAGAGCTGGGCCTCGCTCTCGACGACAATGGTGACGGGCTGTCGATCTTCTTCCGACTCGTCGCGGGACATGCTGGTTGGCGAGAGCATTGTGATGTGAGGGCGCGGGCGCATCTGTGCGGTAAGGACGACACCGCCACCTTCAGAACTGTCTGACAACAACTTCCTGCGCTTAGTGGGAGACTCTGCCATGTTTGTGAGTGAGGGGCGACGCGTGGTGAATGGAGTAAAGGACGACGGAGAAAGAGAAGGAAATACACAAACTTAGCCAGGCTGCGACATTGGCGCTAGCGCGAAGACATGCAGGAGCAGGTGCAGGAGCAGATGCACAATCACCTGTCTCGTCTGTTCTCACGTCTCTCATCCTTTGTTCGAGCATGCGCGACTGTGACACTCGCCGGTTCATGCTCACACAATGTTTTCTCTAACCACCGCCAGCGGCACATTCACCTCCCCGTCGCAGCTGCCCTTGTCGACCCGGATGTTTGCATCTGCGCGGCGTTTCGAAAGGAGTCTTTTGCGTCCTCATCTCGACATCCGAGCGCGCAGTTTGGAGGACATCGGTGTCCTTTGAAGCAAAATCACAAGAGCCAGCAGTAAGATGGGCAGTATCAGGGACAAGGAATTCGTCACATTCGAGCCGTGGCCGAGACACTACTGCTTCGATACTTAGCTTGCGTCGCCTCCGTCAAGATCAGTCATCACATACCTTTGCACACTATGTACTCTCCTCACAACTTCGAGTCTTCTCCGTCAACAAGCTTCGCCGCCGTGTCAGCAACATCCGCCGCTGTCTCAGCCGCAGCCTTGTCCTCACCATCCACTTTGTCCTCGGCCTTCTTGATGCCATCAGATCCGGCGTCTCCGCCAAAACTGGCAACGACCTTCTTGACCACCTCCAATGTTGGCGCCGGTCCCCCTGGCTCCGCGGCCAGTACCTTCCCGCTCTTGTCGACCACAAACACGCCTCGAGTGGTGCCCTTCGGCGCCTTCTTCAGTCCAATGGCGCCTATCAGTGTCTGCTTCGGGTCGCAAAGCAAGGGATACTGCAGCTTCTGCTTCTCGACGAAGTTCTTGTTGGCCTTGGGCGAGTCATTGCTCAAGCCGTAGATGCTCAACCCGGCTGCTGTGAGGTCGTCGTATGCATCACGGAACAGGCAGACTTGTGTAGTGCCTGCGACGCGTCAGCCGCGCTCTTGTCGCGCCTACATTGCATTCCTGCTCACATCCTGGTGTGCTGGCCTTTGGGTATGTGAAGAGTACCACTCCGGCCTTACTCTCCTCTACCAACTTGGCGAGCGAGGTCGCCTGCTCACTGTGCGTCTGGACTTCACCGCCAAAGCCATCGAGCTCGATGCTGTCACCAACCTTTGGAGGACCGGCCTTTGCAGACGACGTCTCCTTGGGGGCAGCCTCGGCTGGAGCAGGCGCGTCGTCCACAGCGACCTCAGGTGCTTTGGCAGCTTCAGCCGACTCTGCCTTTGGCGCGTCCTTCTTTGCTTTGGACTTGGATGGCGCGCGCTTCTTTGCCGGAGGGGGCGGAGGCGGAGCTTCCTTTCTCTTGCGGAGCTCAACCATGGTGACCTGGCGCGTTAGAGTTGCTGGTAAGAGACAACGCGGTAATGAGCTACAGAGAGAGGGCAGCGCAATGAGGTGTTAGCTACAAGACTGCGCGATGGTAAAAGAGACAAGGGTGAGGAGTAAACAACGGGATCACGCTCGCGCAGAAGGTGTCACCACACGGCCTGCCGAGTCTCGTCTAGGGGCAGTCTGCCACTGTGGCAGGTGCGGCGCTTTGCGCCATCCTGGGACATATTTGATCGGAAGCCAGCAAGCTCAAAGCAACACGAAGTGCACAGATGTCGCGTCCGAGCTCCGAATGCGTTGCGGTTCCTCCCGGCGGCAAGGCGGCTCGAGCTCGTGTGGAGCCGGCATGTGCTACCTCCGTACTCTCCCACCTTCGACGAGATCCAACATCACATATCAACATCGGTACTCAGTATTGGCGACCGTCAATCATCCTCCGAATGCAGTTGCTGATTGTCACCAAGATGCGAAAGGAGTGGATGTCTCGAGAAGCCAGCACAAGGAGGCATTATAGCCTGAACTTTGTCCAGTATTATTCCCACCGCGACCTGGTCTCTTTCACTTCACGACAATGTTCTACACTGGCTTGACGTACTGGACTGCCACTCCTACCAGCTAGAGACTCTAAGAGCGAACAACGCGGTGGGAGCGCAGCATCGAAGTCCCGGCAAACTACCAGGTTCCAAGCCATCCTTGAAATCAACGCGTTCCTGCTGGACCGGAGCTTGGTAATGCGCGGCGACAGCTTCAGGTCCATGATATGTGAAGTGAAAACATATGTGTAGACTGTTATTGGGCGTGCCGTGAGAATTTCCTCTGGGCCTGCCTCAACTCTATTGCCCGTTGCCAGCACAGATCCGGGCAAGTCCAGTTGGCGGCACCATTTCTTCCACCTGGCAACATATCCAGCTTCAATATTCTCGCACTTCCTCCTCCTTTCTAATTGTACATCGCATACAAGTACAACTGACGTGAATGATCCAGGTTTTGTATCGAGGAAAAGGGCCCATTCAGAAAATTCCACACCTGCGGGGCCATCTCGGAACTATGACATCGCATGACTAAAAAGTGGCAGAGGACTCTTGACGCGCACCGCAGAATCGGACTCGAAGACCGGTGTCGGAAGACAGAATCTTGACCTCACGTTCAATTGCCACCGCAAGACTCTCCACGAAAAGAGGTTAAATTCACTTGGCCTTATCTTCAGGCCTCCAGAAATTGCCAAGATTGCACATACTTTCCACGTTCCATCATTTCAAGGCAGATTTTCTGGCTTCTCCGTGCACGTTCTTCTGAGACCCTTTGCAGCTTCAGGAACAATCCCTCGGACATCGCCTTCCATCGTCACTGGAATTCGCTTCTTCGCGCATCAGAATCCGGTTCCAACCAGGAGGTCGCTACGGGCGATCACATCTCGTGACTAGACAACAGAACCGCCTTGGTCAGGCCGCTTGTGGGATTGAATTCCATCATGGAAGCCTCAGTACCCGAAAACAAATCATGGCGGGATCGCATCGGCGGGAAGAAGCTCGCCCCTGTCGACAGCAACGTCGCACGATCTGATGAATCCGGCTCTGGGATGCAAAAGGTGGAGAGTGGGTTAGGGAATGGAGAGGTTGTGCCCGCTTCGATAACGCACAAGAAGGTGAACTGGATCCAAGCTACTTTGAGTATGTGTCTAAATTGTCCGAGTACAGCCTACTTTACTGACACACAGCAGTCTTGATCGCTGAGACCGTATCTCTGGGCATCTTATCTCTTCCAGCTTCAGTCGCGTCAATGGGACTTGTGGTTGGCGCCTTCATCATCGCCATCTTCGGAATCTGCACGCTGGCTACAGGATTTATGCTCTACTACTTTCGTATGCGATACCCTCACGTGCAAAACTTTGGCCAGGCAGGATATGTACTCGCAGGCAAGCCAGGGCAGTACATTGCCGAGACACTATTCCAGCTCCTTTTGGTGTTCGTCATGGCAGCACATATCTTGACCTTCGGGACGATGGCCAACACTGTCGCTGGAAACAGCTGGAAATGCACTGTGGTCTTCAAACTCATTGGCTTCTTCGTCTGCCTGGCTTGCACACTACCACGGACTTTCAAGTCCAACTCATATCTTTCTGCAGTTTGTAGGTTCCTCGATCAACTTTTCGGATTACTGCGATAATGTACTGACGGAATGCCTGCTCCAGCTTGCCTCTCCATCCTGGCTGCAACCCTGATCGCCCTCGTCGACATTGCCATTATCGGTGAAGGCGAAGGTACCGCGAAGATCGCACCGCCTTCAAATGTCGTCCCAGCCGACTGGATGATGGCACTGAGCAATGTCCTCGTCTCCTTCACTGGCCACTTGGCTTACTTCCAGGTCATGGCCGAAATGGACCGCCCTCAGGATTTCCGCAAGTCTCTCATCGCCACCAACATCAGCATGAGTTCCCTCTATCTCGTTGTCGCGGTCGTCATCTACTACTATGCCGGTGCCGACGTTGGTTCTCCGGCCCTCAGCTCCGCCGCACCGCTCTTCGCCAAACTGTCTTACGGTATCGCCACACCGACCATCGTCGTCGCCGGTGTCATCGCAGGTCTTCTAGCGTGTAAACGCATCCAAGCTTGGTTCTGGGAAAGTGTCCGGAATGAACCAAAAGCCGCTGATGAGATTTCTCTGCGATCCTGGACATCTTGGGCCAGCATTGTTATTATCCTCTGGGCTCTCGCATTCATTCTCGCGAACGTTTTGCCTTACTTCTCACCACTTCTGGCTCTGATCGGAGCGATTTCGGGGACCTGGATCACCTTGGGCATTCCGAGTATGACGTGCATGTACATGTGCCATCATGGTTTCGCGTCTACGGAAGTGGAATTGAATGTTGCGACCGGAGAGGACGAGACCGGTGCGAGGAGTGTTGAATTGATGACGAGGGAACGACAGACCTGGCGATGGTGGCAGCTGTTCACGTTCCCTTCAGACGCTTCGCGAAAAGTGCAATGTGCTTGGGGTGGTTCGATTCTGCTCTTCATTTTGGGGATAGTGATGGTCGCGTTCGGAGGTTATGGAAGTATTCAGACGATGGTGACGTTGAGTACGGATAACTATGCTCCGTTCTCTTGTAAATGATGGGGGTATGTGGCTGTTTCGTAGGATGTTACTTGACGGGCCAGCTGTCGTGACGTCTACCAGATAATGATATGTAGAGATAGGAATTGGAAAGGAATCTTGATCAAGATCGACGACGGCAGAAGCTCTGTATTACATTGAAAATCGTACCCATTGATCAAAACAGTCAGACGCAATAAGCCAAGTACGAGATCGTAGTTTACATCGCAAGCTCCCAGTCAGCTAGATCAGACCACTACACTTCATCTCTCGAGACCTGATCCAAGCGAAACCAGACAACTGGCCTCCCAGTTCTTCCCGAAGTTCCTCGTGGCAAAGCCAGGAATGGCACCCCACGCGACACTGGCCCAAACGATCGTGCGCCAGATCATCTAGACAATTGAGCCCACTCCAGGCAGGCCACTGCCTGTCTTACCCTGCGGCGCAGTCGCAGGTTGAGCTCCCACTTGATTGAGTTGACTGAGTTGTGCTGTCGCGGGATTGCTGTCTTTTGCCGCACCGCCGCCCAGAAGGCTGTTCAAGGGCAGGCCTTTCAAGAGAGAGTCGAAGGGAAGGGCTCCACCGGCTTCACGCTCGACGACGGTCGTCTTGGGGACGGCGACGGGCGCTGCTGCCGCCAGAGTGGCGAGGAATGTTGTTGCTAAGATGGTGAACTGCATTTTGGCTTGTTGGTGGGGTTGTGATCGGCTGGGAGACGACGCGTGTTAGCGGGGAACGTGTAAGTGGTCGTTGTCTTTTTTGAACGGGTGTGAGGACTCACACAGTTGCTGACTGTTGGGTTGAGTGCGTCGAGAAGAGGATTCTTGTGCTTGCTCTGTCGTCGATAATGAGCGTGGTTGTCGTTGTGGTAGAGAGTGACTGTGGGTCGGAGTGGTAGCAACGTTGATGGTCTGCTTGGAAGTAGAGAGGCCAAGTAAAAGAGTCGGAAAGCCTCTCCTTTACATACCCTTCTCCCCTTCGTATTCCATCGCAACGCATACCCAGCATCACGCAAACCTGGCAAAGACTGTTTTCAGGAGTCCGCGCTCTCCGCCGCGTCCGCAAAGCCAGGAACGGAAGTCTTGTTGAGCTGAAGTGCAAGCATCAGTCTTGTTGCGATCGCAACTTTGTCCACGAGTTGGCGTTTCATCCCCACTCTGCACAAGATTTAGCGCATTGGGATTGGGCTATCCTGGGATTAGCGTGAAATGAGGTGACTGGGAAGGCACCTGTTCTGGGCGATAAAGCTGGGGCTGATGGAAGCTTGTTGCCTGCCAAGATAGCGACAAGTCGATATAGTTTTGTCAGGGATTGAGGACTGTGCATTGATTTTGTGGTCGAGCGTTTGCAAATTGAGGGCGGGTGGCATTTCAATGCACTGGCGCATGGACGCCGCCGAAGATCGTTCAAGCAGATTGCGGACAGAGATAGATCTGTGCGTTGTTCGGGAAGACCTTGAGTGTCGATGGTGGTCAGCGCTGCGAAAAGTATCGATGTCCAATGTCGACCGTCATCTCTTCCAGGGGCAGCCATAAACTTTGCAGCGTGGATGATACGGCGATTCTTTCTGGATCAATCGGCAGACTCTCCAAAGTATTGCTGGGACCCCAACATCCTCATGCTGCCCATGCGGCAGTTATCAGTCACGATATGTTGACCTGAGATCAGAATTGATTGATGGGCACTCAGTCGTGCGACTTTGATTGCTTTGGGAGACTGATCGCAACAGGAAATTCGCCCGTTCCGTGAGTTGCAAAGAATGCTCTAAGGCTATCGGTTTCTGGAACGAAGCACATGGTCTTTAGGTACCGACCGCGCACGACATGGCTCAGGCCACCAGAATCAGTGACGTACAATCGTTCTCCTATTGCAGCTTGATGCGTGTGATGTGGTAGTTGGATACCAACGATGCCGGACGTCGCCACAATTATCGCGTTGAACTCAAAAGGCTGAACATCGCTCTCCACATAAGACTGCCAGCTAGCACTGGCCGTTGATTGAAGTGACTGTGCTGTGGGTAAAGAGGTGAACAGATGGGCAGAGGATCCAAAGAGTTGCAAGGGAACAACGTTTTGCAGTGTGGTCACCATACGCGACGCGTGCTTGAAATACACGGCGAGAGCTTGCTTGATGGATCGCTCGATACGTGTGAGGTTGTGGTTGCTAACGTCTTGTTTGAGGTGGGCAGGCGTTCCAGGATGCAGTATGTGACATATTGTGGCGGAGTTGACTGGAGACAGTACCAACGTTGGACGCAACGCGAAAGGGGTGAACCGCCATGCGATGTGATTCGAAACTCGCTTGGGCTCTTCTGGAGATACCAGTAATTCGTATGGTATCGCTGTCACTGGTCGCTCGATGCACGACTCGATGATCCTGTTCTTATTATCGTATAGGTCGTCGACAAGCTGTTGAAGTGTTGACAAGTTCCAGCTTGTATGGCACAGATGGTAGTGTATAACTTCGTCGAAGACAGCTTGGGGAGATTTGCGATAGTCTGGCTGGAAGTAGCGTGCTTCTGTCTCGGGTATGATGTTCAGCAGAGCATACACCTTGTCCGCAGGTTCGGTGCATCTTCGCCTTGCTGTCAAGCGGATCCACTCAATAAGTGGCTTTCGAAGTATCCCGGCCTTAGACTGCACAACCCAGGCGTCATGTAGCTGACGCATCTGTTCCAGGCCTTGACGCAAGACGACAGTGTCGGTCTTCTTCCTAGCATCAGCTTGTTTGGAGAATGCTGGGAAATAGTACAAGGTATCAGTGTCAAAAGCTCGCCGCCAGCTCTCAAGAAAATCAGACATGGGCATTTTGAGCGACCCAAGCAAGACCACAGGCTCCGATGTCGCATACAAAGTCTCTTGCAGGATCCAAAGCCTTGTCCACGAGACATCAGGTCGCGTGCACAGGCTTAGAAGGGACTCGAGTCTTGGCTTGACGTCTTTACCAAGCCACACAACGACTTCTTCGGCTTGGTTGAAGATTGCGCCGCCTTTTCTTCCAGATCCATCTGATTGATGCAGATGGCGTCAACCCATATGTACACCAGTCTGGTTACGTTGCGCAGTCGGCGCAAGGCTTCAAGTAGATGCCATGTGATTCGGAAACTCTGCGAGAGAGGCCCAATGGTTATAGCGGCCGCCTTTGGGTCTCGACCCCAGGAGTAAGAGAGCGCGGAGTATTCCAAACCCGCCTCATAGATGGGACGCTTTATCAAATCACAATGGATATCGGCCTCGAATTGTCCAGGCCTGATCCTTAGCAAGCGGAAGTAAGGGCCTTCTGCGCCAACGTGCTCAGTCAGAATGGAGCTGCCGTGGAACGAATAATCGTCGAAAAATTCAGATGTGTCGTGTGCATATGCCGCATCGCCGAAGAGGTTGTCAACATCGTTTCCAGAGTCGACTCCTTCGAATATCGCTGTGTTCCAGTCTTTTCGCTCCCAGACGTCCCAGGCTTCGCGCTCGGCGCTGTCCCAGTCCGCCCATCTGGCAGTCATGGCCACCGTTAATCACGCCAGGTCATCGGCAAGTCGAGCGCATTTATATGGGAGGCCTCTGTCATCTTCCTGCGCTGGTTGTGTGTCCTCGTTGTGTGGAGGCTGAGGCGCTGAGGTCGTGGCGCAGCCACTTGGCAAGCTCATGCACGTCAGCCCACTGATGCGATGTGTTACAAAGGCCCTGTTTGAGACGGGCGGCCAGCACATGCCAGTGAGTTTACAAGTGGTGTGACCTTTGACAATACGGTCCTCGTGATATGGGCAAGGAAATCTGTCCAGAGGCTTGAGAAAAGGGAATCAAGAGGCAGCTGATCCGCGGATAGTGTCCATTTCCAAAGTTCGCGACAAATCTGCGAGGTGGCCAACAACGATGAGTCCGCGTACCGCACGGTACAGATGTCATACGTTGCGTCCATGAGTCTTGCATTGATATCCGCAGTGAAGTCCTAGGGAGATGATCAACCGCATCGCTTCACATGCCAAGGACCGGCGACTTGCCGGGAATTTCCATAACATTCGCACAGACTATGTCCGCACCCAGAGCTTGCACGAAGGGAAGGAGGCATGAAGCGACATAGATTCAAGCCAAGGCGTCAAGTCTGCTTAGGGCGAAGCCTATGTCCTGTCGTTCCTTCCCTCCCTCCCAACACCCCTCCTCCCGCCTCACGCAGACAAAACCCACCCCTCCCCAGCAGCACCACCCAGACAAATCGAAGTGCCCGACTCCAACTGAGTCTTTCCCTGGTTGCAATATGTCATATAACCCCAGACAGACTGCCCATCAGGAGAAGCGTATTCGATAATACATTGTCCAATATTGACAAGCCCGTCCAGACAGCCGCAAAGATCAATGTCTTTGCTTCCCGTGTAGCCTAAGCCGTTCGTTGTTGGCGTGCCATGTGACTTTTTGTCCGAGGCCTTTGAACGAAGCGCAGTCGGCGGAGATGGTCGCGGGGAGAAGGGCGAGCGTTGCGAAGAGAATGATAGATTGGCTGATCTGAGGCATGGTGGTGGAAGTGGTAGTGGTGGTGATCTGATCGGTTTTCTTGGCGGTTCGTTCTCGGTGGGCGACATCTGGGCCTCTGGTGAAATAGTGCCGTTTGAGAGAGAGCGCTGCACGTTAGTTTCTGAGAAGAATGTACGTGACGAGCCTGTTTATTGGTAATGTATCGGCAGTGGATGGCATTCCCGTGTTCTGTGTCCTTCTTTATATTACTCTGTTTGCATGGAATTCTGGGTCCATCAACAGATCACCGATCGTCTTCCTCCATCTGTGTCTCCATGCATCGGACCGGCTATGAAGACCAATCAGCGAGATTGTTCCGAGGTCCGGCGCGGAAATATAGCAGTAGCGTTCTATGGTCGTCACTGGCGGCATAGCTTTGGTAGTGCGCCAAGTTGAAGTATTTCGTACCTCCTATCCAGAGACCAGGCCAGCAGGCCTGCAAGTCAGGTACCCGCATCAGTTCGATTGACGGGCCTTTCAGCGTGCCAAGTTCGCCCGTGGACAGCGCAGCGTTGAACGAGGTGAAGCAATAGGATCCAGTACGAAGATTCGTTCGGCGGCCGTTGGATGCTAATCACTTGTTACACCTAGGATGCAGGTGCGACCTCAGAGAACCTCAAAGTCAACTGTGAGATTCGGTGAGAAATTGTTATCCCGAGCCAGGGACGTCACGAACGACTAAGCGTTGCACCACCTCGTGGATGGGAAGAATGAGGGTGTCGACCCAAGCACTACGGTTCAAGACGCCACGCCAGTCCGTCCCGTGTGTGTTCCGCGCGCTGCAGATTGCCGGTATCGCGATTACATCTGTACTTGCGTCTGTTCAATGAGCGGCCAATATGTGGTGGTGTCGCGTGGCGAATTCTATGCTTTGTCTGGAATTGTGGCGTTGCGTGAACACACAGGATCGCACGTGATTCGAAGAAGCGTGTGAGATGGCACTCCGGCTGCTGTGCGATTGCGCTTGCGTTTCTCATCAATCCCTAACCGCTAACAGCACCCAGCCAAGCAGAAGCCGAGCGGCGCAGGGTCACCGACGAATACTACTTCGCCGGTCCAGCACCCTCTGGCTTGCCTCCCAAGACAGCTATAGAGCTCTGACTCGCTTTCCTCTGGTGCTGGGCGTCTGGCACGCCGCGCAAGCTGCCCCCGTTGAATGGTCCTGCTTTTCCGCTTTCACTCGTAGGACTCATCACGCCTCCAATGCTCGGACTCCTCATGCCACCTCGAGAGCTGGCAATGCTGGGTCTGCGAGAGCTACCAGAAGTGCCCTGCTCAGCCTCTCGCTCTAAGAAGTCACTCCAGAGCTCCGCCAGACTTTCTCGACTCGCGCCACCTGGGCTGTCTGGGATGAATTCACCTAGAGTCGGCGTCGATGGTGTCCGCCGGAAGGGTGATAATGGTACTCGCAAGCTACCACTTGTTGAGCTGACGTTACTGCCGGTCCGGACTAGACCTGCTTGCTCCCGTTGTGATTCGTCCCAGCCCAAGAGAGCCGCGATCAGCTGCAGCACTTGGAACTTTTTCGGGTCGCTTCGATCCAAAGCCAGGAAATGCAGAAAGTGGTTGGTCACCAGCTGGCGATCGACATTGTCCTCTGGCTTGCCACGCTTCAGGAAGCGAAGCGCTTTGGTGAGATGGTCGTTAAGGATGACAGCCTCGTGCCGGAGCTTGCCAATCAGCAGGTTTTTCTCTTTGACCTCTTTCTCGAACGGCGCAGCTCTTGCAAGTTCAGCCTGTGTCGTTTCCAGCTCAGTCTTGAGCGATGCCGCTGTCTCTTCGGCTTCTTTTGCCTGGGTGCGCAGCGCATCAAGCTGCGATTGTGACTGCTCCACCATCTCTCGTAACTCCCGTTTCCGCTCTTCTTGCAGGTCACGCAGGGCGCGTTGGAGACCGTCCACTGTATTCGATTGCGTGTTGGCTTCGGATTGAGCACGCTCGTATGCCTCTCGTTGTGCATGCAGCTGATCCTCGAGCTCCTGCGTCTTCTCATCTAGAGCTTCTCGCCTCGAACGTTCTTCTGTTGCCAGAATTTCCCAGTCCTGCATTGCCTGCCTCGCGACCTCGTACTCCTCCCGCAGAGCCGCTTCACGTTGCACCATTTCATCGCGCTCTTTCGCCCAATTACTAGTCGAGAGATTTGTGCGACTGCGCAACGTGTCCACCTCGGCCGCTTGCGATTCTAGCTTGCTGTTGAGGTCGGTGATCTGTTGCTGGAGGCGCTCGTTCTCGGCCTGTGCTGTGCCGTTGGACTTCTCCAGCTCGTCAATCTTTTCCCGGGCCGTCTCCAACTCAGCGGCATCGGCCTTCAACCTCTCTCCTAGCTGGGAGCGAATAGTGTTCACTTTGCCCAGAAGATTGCGATACTGCGTTTCGGCCTGCTCTTTTCCCTCTTGTGTCTGCTCGAGCTCCTCCTTCACGCCAGTCAACTCTTCATTGTGCTTCTCTCGTAAGCTCTCGAGCGACTTCCGCAACTGTGTCACTTCTGCTCTTAAGCTGTCACGTTCCTGTTGCATGGCGTCGAGTCGCGCGGAGGTATCAGTCGGCGATCCTGATGTCGACTGCTCCGGCTCCTCCCCATCTTTGCCATCATCGTCCTCATCTTCGTCGTCATCGACGGGGTCGTCTGCGGTTTTATGTGTACCATTCTGTATGGGCGTCTGCTCAGACTTGGTTTGAGCTTTCGACGACGCGGGAGGCATATCGGAGGGTTGCTGCGCGTCTGTCGTGTCGGATTTTATTCCTGCCTATGCTTGGGTTCAGCCTGAGTGCTGGCATCAGACGATGTGGCAGCGAGGACCGAATACTCACGCTCGGGGATTGGGGTCGTGATGGCTCGTCGTCAGCATCGTCGTCGGCTACATGATCGACGCCGGCGCCATTGGTCTGTGCCGCGCCATTGACCGCGTTTGCCTGGCCGTTGGCCTTCTTCTTGCTGTTCTTCTTCTTCTTGCTCTTGCTCGCTGCAGTGGGCTAAGGTCAGCAATCACTGCTGCACGTTGCGCAGAAATGGTATCTGCGTCTGGCCTCGGCCCCCCCACCGTGCCAAGCGAAGGTCTTCGCGCTCTCGGTGTTGGTAGGCGGTGCAGATGGTGGGCGTACCTGATTTTGTTGCATCGACGGGCGTGTTGGCGGCGGACATTGTTATCGACGAGCAGTCCGGCAGTCGTACAGCTGCAAGATTCGTTGGCTGGCAGTCTGGACGTCGACTTTCCCACCACCTGGCATCCACGAGCGCGCTAAGGCGGAGACGCCGCGCCAAACCCTTGCCCGCCGACAACGTCTTCTGAACTCCGAACTTCACTCACCCACCTCTTTCACATGCACTACGCCCAGGGACGGACTGCCGCTGCCACCAGCGTCGCCGTGGCACCGCCCGGCACTCGTGTCTCAGCCTTGCGCCGCATCCCAAATGGGTTTACGCGAAAACATGACTACTGCCGCTGCTTGGCCCGCACCATCTCTTGCATCACCGCCGCATTCCCACGCATTTCCGCTGTCGATCAGAGCGGCTGCGAACCCGTCTCGCAATCGCACCACCCCAACCTCCGTTCGATTGGACCGCCTCCGCACTCCTTGCGGAGACCTGATGACCGCTTTGGATGATGGCATGTCGACTATTGTTGTATACTAATCAGGGTCCAATGACCTACCTACACAGGCAAGTCCAGTAGTGCACGCTAACTGACGTATATTCCCCCGTTTTCCATCCCGTCCTGCAAGTCCTCTCACAGTCTGGACAGCTTCGATCCAGATCATACCCTTCCTGCACATTCCTACACCACGTAGCCGTTCACCCTAATCAAAATTTCGTCATGGTCAACAAGACCTTAAAAAGCATTTTCACCGCTCCTCATCAGTTGCCTCCCCAAAGGACGCCCAGCTCAGGTAGTGCTGTGCAGAGAGGAAGGACATTGAACAGTGAATCCTCCATCGACTCGAGCAGCGATCACAGCGAAATGTCAGGCAGGAGCTATCTCCGATGGGATGCACCAGGCGTAGAAGACCCTCCCCCAGGCGAACAGGCGGATATCGAAGCCGTTGCAGAGCAGATCAACAAGCAACAGCGGCAGCAATTTGATCATCACAGACATGTGTATACTGGGACCCATTGTCGGACGCATGGGATCGTGAAGGGCACCTTCATAGTACACGACGGACTGCCGCCCCATCTTCGCCAAGGAGAGCTGTTCGCGCAGGCTGGCAGCTACCCGGCTGCGTGCCGATACTCTACTGAGCCAGGTGATCCGGGGTTCTCAGACACTATTCCGGCTCCTCGAGGTTTCAGTATCAAGCTGTTCAATGTGCAAGGAGATTTCTTCGCAACTGGATCAGATGTGCAGCATCCTCAGACACAGGACATCGAATTCAACAGCACTCCAGCGATCGAGCTCGCAGATGCTAAGACGACGCGTGAGATTTTCGACATCAGGATGGGACTCGGAACACTCCTGGAGACCAAAGAGATGATCCAGGAATTGGAAAAGCGGAGCGACACAGAGTTACAGAAAGCGCGCTTCCAGGTTCCCAATCCTCATCTGGCTTCACTTCGTCAATACTCGCAGACGGCATATCGCTTTGGTGACTATGTCTTCAAGTATTGCCTAGTACCCAACACGGAAACGCAGACAAAGCTCGCAGATCAAATGATCAAGCCTGAAGCCCACGAAAGCGATCAACACCACAGGTGGCTGCAGAACTTCCACGCAAATTACGACGCGGAGTATCTGTTCCAAGTCCAACTGCTTGAGAATCTCGAAGAGCAGTCGGTGGAATATTCGGGGACCGAATGGGACAGCGAGAAGTACCCTTGGCAGACGGTGGCTACATTGAAGATTCCCAAACAGGAAGCTTTCGATTTGGAGAGAAAGGCTTTCTGGGAAGACCATATGCGATTGGATCCATGGCATGGACTGAGGAGCTACCAACCGCTTGGCAGCGCGAACCGGTTGCGACGAGTGGTGTATCCTGCGAGCTCGGCTTTGAGAAGAAAATTGAACGGCAGGAAGGAGATTTGGGTCCGGAGCATTGACGAGATTCCGAATTAATGTGCATTGCAGTACCGGACACGATGTGCAACATTGAGCAGCTTTATTGGCATACGTGCCTCAGTAGCTGCTGTTTCCAGCCTGTTCTTCCCAGCCAGCTATACTTTCCATGTCGGCTCCAAGCTTTCGTCCTCAGCCTTGACCTCTCCTTCACGCCCAGAGTCCTGGTGACTAAATACCCTGCCTGATTCGGACCTGTTGACCGCTTTGAATGGCACGTTTCAGACTTGGTCAACAATAGCTCTGCATTTGCATTTGCAGTAACACGGCTGCTGTTCAAGTCGAATAGTCCGAGTAGACGACACCGACTTTGTTAGGCTGCTGTCTATCGCGGATGCGCTTGCCTTGGTGCAGTCCGTCACGGCTGAGCAGCAAGTCGTGCTTGCGAGCAAGTCCGTCGATGTCAGCAGCACTGGAAGCGCCGACTCTCGCAACTTGGAAAATCAACGGCGTCCAGCTCACGAAACAACATGGCTAGCTGGCTGCACCGAGCGTCTCGGTCCCGTCTCGTTGGAGTTGCTCGTCGTGCCACCACACGGCGCCGTAGCTTCGTCGATGCGAGTCGGGACTTGTATATCGCTTCGATCGCACTTTCCACTGTTCCACGGGCAACGTGTCAAGGAAGGCTACAAGTGCATCACAGTATGCCAGAGCAGACTTGGAAGCGCCGACTGATCCTTTGCCGGCAGCTGTACATCATCAATCATTTACCCAGCGACTTCGATCAGGTGGCGTGCCGATCATGCCAGCATGTGAAAGAAGACCCGAAGGCTCACCTCGAAACAGCCCACGTTCATCGCGGCAACTATCGCCCCATTTACACACGAGCCGGAGCTCGATCTCCAGATCCAGTGCTTCTTGGAAGTCGGCTGTCATTATGACTTGCTCCGTCGGTGTGTCTCTGGTACCCGCATAGAAGAAGGACGTGCGGCATGACTCTATGTGGTGACAGACCAGCTTGCTCTTGACAGAGCTGAGAAACCGCTCATCGCGGAAGTCGCATCATCAGTACCAAGGGCCTCCAAGCTGTTGCCTCATTTCAGGATCGGCCCCACTGTTCGATCTTCAACGTCTGGCCATTCCGGCGATTGTCTGAGCTTTTTGTTTGGAGCACAACGAATCAGCGCTCAAGCACCAAGACCAAGAACGAATCATTAGAAGCTGTCCACTAAGACCTATCCTCTCGAGAAGACCCAGGACTCCGGAGCGCTGTCCGAGATGGCACGACGGCAATGTCAAGCCACAAGTAATCCCTTATTCCAGCCGCAGTTCCGCGAAACGACAAATGCAAGACGATTGCCTGCCGTATGAACGAGTCGGATCGAGCTATTGAATTGCGGCAGCACAAATTGTGCTGCTGTGAATGAGACCCAACTCACCCTGGCAACTTGGCGGCAGACATGCCACAGAAGACCACGAACCGGTTGTGACTGCTCCACGCAAGCCTTGTCTGAGCAATCTTGACTGAACTTTACCCCGCGTGACTGTTGTTCGAGCCACTCTGGACGACGTGAGGTCGGGAAGCTTGGCAGGCCATCCTAGCAGCAACATGCTCGATGTAGCTGTGGCAATCAAACTCTCTGCCCACCAACCTCTTCCGGAAAGGGTAAAAGGAAGATGGAAATCAGTAATCGAGAGGGGATGATATAACCGGTAGACGCGCCTGCCATCCTCGCAACTCCCTTCCCAGACGCTTACTCTCGCGCTGTCACTCGTTGTCGTATTCCTCACTGTCGTATTCCTCGCTCATTACCCTGTTCCAACAATCAACGATTTGTGAGTGTGGTTGCAGCCATTGATGATGGAAAGAGTGACTTAGCACTGACTTCGTCGCTACAGGTCGATCCGACATCCTGGAACTTTCCATCCCAAGAGCCCGGCCGAATCAACCTACGGAAACTCAACCCAATCGAATCCCGCAAACGGAATCACATACGTAAAATAACGAAAATGAAGTTCCTCCACCTCGCCACTACAGTCCTCTTCACTCAAGCTCTCGCTTTGCCTCTCATCTCGACCACCGCCGAGCAGTCCACTGCTGAAGTTGCAGAGAAGGCTGGCTTCCACAGTATTTTCTCACGCGACTTCTTTTCGAGCCTCGTTCCTATTCCTGGACTTGTACCTGGTGATGTGTCAACCCCAGCAACCAGCTTTAATGCGGCGAAACCCCAGAGTTGCCAAGGCACTTTCTTGATGGTTTTGGGAGGCTGTTGAGTGGGGTTCGTGGATGGCGGGTTGGAAGGGTTTTGATGCTGCTGCTGCTGTTCGTTCAGGAGGAGATTGAGTAGGTGTGGCGGGGTTTTGGTTTGTGATGATTGTTGAGGTTTTGACGAGGATATCAGTGTTGCGGGACGGGATGGGGAGGGGAAGGTGTAAAGCGAGGAGATTTGATGAAGTGGTGTTGTGGCTCTGGTTGTATGATTGAGGGAGATGGGCTTCAATGGTGATGGTTCTTACGACGCTATGCTGCGACCGATGCTCTTCTTCGGGTGTTCGTTCTTCGGTTGATGTCGTTATTTCTTATGTCAGGCGGTCGATGGTGTCCTGAGCAATGGGTCAATGGCAAAATGGATGAGATGTGTAGACTTACATGAGTATGCGCAAATCATTGCCGTCAGCGATGTTACTCAAATCATATTTTGGGGACCATGTTTTATGTTTGTTCTTGTAGCCACTGCCTTGTCAATTAGCCTTCGAGTAATTCGCCTGCCTGGAATCGCGATTCGTAGTTCCGGATGAAGCCAAAGCCAGTCCAAGGCAGGATAGTACTGGAGATTCCGTGACGATTATTCTGAGCACGCTGCGAGGTGCAGAATGAGAAATATATGAAGCTGTACCTTTGTGAGCTAGAAATGGTACACGGTCGGGCAGCGCGGCCAACAGTGTTACAACACTCCCCACTTAGTCCGCCGAAGGCCTGTCCAAGGCGCTTCAGGAGGAGCAGGGCCAGGCGAATACGACGTCTGAACTCGAAGGGATCTGGGTATCATACACTATTTTGATTCGTCTCCCCTCTACGGTCTTACAGGTGCTCCACCTCTTGCTGTCTGCCCGGCTCTGCTGGCAGGTACACTACTTGACACTTCTTGCAACGCTGCATCAGCTTCTGGCTCTTCTAGCTGTAGTTCTGCGCCGTCTTCAGCTCCGGTATAGGCGCTACTTTGCATTGCCTTCAGCTCTTGTGTCTGCTTGATGGCCCATTGCTTCCAGTCCTCGAATGCTTTGTCTTCTAATAGATCGCCTACTTCTAATGGTCCAAGACCGAAGTATGCGCCTGTTGCTTGTGCTTCTTCTCTTGCTACTCGTGCTTCCACCTCTCGGTGATGTCGATACCGGTATAGCTCTTTTCTCGCTTGGTCGTATGCTGCTGCTTGGGTCATTTCGGTGTGTGTTAAGAGATATTGCCAACGTTGGACGACGCTGTTGAGTAGTCAGCAATCTTGATCGTGAGGGTGTATATTCCTACATCTGCTCACGCTTCACCATTAATCGGTCTACTCCCTTGCACTTTCATCACTTCTTCCCATTCCGCTGTGCCCCTCCCGAACTCATCACGGGCTCCCACTCGAGGTCTTCGCAGGCTGTAGTCTAGGGGTATGCTCCAGTCATACACTTCTCGGTCTCGCCCATTGTCTTCCAGAACCACTCTCGGCCTCGCCAACTCCCATGGGTGGTCATTGAAGTACTCCCATCGCAATTGGTCTTCAGTATATTTGATGCTCAAAGGTTTGAAAAGGCGTGATGATTTCCGATTGGACTTTTTGTTGGGCGCATTGGATCGCTGCAGAGGTGGGCGCGTGAGGCGTGTGGAGGGTGGTGTGTTGGCGATGGCTTGGTACCACGGCGGTGGAGCGGGAATGCGATTGACGTGGAGGAGTTGTGAGGCGGTCTTTTGCACGTTCTGTGTGGCGAAGGAGTAGCGGCCCATGGTGCAAGTTGTGTTATCGTGTCATGATGCTGTTCTCAATGGATGGGGGAATCTGGTGGTGATGGACGATGCGGCGAAGCGGGAGTGTCCCGACGTGCAGGAGGAGAGACGAGCTTCTCTGCACGCGACTCTCCACCACGACACTCTCCTCGCGCCCACGACCGACTTGCGATGCCAATGCGGAGCTGATGGAGTCGCTGGCATCATGTGGCCCTCTTCATGTCCCGATTGCTCCCTCTTCTGCGACACCCGCCCGCAGTCACCACCGCAGCAGCAGCTCTTGCACCGACGACGATAGCATCTTCCGCCAGATGCACCGAACGAGACACCCCGCGTCGACGGTATCGGCACAGACGAGTAACTACACAGAAGCAATGCAACGGCGATGACACGCGTGTGCGGGTGGCGCCAGCACGACCACCCGTCAAGGAATGGGAAGATATCTTCATTAGTAGTCTCGTGGCGGCAGGAACATGCAGAAAACACAGAGTAGCATCGCGGGCTTCTGCTCATCGGCCTATCCGCCACTACTCTACCGCCAGAGACGAACCTGAGCAAAAACGATTAGCAGCAAGTGGAGATGCTCAGATCTCGAAGGAAGAGTATCGCAATCTGGTGGACTTCTACCGCCAGTGGGGCCCCGACACGGCAGAATCAGAGGACAATCGATCTCCGCTCGCATCTCGTCTGATATTGACGCCGGAACAAGAGCTAGCAGCAGCGCAGCGTCAGACGACTCCAGGGAAACGCCATGTCGCACCACCAGAGGGTCACGAGCAAAAGAATATCGTCGAGAGACTCGACAACAAGATCATGTTGTCTCGGCTTGGTCACATATCGTTGGATGTGCTATGGAATTTATATCAGCAGGTCCACTCGCCACGACCGCGATTCCTGAAGGATTGGGTACTCCATCGCTTCTTGCAGCACCTAGGCTTCGTTCAGCAATGGCACGACAAGGATGCTATGCAACGCTACTTCCAGGTTCTGGACGACTGTGTTGAGGAAGGCGTGCCGCTCAACAAGAACAATTGGACTACTGCTATCTCCTTTGCAGGCCGCTGGGTGCAGCGTACGACATCCAGCGAAGTCAAAGCAGCGATTGAAACCTGGATGCGCATGGAAGAGCAAGGCCACGCCGCCGATCATGTTACGTTGAATGTCTTGTTTGACGTGGCTGTCAAGGCAGGTCGTTTCACGCTCGCAGACACTATCTACAAGGAAATTAAGGCCCGAGATCTGCCACTTGATCGCTACTTCCGAGGAAGCCTGATCTACTACGGAGGCATGAAGAGAGATGGGGATGAAGTCAGGCGCGCTTTCCGCGAGTTCGTTGAAGCTGGTGAGATTGTGGACACAACCATCATGAACTCGGTCATCTTATCTCTGCTACGATCTGGAGAAGCCCCTGCGGCTGAGCAAGTCTTCAACAAGATGAAACGCTTGACTGAGGAGAAATTCGGCACCCCAAGCTCGGGAGAGTGGCAAGAGCGAAAAGAGCTAAGGTCCGAGCTGAATGTAGCTGCTCAGCGGCTGCGGGCTGAAAGCGAAGTCCACGGATCCTCCTTCTTTGGCGCATCATCTTCGTCGTACGAGCGGCGTGAGCAAGTACAGAAGATTACTCCCATCGCTCCCGACGCTCGCACCTACACAATTCTGTTCAAGTACCATTCGACCATATCTGGGGATGCCGACCGGATCTGGGAGTTGCTGGAAGAGATGGGTGAGCAAGGGTTGCAGCCCGAGACGGGCTCATTCGTGCACATCCTCAAAGGCTTCCGTCTTCACGGTGGCTATGCATTGTCTAGATGGCAAAATCGCAGGCTTGAAGAGTTCTGGAAGGTTGTCATCAAGCAGATGGAGCTCGAACTGCACGGCACTCGAATAGCACCACCTGGTGGAGCCAATAAGAATGCTGTACCGGAGAGTGCGCCTCCCAAGTCCACTTCTGACCCACCGGCGGTAGCAGAAGGCGTGCCATCATTGGAGAGCGATAGTGATGACTGGGTAGCGCACGACGGATCCGAGTACGGTGACGCCGGACACGATGAGGCTAGCCCATACTCACTTGACAGCGCTTCTAGTGATAACGCTTCGCATTCTACGTCTCCATCGAGCAGTCCAGCAATGACCGACGATATCGACATTCTAGGCGCCATGATTGCGGAGTCCGCAGCTAGCATTCGTTGTCACGACCCGCCGATCACGACTGCCCCAAAACAGACTGAAGAAGCTCAGTCATCGTCGCGGGCTAACAGTCATCCGACTTCTTTCTTGGAGAGCGTCTCCTTGCGACATCTTACCGATGCAGCGCTGCTGCCCGAAGGCGGCTCTGCTTTGGAAGATAACGGTCACGCAACTAGCATCAAACCAGTCGACAATGAATCGCATCCTTCTGATGCGGCCTCTTCCTTCCTCGACAGTTTGACGCCTGAAAACAGCGTCCGGACGAAGAAGCTCGGTGTGAGCGAAAATCGGGCCAATACCTCGCTTGATACCACGGGCACCCGGAAATTGGTGCATAAAGACCGCAATCATGATCAAACGGGTGGAGGCGCGAACAGTGGCCTTTCCCGCTACACTCCTGCTAGCCCTTCACATTTAGTGCACGATCCAGACAACTTCGACTCGTTCCCTGTCTGGCGTCGAGGACCCGGCGTCTTGCAACAGTATGACCACGACCTCATCCCAAGTTCCGGTCGGAGCAAAGACTCAGCTTCGCCCAGAGCGCATACAGCACGGCCACGGCCATCCCTTCCTCCTAACCAGAAGCCCGTTTCTCTGCGTTCCGAGATTTTCTTGGAGGCTGTGCGAGCTTTCTATCAATGCGCCGGACACATGCGCATGATCCAAGTATGGGAGGGTATTGCGAGTCGGTGGTACGATGCTACAGATGAGGAGTGGGCGCGAGTGGAGAATGAGGTGGCGCAGATCGAGAGACATGCTCGCCGGTACGAAGATTTCAATAGAGCTAGTCGATGAGCGTTCAAGCATCTTTTGGAATGAACCTTGTAATCTTTCCATCTCTAACAGCTTCTTGCACTGTGCCAAATTGTCGTACCAGCATAGTATTTTGGTGCAGCCATTCCTGAAGCTACCGCTTCCGCCAACGAATCGTAGCAGGATGCATCGGCCTTGAGAACATACTGCTATAATCCGTCTTTGGCACATCTGCTTTCGGATCTACCTGTTCCCAGTCCAACAATCTCACCATTGTAGCAAGAATCGTCGTCAACTGCACATAAGCGTACTGTTCGCCTGTACATCTATGTCGTCCTGCTCCAAAAGGTAAATATGGTGACAGAGCAGCTTTACTAGACACCGCGCCGAAACCGTAATCTACAGCGTCACTTGTGTCGCTCTCGCTCGTCTCTGGCTTGATGGCTTGAGGTGTTAGCCAGCGACGCGGGTTCCAGTCGTTTGCATTCGGGAAGTTCTCTTCGAGACGAGAGGGAAAGCAGGGCGCTGCGAGGAGGATGTGGCCTGCGGGAACAATGATCTCGGTGTTAGGGACTGGCATGGGAGATTTTACTTTTCGCATAACGGAGTGGATTGGGGCGTGGAGTCGGAGGGTTTCTTTGATTATGGCGTTGTGGAGAGGGAGATTGGAGATGTGTTCGTAGGTTATGTTTGTGGAATTTTGGCCGACGAGGTTGTGGGATTGGAGTTCTTGGTAGAGTTCTTGGATGAGATGTGGTTTGTGGGCGAGATGGAGCATTATCCAAGTCCCGGTTGCTGCTGTGTTGTGTTGGCCGCCCATCAGGAGGGAGATTAGGAGGTTTGCGAGGATGTCGTCGCCGATTGGTGAGCCATCTTTGTAGGTTGCATCCATTAAAGACCAGAGCAAGTCATGCTCATCTTCAGCACGCTTTCTCTTCCTCCGATCACTGATTATTCCCATATACAGCTTCTGCATTTCCAGTTGCGCATGATCTCTCCTGCGATTGACTGGCAATGGCAACCCCGGAAGCATGAAGTTGATTGGTGCGAAGCCGTCATCTAGATGTCGAAATAGCGTCGCAAAGGTGCCATCAAAAGACTCCCTGACTTCCTTGCCTTGCAACGAGCCCGCAGCACAATACAATGCGATCTCTGCGATCACAGTTGAGACATCACAGATTCCCGACTCCGTTTGGAAAGCGGCGTTACCTCCAACGTACTTCTCCACCTCATTCACAAACTGCGGCACATAAGCCTTCAAATTCGCAGTTGTGAAACCTTCCTTCACCACCCGCTTCTGATCCATGAACTTGGCATTATCGACATCATACACGACGCCCTTCCCGAATACTGGCACTGTCAAAGGACCATAAACCTCTTCAGCGTTGAGGTCTTTGTGTTTGCCATTGAGTATGAAGTTGTTGCCTTGAGGACCGAGGTACACTGTAACTTTCATTCCCAGAAGGACAAAGGTGAAGATGTCGCCGTATTTCTCGCGGCAGGAGAAGAAGAAGCCATAGGGATCTTGGCCATAGCTGACTGTGGAGCCGATGAGAGGGAGCCAGTGGAAGACGACGGGAGGCTTGTGGCGGTCTTTGAACAGGAATTGTTTGAGAAGATTCCAAATTATTGCTGTGAAGATGAAGGTTGCGGCTGCTGATAGGAGGTGAGTGAGGAGGGCCATGGCGACAGCGGAATTCTCAGAGCGTGGGGAAGGTTGTTGGGAGGGGAGGAGCAATTTGCTGCTCTGCGATGTCGTTGTCAGAATCACGCCAAGTGCTCGAATTCATCAATCATAAGTGTTTCAAAGACCAGGCATGGTCGTGTTTCTCGTATGCATAAGTTATGCATTCAGCTGAGACTTGGACCGGGACGGTATAAGATTTTGGTGAGGCAATAGAGTTTGGATGCCACTTTCCGTCTGAATCCTGACAGTCAGAGAAGGATGACACTCCACTTCACCATTCACAGCATCATGCTAATTTTTGGTGCACATAACGCGAGAGCCTTTGCAGTTGGCGAACCCATACAGACGCGAATCAAGATACACATCCTCGAAAGTCCTGTTCATCCCTGTCGCCGAATCCTTGGCGGACGGCAAGATCGGTGAAGCCTGGACTTCACCACAACTTGCTGGCCGCATCATCCTCACAACACTTGGGTTCAATCTTCTGTGGACGTCTCCATAGTCAGGAATTCCACCTCATCCGCCAGATCTAGAGCTTTGTCGCCGTCGACATGCTGCTTCTCTACAGCGCATCTTCACGAGCATCCTTGACGAGCTCGGTGAGCTGAATCACCATCTCGATCGCTTTCATGCTGATGGTCGCCATCTCTGCTGTGGTGACGCGGGCTGCATGCGATGACTCCTCCATCATACTGGCAAGGCTGTCGGTCGCTGCGCAGAGTGCCTGGCTTGAACATCTTCAGCGACTTGTCCTGACCTTTCCCGGCTCTGATCATTTGGCGAGGCAACTTGAACCTGGTCCGAACCATCGCCGTCATCGACAGAGTCGTCTGAATTGGAGATGGTGTCTTTGAGCGCATATTGGCTGACTCTAACGACCTCACAGCCAAGAACTCTAGTCGAGGGGACTTTGATGACCGCGAGCATTCTGCAACGGGAGAGGAAACCCGGCTTCACGTGCAGTAGGAGATATCGAGTGCCAGGAGACCGCAGCGGGGGAGAAAGGTAGGCGTGGCTGTAGAGGAACGAAAGCGGATGTTTGACAAAATGGAAAGTAATGGCGCGCTCTCGGGGCCAGTGCGGACTTCCTTGCAGAAGTGAATGGCTTCAATGCTGATTACTCATTCGACCTGTAGGAGTAGCTGCTCATCGAATTGGGAGTCAGACCTTGATTGCAATCTCCTCTCGGTCTGGTGGTTACGACAAATACAGTGTCACACATTTCAGCGCGCCAGATGACCCATCGTGTCATACCAGATGTTGGATGCTCCCATTCGAACTTCTTCTTTTGCCTGTTTCCTTTCTTTTTACACCTTTGTTGCCCTTTCTTGGGACTCATTATTTTTTGGCATTTCCCTGTTCTGGATGTTCGTGACTCGACGCACATAATTGTCTCCCATCTTGACAGAAATGATGCGATCTCTTTTTTGCCTAGCTGGTTCTTTTCTTTGCACTGCATATTGCGTCCTCGAGTCCCTGGATTCGTATCACGTCGATGATGCTACGCACTTCCATTTCGAACCTGTGAGACCGTATAGTGCTTCAAACGGCAAAGGCAAACTCCGGGGGCATTCAACGGGTGATTTTGCCACTGCGACCTTAACTTGACGATGTGCTGCGTACCGAAGCTGGAGGAATTAGGCTACATATCAGACCGTGCGCGGTCCTGCATTGCCCACATCGAATCGGAGGTTCAGACCTTGATTGCAATCCTGTCTTGGTCTGGTGGTTCACGAAACAAGCAGTTGAACCACACACTCCAGCGCGCTAGATGGCCATTCAGTCACTTTCAGATGCTTGGAAGTCCTCCGTTCGAGAAAGAGATCTCTTTTTGTCTTTTCTTGATCATTTTACATGTTTTGTATACATATGTTCTATTTCCTGATTCGATTTCCATCTGAAGTGGTCTTTCTTTTTTGATAAGAGTGAGTCTTTTGTGTTATCGTGTGCCCGATGTCGACTCGATGTGCAGTGCACCTAGTGTTCAATTTCGTCCCATGCTTCATGAGTTTTGCTTTGGAGTGCGTAGACAAGCGACGCGTTCACGCTGAGCCTTCTGCTGCTACTAGCTTGAGTGGCTTTGTTTTCGCTTGGCCACAAAGCGTTCGTCAGCTGGATAAGCTTGACAATACAGACCCGCAGCCAGTACTCGAAAGTCCGCTCAGTCAATGTGCCTCTGTGGTATTAGATGCCCAGGGAGCGAGATATCCAATCATCTTGAAACATCAATGACTTCGTGCCGTGAGGAGCATGGGCGATTAGTTCGAGTACGCCACTGTCGTGCGAGATCGTCCGTAAGGCACGTATGATGACGCGAACAACCTTCTTCTGTTGCGCGGACACGAGAGAAACGTGCGCACGGTGTCACTACGCATGTTGATGCGTTGTGGCCTCGAACAGTCTCATTTGGTCGAGGAGCCTCTGATAAGGCGCGGAGCGACAGGAGGAGGTGGGGTATCCGGCAGCACGGTAGTGAACTGAGTCGTTCGCACTGTGGGCAAGATGCATTGGGCCTACGAGGATATGCTGTCGCTGGTCAACGCATGGCAAGTTTGCTTTCGCGAATGCAAACGAATACTGAGCCACCTCTGTATGTGATCCCGCGTCGTGACGCCCAGTCAACCTGCAGGACGCATGCATGGAAATGGAAGTAATGGGCGTTGAAAACATGGATGGCTTGGAGTGATGTTTGTATTTCCGCGCCCTACGAATTCCGTCAAGCTCTAAAAAACGGGAACAAGATTCGTTCATTCGTATTCGCACTGGTGATGAATCTTTTGCTGCATGTAGTGCAGTGCAATGTTGCTGTGCTGTGTGCCATGTGCAGTCGTTCCTCACCCCCTGTCCCGGCCCGGCTTCTGGGCCGGCGTAGCACTTCCCATCTCAACATCCTCCACAATCTCTCCTCTTTCAATGGCCCTCGCCCTCTTGAACCGCTCGATAATGTCTCGATTCGCCTGTCGCTGTGCCTCACGATCCTCGCCCTTGATCTGATTCACTTCGTCTGCGTCGGCTTTGACACCCTTGTCCCAAGTGCGCGGGAACCAGAACCAGATGAAGACCAGACTGACGACGACGATCGCCCCGAGAATGCCGACTGGGATGGCGTATGCGAGTGCACCCATGATTGGGGAGTGAAGAAGGTTGAGCGTCGCTGTGGCAAGGTCGTCGTGGTGGCTGTTTGAATGGCGTCGCTATGCGGACAATAAGTGGCAGCGCACGGCGTGCTTTCGTCGATGCTGGCGATCAAGAACCTCGAAGAGTACGGGATATCACAAGACTGTTTGAATCTGTGTCGATGGCCTGTAGACCACGCTCGCCGCTCTGGAGCGACGCTGGCACGAGGGCAGGTCGTCGACGTCTTCGTCTACGCGGTCTTGCGATCGGCGGCTGCCGACTTAGCCGGAAGGATTCAAAGAGATCCTTTGAGAGGCTTGCAGCACACACTTCTCGCGACAGATTGGACTCACATGCAATGACACTACACTGCGCACTGAAAAGCTCTGTTGCCTCAAATTATGGCTACGGAACGAGTTCTATGCTCAGCTGCTGCGTGCGCAGCCATAATCTTCCTTAGAGCCTTTATGGAGATGCTGAGACTCAATAAAAAGGGCAGCGGACTATTCTGTCGTATACTGGAGCTCCTCCTTCCTCACAGGCGGTAGTGCGTCAGCACGGCTGCATGGTCCGTTGTCCATTCGTTATGCGCGTGCTTTGGGTACGGCCTGGGATTTCCAACCACAATGGCTTTCGATCCGACGACCCTCAGCCGTCCTCGAGTATGGTAGACGAAATCGATGCGATCTTGTGGTTCCGCGCGACCTGAATCGCCATTGTGTCCCGGGTACAGCGGACTCCATGTCGTAGCCTGGACAGCCACTGGATCGGGATTCGCCACTCGAAAGGAATCGATCAGTCCAAGAGCAGTTGGAAGGATTGATGTTGGCCAGTCGAAGCTATCGATCCCACAATTCTTCTCAGCGAGTGCCGGCACCCAGTCCAGATGCGAGGGCGCATTGAAATCCCCAGCCAGGATTACCGGGACTCTTCTCGAATTTCGTAGCTGCGATCGAATGCCGCTCAGAATAGCAGTCATCTGCGGCGTACGTCCGGACTCGGCTTCCCGCGCCATAACCACTTCCTTGGTCATATTGTCGAAACAAAAGTCATATGGGCCGTACGGCGTGTATCCAAGATGCGCACTCCAGACGTTGATCTCCGTTGGACTGAGCGACAGCTTTCTATTACCATTGATGTGGATACGAACTCCTCCAGATGCAGAGATCTCGCCATATCGCTCTACAATGGGGTACCGACTGATTATCGCAACGCTTCCCGTGCTCTGGAAGTAGGACCAGGCTAGTGCTTGGCCAAGTCTTTGGCCATGGCTGCCACTCGCTTCTTGCAGTGCAATAACGTCTGCGCCGGATTCCAAGATGAATCGCAGCTGCTTTTCCTGGAAGTTGTTGACTCTGGTACCTCCGTGCCAGAGATTGAACGCCATGACCCTTAAGTCTTGTACGAGCGATTGCCACGCCTTTCGTACCGGAATTCTGAGCTTCATCGTCGCAGTCGAGCCATTCTCGGCAGTTGCGCGTACCGTAACAACGGATTCATCCCTGTTGAGGATTCCAGGCCTCCCGGTCAACTTGCCGTCCTCGCTAACGCTGATCCAGTCTTCGCCGTCGATTTTCTCGAATGTCACTTGGTCGTCACCCTTACCAAGCAAGAGTCCACCGACTTCAGCCGCGTAATCCTCCAATTGTCTGGCATTGTGCAGCGCAGCAGTTTCGACGGGAAACTTGAGTTCAGCAGGCGGTGCCGACAGCGTCACATTGATGGGTTCTGCGAGCCACCGATAGCCATCTCGTGCTAGGAAGTATACTTGATAATCGCCTGGCTGCAATGCTTCCGTCGACAGGTACACCGATCCATCCGTTTCCGGGGCGTATTTCCACACTGTCGATGGCGATACATATTCTTGGTTCACGGGTCCACCTCCAGCGGCTGGATATAGAGCTATCCAGTTTGTTGAGAATGGATCGGATGTGGCGTATTTGAATGTGAAGCGTTCAGCAGTTGCGTCCAACATCAAATTTCCGTACACGGTGTCTCCTTGCTGTCGAGCTGCGATATTGCCATATTGCTGCTCTGGTGTTGGTGCACTTGACACCGATACCACAGCAGCTAGGATCGTGCCCAGCGTATTTGCGAACTTCATTTTGCTGAAGTGGTTGAAATATCTGGCAACAACACAGAACCATGTCGGGAATGGGCATGCTTTTCATATGACTGACTAAAATGCTCTGATCACATACTGGACCAATCTGCAGCAGCTGCCATGCCACGAGGCATCGATCTGCAATGCGCCAATGCCAAGATGTTTTACTTGCTGGGCGGACTAACACGAGGCAGGAAGGTCGAGACAGAATTCAACGTCACGCATCCACTCAAGCACTTCAGAACTTCTCTGCGATGTCATTGTAGAGCCTTATATGGCTCGATGGCTTGCAATGCGTTGCTGTGTCTGGCTCTGGCCAACGTGGCAGCAAATGCTTCAGGCACTTGAGTTGTGACAGAGCCCGTGGGTAGGCATCAATATCTGCTTACGACTGAGCCGCTTGAGTTGGGGACTGATGACTGGAACGAGGGCTGCACTCTGTCCGCACGTCACCTCAACGAAAGTCTCACCATGCACTCGAGTCTGCCTTCACTGGTACCCAACTCTCGCGACTTCCCATCCAACACCGACTTTTCCCCTCAAGCGTCCTTACATTGGCTTTGCTGAACTACACCTTTGCGACTAACATGGCCTCATACGAAACTTCCAGCTACCATCCATGAATGATAATGCCTGTGGCATACTAATCATTACGGTTCCTACGACCCTGGACCATGAAACTAGCCATGATAAAGCGCCAAGCCTGTGAAAACAGCCAGCTCCTCCTCATGCACTTTCTGCTTGGCAGCAGGCTTCGTTGTATCGCATTTCCAGATCCTCCCAGCAAGATCTGCAACCCATGCACACCCTTGAACTTTGTCAAGTGCCAATCCAATGGCTTCACCAAACCCCTCCGCCAGTATTTCCCGACCCAACTTCCGTTCCTCCTCCCTAGGACCATCTCCACGGACCCTCAAAGTCTTTCGATTCAGCGTATTGCCGAAAGGAAATTCGCCACGATCCGTCCAGTACAAAGCTCCCATATCCTCGTCCAGTTCCAGGTCGATAGGCTCCGGAAGATTTTCAGCAACAAGCTCGATGTCTGGTCGATCTTCTGCTGTGTAGCCGCTCGGGATTTCCAGATTGGCGGAAAATATCCTGCCCTGCCGCATTTTTGGTGCACCTTTCTGCGTCCAGTACAGCTTTCCCAGTTCCTTGCTGATAGCTATACCCACGCACCACCGGGTCTGATTACTCTGATGCTCTGGGTTTCTCCAGTCGCCCGTCTGGATCAAAACCTCGTGGTTCCCGCCATCAAGGTCACATCGATGTACTCGGAGACCTTCGCGATCGCAGAAATACAGTTCGTCGGCTTCCTCGTCGATGACAATTTGCTTCGGGGTATGTACAGCTCCGCCTGAGAGTATGCATTTCATATCGCTGCCATCGAGGTTCGAGGTCATGATTGAGCCATCGTTGGAGCCAGCGTTGCCCATCTGCGTCCAGAAGATCCGGTTGTGCTTTTTGCTGATTGTAATTCCGTCGGGCATGTGCAAGTCTTGGAGAAGCGTCACTGGCTTGTCATCTTTGCCAGGCGTGAACCGCAGTAGTCTACCGCGATGCGTGAGATCGTTCGTCGATTGGGTATACAGTGGCGTTTCTGGTGTCGCACGGTAGATGTTGAGGATGAAAAGTGTGGATGTGCTTGCGATCTTGTCGTTCTCCAGGTAGGGCATGTTGACGACCAATAATGCTAACAAAATAGATATTCGTCGTGAGATTTTTTCGTTGATTGATCAAAGAAATACTGCACGCAATGTATGGAGCCGAATCCTACAGTGGCTCTTAAGGTATAGCAGGATCCCTAGCAACAGGTAGGGGAAGGCGAGAGAGAGCCGTGGCACAAGTTCCTGGTAAAGCTTCTTGCTGATGCACTGCACCGATTGAGGGCTAGACCTCCTAGCCATCTTCGCGGCTGCACACATCATTTTCCTGAATCCTTCAACACGTCACTCATGTCTCGCACTTCGCAATGCGAAAAGGCCGAACTGATGTCGATAGGCGCGAAGGCCAGCGGAGATAGCTCGGATACAGCAGATGAAGTCAAAGATTGTACAGGGGTGTTGAGACTTCCAGAAGGCGAACGTCATTTCTCACCAGACCCGCATCTTCACGGCAACAACATCATTCCCGGCCATGAGTTCCAGCCATTTGGATACTTCCGGACAAGACAAGCTTGAAGGCAGCCAACAAGCTTCACACACAAGGTGCTTGAACCACTCCCATCCGTGCGGCTGCTCAAGCTCAGGCAGTGGCCATGACATCGTAGACCTTTGGTAAGGGTTTTAGAGAAATGAACGTGGGCCAGTGCAAACCAGCTCATCCGTCACCATTGTCATTGCGAATGCCATCAAGCAGCTTGTCAAAAAGAAGAGCAAGAACGGATGCCAACAAAAGGTATCATTTGCTTCGAAGGGCTATACCAAGTTATTCTTTCCCTTCTTCATTTCCAGCAATTCGATCAAGCCATCACCCATATCTCTTCTTGCACCTTCTCTATCTTTCGCGTCGACGAAGGGCTTCACTTTCTCGATTAAGCCATCCACATCAGTTTCTTGCCACTCAAACTTCTTCTCGTCCATGTCTTTCTTCCAGCCCTCAATTGCAGGACCCAGGTGCTTGATAAAGTGTCCGAACGGATCTTCCCCAGCTCCCCCTCCGAGCACGTTCGTCATATATGGCCCTGCCAATGCCCATCTCAAGCCCGGACCAGTCGACATGGCAGTATCGACATCCTCTGCGCTCGCCACGCCTCGCGAGACTAGTGAATACGCTTCTGCGAGTACGGCTGCTTGAAGACGATTTGCGAGAAAGCCGGGCACTTCTTTCTTGACGAGCACAGGGCTTTTCCCGAGCAACTTGTAAAATTCAATCGCTTTATCGACCGACTCTGATGATGTGTCTTGGTGAGGCACAATTTCGACCAGAGGGATGAGATGTGGTGGGTTGAATGGGTGCCCGATCAATACGCGAGAAGATGCGTGCTTGCATTTCGAGATGAATTGTGATGATGGAATGCCGGAAGAAGATGAAGCAATGATTGTGTTCTTGTTTGGTAGAAGAGCGTCGAGTTTGCCAATTAGGTCTGTCTTGAAGTTGGGACGTTCAGGTGCGTTCTGATCTCTCGTCATCAGCTTTCTCGATTCTGCTTGCACATGTGGTTGCGGAGACTCACCTCTTGGACCCAATCTATCTCCCCGTTCATGACTGCCTCTGCTTGAAAGACATCTTCGACAAATTCGTATGCACGAGCATCAGCATTTTCTACGATGCCAACCCTTTGCATTCGTGGCCATTCAGATTGAATGAATTGGTCAAGCTTCTCTCGAGCGCCAGGAGCTGGGTCAGATACGATGACTCTATGCCCCTTGGCCAGGAAAAGCGTCGTCCATGAACTACCTATGACGCCAGTTCCAACAACGAGAACGGTCTTCCTTTGGGTATCTGTAGCCATGACTGTTGGGTTTGTTGAACTCTTTCTCTTGGATCAAGGTGACAATCGTGTTCTTGCAAGGTCGGATTCACTTTGCAGTGCAACGAGATGAGAGGCAATGAAGCTATTGAGCAAGATCGATGTTTCTTGTTCTCCTAGTTGTATCTTCGCCTGGGTCCCATACCCTCGTTCTTACTTCCGCATCATTCGGCTTCGTCAGAGACGGGAAACCTAGTCACTTCATCATAGTCTGAGTCCCGGAAATCGCCCATGACGTTCTAACACTTGCGAGAGTACTGTACACGCGGACGACCTCTGCATAATTTGGCTATCGCGATGAAATGACGCGAAGTCCGAAGTTATGATTTTGTCCAATTCGGAAAATATTCGGATTGCACAAAAATGACGGAGATGGTTCGCGTCGTAAGCCTCCAGCTTCGACATCACTTTGTCGCACCGAGAGAGGGCAGGTGAAGGCTTTCGGACGAGCGAGACTTCATATCCTTGGAAGCGTTCGTAGACTTCGTGTATATAGTTCGGCCTCAAACAAGGCTTTGCATTCCAACTCTAGTGATGAATAATCCAATCTTCTGCGACTTTAACGATCGACGACTCCTACCAGGTTCGAGCGTGCACGAGATATATTGCCCGTAGACGCCGAGTGCAATCGCATCCAGACGAAAGTACGATTCCTCAGACGACGAGAGCACTCAAGTCGATTGAACAACAATCATGACGAAACACGAAACTGTCGAAGATGTCTATGGCCCAGGCACGCACACCGACAAGCACTTCGTGCCTGTGCCACAAGATGCCAGACGCCTTTTGCAATACATGGCAGAGATCACACCAGGATTCGATTCATCAGCTTCTTTCCTGAACCAAGTCAACTTCACTGGACGAGATCTGCCGCTGCTTCCTGGTCCCATTAAAGCCCAAGTCTTCTCTGCGGTCTGTCATGCAATGATCGGACTGGCCTCCAAACAAATACTCGCAACCCGTGGAATTGATTCAGGAAAGGTGCAGGTCGACACTGAGCTGGCAGCGCTCTATCCAGCAACTGTCGGTCTTGTGACTGTGGACGGCCAAGACTGGAAGGCTATTCAAAAGAACCAAGTCGTACAGCAAGCGTCCTCAGTCGACGTCGACAAGGGCGTAATCACCAAAACTCCAATGCGATTCCGAAGCTGGAGCATCTACCCAACCGGCTCCAAAGATGAGAACGGTCATCAACAATGGTTCCAGATCCTGTCATCTCTCGATCCAAAAGGCTTCTTGTCAGCATTTGGCCTCGATGCCGACGACTCCAGCATCACAACCAACGAGCAAGCGTATGAGAAGATCAAAGCCGTGACCATGTCCATGTCTGCGCGAGAGATCGAACAGATCTGCGTGGAGAAAGGTTTCTGCGGTCAGACAGTTCTATCACCAAAAGCGTGGAACGAGACCTCGTACGGAAAAGCTCTCGCCAAGCACCCTGGAATCAACTATCGTCAAGTGAAAGGATCCGAATCCCTCCCTGTGGTCCCACTTGCTGAGAACATTCAAGACAAGAGACCACTGGCCGGCATCAAAGTGGTCGAGTTCTCCCGCGTTATTGCTGGTCCGGCCGTAGGCACATACCTGGCCTCACTAGGTGCCGATGTGATCAGAATCCAGTCACCCAACCTGCCAGATATTGGGTTCCTGAGTGTCACGCTCCAAGCCGGCAAGAGAGTCGCAGACATCGACTTGAACAGCTCCGAAGACCGCGCAGAGCTCCAGGAACTCATCAAAGACGCGGATGTCATCGTCCAGGGCTTCCGTCTCAAGTCTCTTGAACGAAAGGGTTTCGGCCTCGAGGATATCGTTGAGATGGCCCGACAGAGGAACAAAGGTGCCGTGTATGTGGACCTGAACTGCTACGGACCAGATGGGTATTACGCTGAGCGGCCTGGCTACCAGCAAATCGCAGACTGTGGATCGGGATGCTCGTATATCAATGGTGTCGCATACGGTCTGCCAGAAGGCACAGGCGTGCTTCCTTCCCTGCCCATCGCAGACATGCTGACTGGAGCCGTTGGAACGTTGGTCACACTTCTCAGCATTCGAGATCGTGCGACCAAAGGTGGGAGCTTTCATGCCCACGTGTCTCTCATGGCGATGGATACACAGCAGCTGGTGCCTGAGTTCGGGCTCTACGACAAGGAGACAGTCGCCAAGATCCAGAAGACATACCAGTTCGGCGACATGCGGCCACATCACATGGTGACTGACTTGCTTGATACCATGATCCAGGCTTGGCAGAAGAACTCGGACGTGCTGGCAAAAGAGGAACGCTTCGTTGAATTCGAGACGAAATATGGAAAGAAGCACAGGCTCCTGGCGCCTGGCTTCAAATTCGAGAATGATGAGTCGAGCCCGAAATGGGAATGGGGTCCTGTGCCTAATGGAGGGCAGAAGGGTTTGCGCTGGCGCGTATAACAATGATAACGGGATAACGATTTTTGATACCATGTAGTAGTTTTTGTAACTCTTGTGAGCAGAACAGAATGATCAATGGCGCCACGCTGTGCAATGCTGATGCTCGAGCTTCATTTCCAGATGTGTTTGGTCGCTTGTGGCTCGCCTCATTGGTCTATACTTTTCCGTATTTCTTCAGACTCCCCGCGGATGCCAATAATGCGTCTTTCGCCGTCCTCGGCTGCCAGCCCAGCACATTCTTGGCTTTCGCGTTGGAGAGAGGCATGGGATTGCCGAGGTAGGGCACAATTAATCTCGTCGTAGCGTCGAAGAATCCGACAACTTTGAGTAGCAAATTAGGCAAAGCCCTGGTCGGCAGCTTTTTGGTATCTGCCTCTGGGAGACTTTGTTTCAGTATGTCCACCATGTCCTGAACCCAAACGACTTTGTCGTCCGAGGTCGCTATGAAGCGCTGTCCCGCAGCATCTGGGTGGGTCATGGCTCGCAAATGTAAGTCTGCAACGTCGCGAACATCGGCAACGCCAATAGGCAGGTGCGGAATGCCCGGAAACTTGCCATTCAGCAAGAGCATAGGCAGCTCGACGCTGCTGGGAACATCCGAGCCGAGAATTGGTCCCAGGACGAGTTGTGGGTGGACTGCTGCCAGCTGCATGCCATTGCCCTCTTTCTCCGATGAAGTCCCAGGCAGCACGCTCCGCAAGCGTTTTGCTTTTCGCGTATGAGGTGACCGATATCCTGCGGTTCTCCAGATCTGTCCAGTCCTCCTCATTCCACGTCTGTCCAGCAGACTTGACGTCGTGGCCACCTATTATTGCCGTGGCTGAACTTGTGAAGACAAGCCTCTTGACAGTACCCACCTTTTTCGCAGCCCGCAGGACTCGAAGCGTTCCCTCACGAGCCGGAATTATCAGATCGTTCTCGTCTTTCGGGTCGGCCTTGGGCACCGGAGTGGCTACATGCAGCACGTAACCACAGCCCTGACACGCGGTCTCCCACCCTTCGTCCTTCGCAAGATCCGCCTCGAAGAACTTGACGTTCTTGACCTGAGGCCAAGTAGCACCTCCATTCTGTAACGATTGGCGTATCTGATCGATTCGGTCTCGCGATCGTAGTGTCGCGTGCACCGTGTATCCCGTTTGAATGGCTCGGAGGATGCAGTATGAGGCCACGAAGCCTGTCGGTCAGTCAGTGTACGTTCTTCCTTGTCGCGTTCATCAGTCCTGACCCGTTCCGCCGGTGATCAGGATCGTATCCTTCGTGGGTGCCATGTTTGCAACGGCGTCTGTTCCAGTCAGCAGCAACTGCTTTGCCCGCGGAGCGCAGATCTTGAGGGAAAGCGGTTAAGACCAGATAACTAGATCCATCATTTCCTACCTGTCACAAACGCCTGTTATCATCCATCAGCGAGGTCGGTCGTATGATAGATGACAGCTGTTATCAGCATTCTGGGGTTTGTGATGCGAACAGGCCATCTGTGCGCCTGTAGAGTCGCTCAGCCTGGCACGATTGTTGGAGACGGTGATGCGACATCGTGAAGTTGAAAGTCAAATAATGCCAAGACTGACTGGGATTCGCGGGACATCGCGGATCACCAACATGTCCAGCTGCCTCAAGCGTCGCTGTATGTACAACTGACATGACTGAATGATGCGCACAGAGGTATCGGAAAGCCGTTCGGGTTACTCGACTTCTCAGAGAACGAAAACATATCAACATTTGCAAAATACCACTCAACCAACGAACAATCTACCCCCTTCTCTGCTTACACCCAGCATGCTTCCTCTCCTCACTATCCAAACTCCTCAAACTGTTCGCATATTGATCCTTCAATCGCTCAATCTCCCTCTCGCCCGCCTTCTTCTGCTTCGCCTTCTCCAAACTTCTCTTCGTCTGATCACTCTTGATCTTGACATCGTGCATCTGCTTCTGACAACACGCTTCTGTGCAGCAAAAGGGCTGAGCTCGACCTTCCATGGGAAAGTCCTTAATCGCCGTACATGGGGTCCGATTCGATGATAGGTGGGAAGGCGCATTGGGACAGTATTCGATAAGAGGTTTGCCAGTGTGGCCGCAGTGCCAGAGGTAGTGGTATTGTTTGCACATTGGAGACGAATGGCTGTGGCTCGAGGCGGATGCTGTCGAATGGTAGGTAAAGCAATGGTATGGCTGCGAGCGATAGTGCTTCTCCAGGAGATCGGTATTGGCTATGGCAATGTGGGAAAGGGAATCTGATAGATGAGAATGGTAGAACGTGGTTCCCTAGTCTCGATCGTGCTGTTCGTCCTCGATGGGGAAGAGGTGGCGACAATGCCTGGTCTCCATGCCGCATCTGGCAGTCGACGATTGACGCATGTTCAAATACAACAAAGGATCATGGCCTCAGAGTGCGCGCCTTTTTTTCATCCCCCAGCGAGAGTGCTTCGGAAGCCTTCTCTTTGTCTTGTGCGTAGTCGCGTGGCAGTATAGTGGCCTAGAAAGTCTGTTAGTATGTCTATGGCCGTAGGTTCAGTCGAGCCACGTTCGCTGGAAAGATGGTGTAGCACGTGAGAAGAGGATGACCTGCCGCTGGTTCATCCAGACGATGATGTTAGTAACTTTTGAGAAATTGAGAATGAGCGCCGCCGTCAATATCGATTCTTCGTAATGCTAGTCTACGTCATTCCATAGCTAGCCTTTCATTCTCAAGTCATTATCATGGGCCACGTGAAGATGACTGCCATTTGCTGGACCTGATGCTGCAGCATTGACAGGTACACTAACCCTTGTATGGGCCAGCACCACTGACCAGATGTCCCGGCGGCATTGAGTACGGCGGAAACCCACCAGACTGGCGAGCCGCGGCCGCAGCGTTGAACGGTTGCCGCTGGATCTGCGAAATCTTCGCACCATCGTAGGGCTCTCTCGAAGGAGGCGGCTTTGCAGGCAGTGACGAAGGCGTGCCCCACTTAGCGAGCAGACTCTGCGACTGCACAACATGTGTAGGTGCTTGCGCTATCATTTGCGTCGGGAACGATTGCCCGGACCCTGGCTTGGCCGGGAGCGGAACATTGGGCGACGACTGTCTGGGAAAGACAGGCCCCGGTGGCAGCGGGTGTGTGAGGGGCTGACTTGGCGCAAGGTGAGGCGCCGAATGTGGCTGCTGCTGGATTGGAGAACCAAACGAGGATGCCTGCGATTGAGCAGATGTATGACGAACAAGTTGTCCGGGAGATTGTGATTGGAGCTGCTGGCGGAAACTTCCGGGAGTACTGGGCGCACCGTGAGGCGTGACGGGCCTATCGTTCGTCTGCCCCGGCACAAAGGTCTGACTTTGGGGATTGAAGTTTTTGCCCTTGTAACTCCCAGGAAGTGGATGCTCGTTGGAGTTGGCAGGTCGACCTGGGAACGCTTGGCTGGGAAGCTGGCCATACTGATAAGGCTCCGCTGCCGAGCTGGCGGGTGTACTGAAGCTCGCGCCGTACGAATAGCCGGGTTGGGTACCTTGCGTAGGCATATTATACTGCTGTTGTTGCCAGCTTTGCTGAGGCGAATAGTACTGCTGACCATAGGTCGATCCTAAGCCCTGTCCATAGGTCATGTTATGACTCTGTTGTGATGGTACCTGGTTTTGGAAGGACATCCGTTGATAGTCGGAGGCTAGATCGTAGGCGCCTGCCTGGCCCTGCGCCCATACCTGTGTTGGATCAAGGTTCTGGTAGGACTGTTGACCCCACTGCTGAGCGCCAGCAGTCGATACAGGCATTTGAGTATACGGGCCAGCCTGTGACTGTTGACCGTAGATTGCTTGAAACTGGCTTGCCGACTGCTCGGTGGCCCCGGTGAAACCATAAGCAGGTGTAGAAATTCCGTCCGACCCAAAAGATGCAGTGAAATAGTTGCTGTATGCAGAGCGTGCTTCGAAGCCATCATCATCGTCTGCGCGAGCCTTTTTCTTGCTCTTCTTGCCAGCTGCGGAGCTGGACCTGGAATCTTGCTTGTCTTTGGGCGTTTCAGGTGACTCAGTGGGCTTCGCCGAGCCCATGATCCGTAGCCGAGCAGCTTCGTATCTGGCCTCTCTTTCCTCACGCGTTTGAGGTCCCTTCTTCTTCTCGTCGCCACTCTCGCCGTTCTCAGACCCGTTCTTAGAGGGTATGCCTGAGCCGTTGGCGATGGCTGGACCATCTCTGTCGCTGCGCCGTAAGATCTTCATCGCAGGTGCAGTCGGGGGTGGTGTACTAGCCGCTGTTGAAGGTGCAGTGATTCCGGTCAAAGGAGGCGGGATCCTGCAATTGGGAGTCTTGTAGAGCCGAACAGCTGCAGAATTGTCGTCGATGAGATGACCGAGCATGTAGTAATCCGCCATTTTATGCGCAAGCAGTCGATAGAAGGAGTGGCATTGCGGAAGTGTGAGAGAAGACTCCTTCGCGTCTTTGACAAAGTCAATCACGTCTTGTTCCAATTTCAACACCCAAACACGGTCTCGGGGGTTCTCGAGTGCCTCAAGTAGTTTTTGGTCTGGTGGACATTCGAGAGTGGGATTTGTCACGACACCGTTGCGTGCGATGCCGGGGATTGAGCCAATGCCAGGCCCCTGAGGTGGAACGTATAGAACGCCTTTTGCTACAGCTCCGTAGGTAGGTACAGGTCCCTCACGTCTTGTCGGCTCCATGGCAGAGATCTCGCGCAGTTGATCGCGAAAGGCGCGAACGCCATCATCTGAGCCAATTCGTGATGGCATGCCAGAGCCAGGCGCCGAGTACAGATCTTCGTCCTCAACGGCCTTAACACTGGCGCTGTCGTCTGGGCGAAGGGATTCTTTCTCATCCAAGGCATTGAATGTGGTGCCCGAAGCGACGCTTTTGCCATCCATGCTTGGAGGCTTGTTTGAATCACTTGAGGACTCGTCCTCGGCATGTGCAGACGACGCTTCGGCAGATTGAGGTCTCTCTCTGTCCGCCATCTGGATTCGAACTTGCGGTCCAGGAGCAGAAGTCACGGACAAGTCTCTATGATCACGCGAAGCAAGCTGGATCAGTTTCTTCGGCTTGAGCATACTCTGAGGTAATGCAATTCCATTGGAGGGAGCGGCAGTCGCACCATCTGGTGGCGCGGGAGATACTTCGTGTGGTGAATCCGTGGAAGAATTGGTTTTTGTATGCTTGGGTGCGGTTGGCGGCTTGATTCCAGCAGCGGCAATCTATTCCCATCTTGTCAGCTTCAATTTTGTGCATGGTGTGACGCAAAAGTGATCTCAGACCTTTGCAAAGGACAGCTTTTCCTTCTTGACGTCCGCTGAGCCCGATGCCATAGTAGAAGCCATTGTGCCAGATGTAGCGATAACCAGAAACAAGCAGGCGCCCGAACAAAGGACAGAGTCCGAGAGCCGCTGTTTCCTGAGCGTCGGCGAGCGCGGGGCTTGCCAAACGGTGGGTCTGTTGTAGTTTTCGTGTATTGCAGATCTACCGAAAGACGACTCTCAGGAAACTGGCGGCTCAAGGAAAATAGTCAAGTCCACGGCCAGGAGTCTGGACATTGTGCAGCGCGCACATGGATTCTTTCTCGTTTGCTGACGTCTGCGCGGAGTGTTGTGGGATGATGGGTATCGCTCGCGTCGAACGAGCCGCTTCAATCGACGTTTCGTGCCGTCGGCGGCGGCGGTGTATCGTGCGTGACTGCGCCGTGTGCGCTGCCGGCAGTGTTGGTGGTGAAGGATGATGGTGCGCTGTAGTTTCGATGTTCAAAATGGAAAGGGCTAGCGCGCCCGCAGACAAGCTTTGCGTCACTGCAGGTTCACGTGACCGGGCGAAGAGCTGGCAGGCACAAATCGCTACAACACGACTACAATACTTTATCTTCCTCGAGCATACGACCAGGACGCGAAATTCAGCCGCTGTATTACCATTATGAACCGCTATCGTGCCGGAGGTCCTTCCAAAGCGACGCCGACAACATTGTGCCAGAAATGTCTGAAGAAAGGTAGGATACACATCCTGGAATGTAGTGCAATTTCGTTGATCACAGCAACAGGTCATTACACGTATGAGTGCACGGCGACACAGCAAGAGCGACCATACATATCAAGACCTTCGAGAAGCCAGCAGCTCTCGAACCCCAAACTTGCGCCCAAGCTTTCGGCCACTTTGCCTCCTGTCGACGCGAAGCCGACTGCGAAACCAGAATCAAAGTTGAAAGAAAAGACACTCGAATCGACAGCGCGAAGTAGATCCACTGAGCGCAAAGCAAATGAATCGATAAGCAGACGCAGGAGATCGGTGTCTTCTTACTCATCTGATTCGGTCTCCTCGTATTCCACGAACAGATCACGCTCGAGGTCTCGTTCTCCTGCTCGCGCATCGAGCTCACGACGAAGAGAGCAATCAACAAGCAGATCGCCCGGCCCTCGCGCTGGTAGACAACGCCAGTCAGACCGCAGGCGAAGTTCAAGCCCAAGAAGACCTCGAAACGGCTCAATACGAGAGCGCGCATCTGAAACCGGCGACAGAGGAACACGAACTCGCAGTCGAAGTCCCATACATCGAAACAGGCATGGTAGCGATGAACACAGACGAAGATCGCGTTCTCGCTCGCCATACCGTGCTGCCCGCGATCGGATGATTCGAGCAGGAATTGATACCAACAGCAAAGCCCCAGGCAAACAGAATAGGTCACCAGTTCGGGAACGAAGTCTTAGTCCATATAGTCAGAGGCTGGCTTTGACTAAAGCGGCAAAGAATTGAACGGCAAGTAACGAGTTCGGCAATCCAACTGAGGCAGTCGAGCACACGAGCATTGAGATCGACATCGTTCGTACCATTTTTCCATGCGCTGCATAGAGCATGACAGCACACGACAGGATCCGCAAGCCTGCATGGCACAGTCTCCCCACCACACGATTAGTATGGGAGAACGACTGCTGTACATTAGCGGTTGTGGTGATCAGCAATGCTGGCACGACTGAATGAGACAAAACATGCGTAGCGCCTTACGAGTGGGGTTTCGAGCCATTGCCGTTGGCCGTTGTGCAGCGTTTCAACATTCCGGTGATGAAGACAATCAAGGCGTTGATAGTGTTCCACAGTCTGTATGATGTCGTCGTAGTCCAGTAATGGCTCGTCATGAAGAAGGTACACGGCAATCTGACACGCATGACAGACCATAGAGCAGGCTTTGCTGAAGTCTTCACATACGATGCAGTTCTTGCCAAGACGCGGCATTGGCACATGTTCTGCTCAACGGCATACCTCAACAGCTGTTCTGTGCAGAGTACATAGCATTACCGGCAGTTCAGCTCTATCGCTTCATCATGTGAAGATCGGAAGTCGGCAGACATGTGCGTGGTCACGTTCGCGTATCGTAGTCTGCGGCAGGTGGAGTTGTAGACGTAGGCAATATATGCGGCATCGACGCCTATCGCTTCCTTATCTCGCTTGCTTGCAGAAAAAGCTTTTGCAGAGCTGCATCATATATCATAAGTGTACTAGACTGACGAGCGACGACAAATGCGAATACACAACAGCTTCGGGCCCTCCTTCCATTTTGGATGGCTATCGCTCGTGCTCATTAGTTGCATTCCATTACTCCACATTCGTCGCGTTGATGTGTTTCGTGAGTGGAGCGGCGAGAAGACCGTTGTCAAGGTCCTTTTCTTCACGGCAGTAGAGCTCCACGACCAGGCGCTGTGATTGAGGCAAGACAGCAGCATCGGCTTTGTAGATTTGAAATGCGCGGATTAACTTGCCAAGTTGTGCTTTGCCCGCTATCACCCGCAGATCCAAGGAAGTGGGCTGAACAGCAAACAGCCAACAACAACGTTTCCTGGAGCTGTGGTCAAGAGAGGCAGCGCAGTGGATAGCTTGATGCTCCTAGTCTGAAGTGAGGTGCAGTAGCCTAAATGCTGTTCAAAAGGCTAGAGCTCGTCTCGAAGCCGGGTGATCCGGCTCGAAGCTAGGATGTTCAACACTGAAGCCTTGCAACATCGTCTGCGAGCCTGCGGCTAAACGACAAATCGCAATCATTTTAGTCGCTGCAGAGGCCAGGATGGTGGCGAGGAGAGCAGAGCCGCACGAAGCATTCGAATGCATGTCCAAACGAACAAGGCTGTTGCTGTAAAATTTGCTCATGAAATCGTTGGACTTTATAAACGATAATCGTTTTTCCTCGTCATACCCAGGTGACTGGAACGGAGAGTTTTGTGAAGTTCTGGAACGGCGTTGGAGCATGTTGTGGCTGCGCCGTTGCGGTACTGCAAGCGCCTGGAGCATAGCGTGCAGAAAGTGGGTTCTCGAGGAGCAAAACTGGCGGACAAGGCCGGTGGACTGCTCTCTGCCCATCACATCACAGCGGTGCAAAGTTGTATTCATGAAAGTTCCTGCAACGTGTGTCTGGAGCAACCTCCGAGAGCTGGCCTGCAAGAATTGCTCTGGTCCAGACTGTGCAGGTGACGGGCAAGGTGAGCGCTGCAAGCGCGGTTGACTATAACTGGCCAAAGTTGCGATGCACGGTGATGATGGTGCTGGCGGGCGTCCTTGGCCTCACCGCGAACAAGGTTTGGTGGCTGGCAGAGAGGGCACGTTTTTGCGCGAGAGATACACAATATGCTGCTGGTGGGCTCGTACTGCCGACCAGTCCATTTTGAGTCTTTGACGGTGCGGAGCAGTTTCGATTTGCCAGGTCAGGATCGGGTAGAGGAAGGGCGGAGATGGTATCCTCTTATTCGAGAGTTCCATCGAGAATCGGAGAAGCGTGCAAATGAGCTGGGAGAGTTTGACATGAGGCGGCCGCTCCGGCATGACGCGCAGCGCACAGAGCCCGCCGGTACTTTGTCTCATGCAATACCGCGTTGCAGGTGCAACAATGCGGGCAACGTTGGAGAACAAAGAGGAACCGACGATGGGAGAGAGCAATGTGTCGTGTGCTTCGTTTCCCAATCGCAGGATCGGCGAGAGCGCAGCAGCGCCATTGGCAGCACGCGCGCTAGTTTTATCACTCACTCCGATTTGTCTGCCGGCGCGGTGGAGTTGCAACTTCTCGGCATCCAGACGACGTGGGAGGGCCATCCTAGTCACGCCTAACCAGTCTTGCTCGCTGGATGTTCCCTTCACACTTTCTGATGCGGCACCAATTGCGTTGCACCCGGTCGGAGCATATACATCACGGCGCTGCCACCGCCTCTGCTCTGCGCTGTCCCTCTGTGCATCCGCCATACCTCCACGCTTGCCCTTTCTCCTGCAATCGCCCAGCGGATGACGACAGCGATGCCGCGAGCATATCAACAATAATCCCGCTTCCCTCCCCAATAACCCATAGCCACCACCCCTCCGCGCCCCCTCTGCACGCAGCGACGCAATGAAGTATGGCGAGACGCTGCGGCAGCGATCCATTCCTGCCTGGGCGCATCGTGAGTTGCCCTTCCTATTCACTCCGGCGCATTCCTGCTGCTCCAATGGCATTGTCCATCTCTCGCCTCGGCTAACCGCAGCACCTCTGCAGACAACATAGACTACGACGATATCAAACACTTCATCAAGGAGCACACCACCCCGGGGAAGGGCAAGACAATCTCCGTCCCCGGGCGAGGCGAGGACAAGCTGGCCGAGTTCGAAAACGCCCTCTTCCACATCCTGCAGGACCAACACCAACGCATCGATCTTTTTGTTAAGAGCAAAGCAGGTGAAATCCAGCGCCGTCTTGGTGAGTTCAATGCCCTGTTTCAGCTGGAAATTTCCCAACTTTCTCTGTATGACGGAAGCTTCGTGATCCTGTCGCAACTGCAGCGTTGAGCGCCGATCCCCACTTATTTCCGGCTGTCTCGATTCCGCACCGGATAGCGGCCCATCTGCAATGCACCGGACAGCACAGGTTACACAGAGCTGACGATGCATCAGAACACTCCAAAAAGCAACTTCGAGCACTGGCAGTGCGACAAGCGCCTGTAGCCGACCACCGAATACCCGTCAGCCGCCTCGAACGATACGGACGACTGGAGAACGATGTAGTCAAAGCTGGGGAGGAGATCAAGTCTCTGGCCAGATTCATCGCGACGCAGAGGACGGCATTTCGAAAGTTGCTCAAGAAGTACAAGAAATGGACTGGCTCTGCGGAGCTGGAGGATCGCTTCCGAGAGGAGATCCTGGATGACCCAAAGAGCTTCACCAAGCTCGATCTGGGCTACCTCTTGGACGAATATTCGGGCACACGGCATAGCATACGGACTCTGTACGACAGTCAGGTCCAACAAGCGGCGGGCGGCAAAAAGGCGGATGCGAAGGAGGCATCGTCAGTGATCGCCAAGCTGCAAGAGGCTGTCAATCGCGACTCAAAGGTCTTTTTTGACACGAGCATTGCTACTGTGCCTTTGGGACAGTATGGAACTGTGGCCAGTTACTTCGTACATCCCGAGAGCATCGTCGAATTGCAGATGCTGCTGCTTCAGCATGCTAGATTTCACCTCTCCCGAAGCCGACAGAACTCGATAGCGACTCCGATCTCCTCCGCACCTAGAACACCGACCCTGGCAGGCGTAAGCTCCAGCGATCCCGATTACCACATGCTTGTAGCCGATAACCTCGAGCGATTCGCAAAAGAGCAGAGTAGCCTCACAGTGGATGATCGGGAACATGCAGCGGGCAGCTGTCCACAAAGAGTCAAAGCGGCTGTGCGATGGACAACCGACGAGGATGCGCTTGCATGCCTTCTGTCTCGGTCGGGCAGTACTAAGAGTGCATACCTCAAGAAGAAGCACATCTGCGACTTCTTCAACGCAAGAGCCGACTTCTCAACGGAGCAGGAAGAAGTTGATACAGCAGAGAGAGTGGAGGAGCTGCGAGACGAGCTGCTCAAGAACAACACCAAGCCACTATTCCGATACTCATGCTCTCGATCTCGTCTGATTGGTCTGGATGACAATGCTAACGGCTTGGTCATGGCCACGCTGGACAGTGGCATCATATTGGAGACGACCGGGGATTCTGTGCAAGAAGGAGCGAAGACCACGTTCCCTTTCGCTTTGCTGACAGTAAGGCAGGAGGGGCAGCCCAAGTCAGAGCTTTTGACTGTCCTCGATAGGAGCTACCTGGTGGAGCGGGTGCGAGGCTTCTCTCTGGAATATCATGCAGTCTGGCAGACCCACCAATCTGACCACATTCCTGCACCGTTTTGGCTGCCATTGCTATCGCAAGACATCCGAAAATTACCGCCACCAGCCATGCGCAAGCGTCCCAGCACACAAGGTGGAACCGACGCCTCAGGTGCACCGTCAGCCAACAGCGCTTCGAGTCCTGGTACGCTAGACAGCGTTACAGCGGTGGAGACATCGAACGAATTGGCAAGCCAGCTCGAATCACCTCCGCTGAAGTCTTTCAACAAGAAGAAGCGCAGAAAATATCCTCAAGCACAAATGCCAACACAGAAATACTGGAACGAGTATGACGATCCTGAAGAAGGCGGTGACGGTGATGCGTACTACATCTACATCGATCCGAATGAGAAGAACCCCTTCGATCGCTTCTTTGAGAGGATCGCAGATGTCTTCAAGAGGAAAAAGCGGCCAGAGGAGGATGCGCTACTCTCCATACCAGGCACGCCTCATCTCGACGATGACGAGTCTTCAGATGAAGACTCTGATTCTCCCACCCCGCGAAACCATTTTGGACCCACATCGAATTTTGGCACCTTTGCGGGCCCTATGAGCATTCGCTCAGCGAGCCTATCCTTCTTGCCGCAGTTTAGCATCCTTTGCTACGTGGCCTCTCTTGCCATGCTCGTCATGGCATACATACTTCGCACCACTGGGCGCCACAAGTTCATCAGGGAGGTTCATGTTGGTGTTCTGTTCTCCATGGTCTGCGGCCTGGGTTTCGTGCTTTTAGGCTTTATGAACGTGTTACGACGCGGCAATGTGGGCTCTACAGAAGCACCGCCTTCACTCGGTGCCTGGGCGGTCAGCATCGTTGTGCTGATTGTGAATGTACTGGCCTCTGGGGGTTTACTGGCGTCCATGCTAGGTTGAGGGAGCTTTCCATTTCATTCTTGATGTTTGAGTAGGGGGAGGGAAGAGACTGCACCTCCTTCGTGGCGTCAGAGCGAATTCAACATGCATGTACAAGCGGCATACGGGGCGTTAGCAAGCGGGGCTTTGCTCTTCTTCTGGTGTGAGACATCTCTGAGTGTGAATTGGGGCAAGTGGGGATTGTACTATACACATCCACGGAGTGTATTTAGAGGGCGTAATGTGTTGATGAAGATGAAAGTGACAGAGGAAACACGATGGTCAATTCTCATCTTCGTTTCAACTCTTTCTATACCTTTTCATGCCCCTCTCGCGTGTGTTGCTACGCCCATCGAGCCATATCGGCTTCGGCTCGTGGTTGGAAATGCCAAGCCTCCGCATCCGAACAGCAGCAAATGCACCTGCCATCTTGTCTCTTGCAGTCTCTACACACACCACGATGGGCTGAAAGAACATACATCCTTGCCTCTCATGGCAAAGAACAAGAAACGCAAGATCCACACCAACCACGCCGAGCATCGCAAACCTGCGCGACCGCCGCAGCGCAAAGATGTCGCGAAATCAAAATCCTCCGCGAAGCACCAATCCGCCAAACCGGCCAAAGCCTCCCAGCAGCATCAGCAGCCCACGATTCCATTCCTCGCTGAAGATCGCATCCTCCTGATCGGCGAAGGCGATTTTTCTTTCTCCCGCTCCATCGTTGCCGAACACGGCTGTTGCGATATCACTGCGACATGCTACGATTCTCAGGAAGAGCTTTTCGAGAAGTACAAACCGCAAGCTGAATCGCATGTCCAGTATCTGGAAGAAGAAGGGCAAAAGGTGTTGTACAGCGTCGACGCTACGAAATTGGATAAGAACAAGCAGTTATCGAAAGCTGTGGCCGAAGATGGGAAATTCAATGTCATATTGTTCAATTTTCCGCATGTGGGGGGGAAGAGTACAGATGTGAATCGACAGGTGCGGTTCAATCAGGAATTACTTGTGAAGTTTTTCCAGACGGCGCAGGGGTTGTTGGTTGTGAGTGGGAGTAATGAGGAGGAGAAGGGGACGATTGTGGTGACATTGTTTGAGGGTGAGCCGTATACGTTGTGGAACGTGAGGGATTTGGCGAGACATGCGGGGTTGGAGGTTGTGAGGAGTTTTAAGTTCTTGGCTGAGGCGTATCCGGGGTACGAACATGTGAGGACGCTGGGGAATTTGGTTGGCGGTGGTGGGTGGAAGGGGGAGGATAGAGAGGCGAGGAGTTATGTGTTTCGAATGAAGGGTGGTGGTGGAGATGGCGGCGCAAACGAAAAGCCGAAGACGCAGGGTGAAATGCAGAAGGAGATGGAGAGGCAGAGGAGGGAGAGGTTGGGGGCTGGAGATAAGAGGAAGAGGGCGAAGGATGTGGACAGCTCTTCGGATGAGGAGTGAGCATACGGAAACTGTGGTCTGGTTCTTCCGTGTGGACATGCATGGACAACGACAAGATCACAAAGTCGGTCACTCCATCTGTGCGGCGAAAACGAACACGGAACGCCATTCCAGACCTGATAACGAAGGACAATCGATCAGATTGTGCAAGTCCGGAGGAGCAATCCGAGTCAACCAAATCGTTCAAGGCATATCTCGTTATTGCAGTAGCCAGCTACCACATTTCGCCTCCACAGCTCTTCCCAAACCTATCTAGGTAATGACAAGGCTGTAGCTGGACGTCGTAAACTTAGCATTGCTTCCCTCGGTCGGTTCCGTGCCCGCACCGGAGCTGATCAAGTACTGCGAAGTCGGCAGACCTTGCTTCGATGTCAGGTACTTGACGAACTCAACGATGTCGCCGCTGAAGCTGCTGATGATCTTTCCGTCTGCTGGTAAGAAAGAGAAGACTTGATTGACGCCGTTGGAGCCTTTGTACAATTTCCAGCTTTTTCCAGCGAGAGTCACTGTGGCGATTGGGACTGGATTGCCGTCGGCGCCCTGTGTGATGAGGACGTCAGCCACTGAGGCAAGAGAGGTGAGTATGTGGTTTGGTGTCGACTTACGTAGCTTGCAGAGATAGGTCCTGCACCACCATACGCTGCCAACCAGATCATAATCTCGTATTCGTTGGTCGCTGTGGGAGAAGACGAAGTGAAGAGGTCGTATGCCACGTTCGCCACCAAGTTGCTGCCTGAGTAACTCCAGCTCCAGTTCGACTTCATGGTCTTGAGCGTTGAGAGCTTATTTGGAGTATAGTTGACGACTGCATTGGGGTAGGTCTTCACACCGCCGGAGCCGCGAGCCCATGTCCAGCTGAGAGGATGTTAGGACAGATCAAGGTATGAGAACAGCGGGCAACTCTTACGTGGCGTGCCAGGCAATGTTTGTCCCGCTGACCTTGTCAACGCCAAAGCATTGACTACCTGCTACTCCCGAGGCGCCCCAGAGGTTATTGTAGACTGTGTAGGTGCCTGTCTGGACACTGTCCCATTGTCCGCAGAGATCAGCGCGTTCGACAATCGATTTGGTAGGTGTGGGTGAGGCCAGCGCTGAGCCGGCAAGGCATGCCAACAGCAAAGATGATGTCTTGAAGAGCATGGTTACGACTTGGAAACAGAAGCACAATTGTCAGAGAAATGCTTGGAAATCTGGGACAAGACATCCTCTTCTATAGTCCTCGCCACGTGTTCCCCGCCCCTCCACGACGCTGCACGGAGATCGACATGTTCAGTCATATTGGACGAATCTAGATGCGCCTCCTTGCGCCTTGTGATCAAGGTCGTTTAGAGAATTTGAGGGTAAGCAACGCAACTCTTTCCAAACCAGGCGCGGAGGCCGATGACGATTGGAGGCCTTTCTGGAGTCGTTCATATTGCTAGCCAGACACGACGGAAAACGGCATGATTCCCTCGCTTTTACATACACCGGGTGCACGGAATATTTGGAGTCTCCTTTATATTGCACGGTCCAGTGTTTCGAGTGTGAAGCACTTAGGCTAATCTTCGGACAAATCGGGGTCTCTCGTTTCAGTGTTCGGTTTCTTGTTTGCCTTGCATCGAAAAGTACAATGTATTTGTACCTTCGGGTGTGATTTCTCCTTGGTGCATTTTGCGTCCATGTGACTTGGCGATGGGTGGCTCTGTTGATGTCCATGTCAATAGCCGAGCACTTCAGAAATGTGTCGATTGCGACGATCTAGGCGAGGGTGACAGGCCCACGGGTGGTCGTTTCAAGTATCGTCTCTGGATCTGTAACATTAGGGCCGTGCTTCAGCAGATCAAGAAAGCTTGTGAGCAAACATGTTCCTGGGCGTTTAAGACAAGCTGTTTAGGCATTTTGCTTGTTATCTCGCTTGACGTTCTATGACGAATCAGTGTCCTTCCAAATGTTCTTGTATTCATTCTTGCTGGTCTTGCGTTCCAAGCTGTGGCGCATTCTCAGAAGTAAATCAATCTGTCGGGATCTTGCCGTGTTGAAACATATCGTAGTGTCATCGTTTATTTGTTCTTCGATAATGTGGGACGAACCTCCATTTATGTTACTCTTCCTGCTGCGCCGGAGTCAATGTGACCCAGAGCGGAATCTTTTCCCAAAACGTGTAGACCTTTTGCTTTTCCCAGCCTTCACTCTCCTCACAAAGATGCAAATCGAAATTGTACAAAGTCGTCGCCAAGATCAATCGCATTTCATGCCAGGCGAGATTCTTGCCTATGCAATTTCGTGGACCCGTGGAGAAAGGTTCGATGCTCGCGAGGCAGTCGTTCTGATATGCTGGATCTTCGCCCAGCCAGCGCTCAGGTCGGAACTCATTTGCCTTGTAGAAAAGAGCTTCGGAGCGATGGATTGCCATCTGATGCACGCCGACAACGGTACCTTCTGGGACTAATTCCCCTTCGATGATGGTTCCGCCTTTGGGGATAATTCGTGGGAGGGCGGTCGGAACTGGAGGGTACATACGCAGGCCCTCTTTCAGCACAGCCTGAAGATACTTTAGCTGCTATATAGACTCTATCGTTAAACATCCAATCCTCTCAAGCGTACAGATCGCAACTTTAGGCGTAGGCTGCTCCGTTAGTAGCAGTGCATATTCACAGGCTTGTAAATTTGGAGTTTAACCTTGTCTAGATCTGTTTCTGCATAAGAGTGCGAGCTTCGTCTAACTAACCCTTGTCTAACTACCCGAGGACTATTAAAGAAGTCGGAACGACGAAGTGTTAGTATAATTATGCCTCGTCTTCAAATAATACGGGTATTCAACGGACGAATATCCGTATCCAAACGTGTGCAATCTGTCTACGTAAAGCCCCTTGAACAATATCTTTTGAACTGCTATTGTTTAGCGCGTATAATCTGCCTACTTAAAGCTTTTTGCAATTTTCCCTTTTTTGGAACTTTTTAAAACTGTACTTCTACTATTCCTGCAATCTCGAAGGTTCTTTGTACTTGCGCTTCTCGTCCCAGGTACGTTTTTCCTAACATGTCCTACGATTTCAACTACTCTGCGATTCTACAGATTTGGAGATCTTAATAAGATTTTGAGATTTTGCGGTTTTGTGAATTGCAATCTGGACAATGCGGTTGTGCAACCTCGCGATTCGAAATACACTACTTACTGTCTAGATCTTGCTCTCGCGATTGCCCATTTGCATCTTTTGCGGTTTCGCTATTCTGCATTTTCGAAACCATACCTTCGAAATTTGGTATTTTCGCAGTATCGCGTCTTTACATTCTAGTAGGCCTGTAATTGCTCTTACTTGCAGTCTCTTCCTCTGTTATAACACAGTCTTGCGCCTCGTGCTAGTCAAGACTCGCTAAGACAACAATACTCTCAGTTTGACTCCTCTGCCTCTAATAGACCTCTTTACTCTGCTACAAATTGTTGTCGTGCAAGCCGTGTTAAAGCTTCATCTAGCCTTGGCTCGAGCTTCCTCTGCTATAGTAGTGCCTGCCTTGCTACGGAGTAGAAGAAGCTTTGACTTTCCCAATGTAGTAAACTCTCAGGATCTAGCAAAGACTGCTCCGCAGACTCTATAAAGCACCCGCACTTCTAGGCAAATCCCCGCGCAACGTTCTGAACTGTCTAAAGATGTTTTTGTTCGAGTTTAGTATAGTTTCGTCGAAGCGCACTAGAATGCGGCGAGTCCGCATTCGAGCTTTCTAGCTACTCGACCACCGCACAATAGCACAACGCACTAAAGCACATTTTCACATATGCAGATCTTAAAAGGCGGACTAGATAATGTATTTGCGAGATATGCGGGCCATGCTGCCTTCAACGTCGTCGTCTCTATTGTTCCGCGTGTTTACCGCCGCCCTCTACCACCGGCACATTGCAAACGTGCACCGCAAACCAGAAGCATATCCCGGCAATCTATTAGCCGGTACTAACGACCTCTACGCCGAGAGTGCGGGTGGTTTGGGGTCAATTTGGCTGAGTGCGGTGCGGCGCCAATTAGCTAGTCTGCAAATTTGCGGTTTGCATTTTCAAACACACTACTATCGCGACCCCACACGCTAGCAGTCTCGGGCTTAGCTCAGAACGTCGTTCTAACGATGCCCTGCGGTTCTAGAGTGTCGCTGTAGCGTGCATCGTGTTTGCCGGCCATTTGTTTAACGTAGGTAGCCATATAGGGCTCCGCACTTGGTTAATATGCCCCGCACTATCCAACCTGCACCCGAATCCGTTTGGCTAATCCCTTAAGAGGATCGTGCGGTGGTTTGGACATGTTTGCGGATGTGCATACACGAGTGCGGTACCAACTAACCACTTTGTAGCTAGCACGTCCGCACATGCTAGCACAACTCGGCAAACGCAAACCCGACCCGGCAAACAGCTCTCCGTAACCTTGTTATGTACTCTGAAGAAGTGCGGGTGGTTCGGTGTAGGTTTGCGTAAGTGCGGACGTGGTCTCGTCCCCCTAGGTCAGCTACCTCGTCCGCATATGCCCGCACAAGTCGGCAAACGCAAGTCCGACCCGGCAAACATCTTTATACGACTCTCTTACGTACTAGCAGGAAGTGCAGGTGGTTTGTTACAGGATTGCGTATCTGCGGCTGCCGTATGGGGTTTCTAGCTGCTCCCTCCGCAGACGCCCGCAAACGTTAGCAAACATAAGTCCGGCACGGCAAACAAAACTTTGCAGCTCTGTTACGTGCCTGCAAGAAGTGCGGATGATTCGGTGCAGGTTTGCGTGTCTGCGGAAGAGATATGTGCACCCACTTCGGACGCTACTTAGCCTTCGCTGTGCCGCAGATCTGCTACGCAACTAGCGTACATAAGCCCGATCCCGCGCTCTCCTCGAGAACGCTTCGAGACTTCCTTTTGTAAAGGGCAATATTTGAGGAGCGAACCGCGTAAAAGGCAATGCTTAAGGAGCGATTTTGCATGTGTGCAGGCCAGGTGCCTGAAATACGTGCAGCCTTCCCGCACTATAGCAAGACCGCTGGCAAACTGAAATGAGACCCGGCAAACAACTTCTATAGGTGTCAAAATGTTTTGCTAGCGAGTGCGGGTGGTTTGGAGCAGTGCTGCGTGAATGCGGGTCGATGTGCTGCAGAGAGGGCTAGCAGCAGCTGTCCGCACTTCTGTTAGACACCCGGCAAACACACATAGAGCCCTGCCAAATGAATATACGCATCTGAAAAGCATCTACTAAGAAGTGCGGGGAGCTCTGAGCAACTGTATGCGAGTGCGGGTCGGTAAGCTGCAAAATCGATCAGAGGGCAGCACTTCCGCCAGACACCCGGCAAAGCCAAATGCAACCCGGCAAAACACTTTAGTGTAACCTACAATTATATGCTGAAAGTGCGGGGGTTAGTATGCGAGGGTACGCGAGTGCGGGCTCGCAGGCTACAAATTCGCCTAGCAGGACCGCATATGTCTTATGTAGCTAGCAAACTTACAGTCGACCTAGGAAGGTACTTATATCTAACTTAGAGACATATAGTAGCAAGTGCTGGAGGAATCGTCCAAGCGTTCTCTAGTGCGGTATGGCATGCCGCAACATGGCCCAAGACGCCGGCACTTCACACTTTTGGCCCGCAAAACAAGACGCGACCCGGCAAACCGTTGTAACACGCCTCAGAATCATGTGCTGGGAAGTGCGGAAAAGTGCGGCCAAGATTGCGCGAGTGCGGAATAGCATGCCGCAACATGGCC